TATTTTCTTATTTTCTTAATTTTATTTTAAAGGGTAAAAATTAGGTTGAATTCCAGCTGTAAAATAAATTTTGAGATGTTAAAAAATTAAGACACATGGCATAATTTGAAAGGGAGTATCACTAGTTAACGTGGTAGTATTGTACCATTCTATAAGGCTTGAGTGTAGTGGTTTGGAGTATTTACTCCCTCAGGCAATGTCCTAGGTTTGAGTCCTAGCATCCGTGTAGTGTGAGAGAATTAGTTTGGTTCTATTTTTATTTTATTTTATTTTTAAATATAACTATTATGAATTAGTTTTTAACTTGTACCATAATATACTTTTTTTTTTCTTCTGCAATCTATATTTTTTTTCTTCTTGCCCTAGGTGTTTGGTACATGTTAATTTTGTGGCACCTCCAAAGTTTGAATCCTAAAACTGAGATGAGAAATATAATCATGTATACCATGTTTATTTACAAGCAATGAGAATAAGAAGATGTTGTCAATTCCAGGAAAATGGTAACCAAGAAAGAGATTTTTCTTGCATTAAAAAAGGTTTGGTTTGTGGAATAATCAGAATTGAAAGTTTGTTTAGTTGTTCGATAATACTTCTGATTGAAGCCTAAATTTTTCACTCCTGAGGTTGAGGATAGTAATAAGAAAAACCTTATTAAAAAAGACAACAGAAATACCGATGGTTTAAAAGGTAAAAACAGTATTCTTTAAATATAAAGTCGGGTTAGTTTAGTGTGCATTCCAAAGGCATGATACATTCATATATAATGTGGTATCATTTTCCCGCTTTGTGGGTATCAGATTCTCATGAGCATTGTATTTTCATGAATTGTGGATACAAAATGTCGTATCATTTTCCTCTTTTCAAGTCCATGAAACAAATAGACTCCTATATTTCTAGTGAGAGAGATATATAGAGATATTTTTTAGTAGGACTGGCAATGGATTGTGTCGTGTCAAGAATGTTCAACCCAAATTAGACCGTTTAATAAATGTGTTGTGTCAGGTTGACCCGCTAATTCCCGTGTGAGTTTCAAGTCATGTATGGGTTTGAGCTGCTAAGTGGTAGTAACTAGTAACTAGCGAGGTAAAAGTGTAGACCAAAAAGAAAAGGCAAAGAAAGAGATGACTATTAGTAAATAGGTTAAATAGGTATTTTAGCATATTTATTGACCTGTAACCTACCCGTTTATTAAACGGGTCATGTGAGGTTGACCCAATTTTTTATCATGCAGGTTTTGAGTCATGTAATAGGTCGTATCGAAAGTTGCCACCCCTACTTTTGAGTAGGAAAGTTATGACATTTCAAGAACTTGAAGACATTTATATATAGTACAATCTAGGATATGAGAAAACCACTGTGGATCCTCTTCAACCCATGGAGAGACTTCTAAACAAGGATCCGTTCTTCCGTTGATACTTCATGGCCGTCTCCTAATCCTGAAACTTTCCATTTCCTTTTGAAGTATATGCTAGGAAGGCTCAAAGTCATGGAAAGAAATAATAATACTAAATGAACTATACTGAGAAATTGGACCAAACATAAACCGAGGGAAAAGCATGTACCTTTGAAGCTCAAAGTCTCTCCTGTGAAATATAGCGTCTAGGGTTGATCCTCGCAGGGTAAGATTCGTATCCAAATTCATTGCAGATTCAATCATAGAAGGAAATATTATATCAAATCCAACAGGCGATTGTTGCTCTTCATCTGTAGCTGAAGCTAAATTTGACTCAACGTAATGTAGCCCTAGAAAAGCAAGAAAGACTCAGAGAGGGTAATCCTTTATAATGCATGCATTAATTTGGAGGAAACTTAGCAAAAGCAAAAGGCATACCGTTGTTAAGTTGTTCTTGACCAACGCTCCATCGGTTTAGTGCAAGGACATGCCAAAGTAGATAAGAGAGTGTCCTTTTTTAACGAGGGATGGAAATTATGAGGACCCCATGAACCATCATGGTGTGGGTTACCCAATAACCAATTTAGACATTCAGGGAAAAAAGGATCCTTCAGGGAATTTGGAGAAGGGACCATGGCCACCCAGCGGTATCATATGAGGAAACAGAGAGATCAACATTGTTGAACATCTTCTTTATTTTTTGTTTACTCACCTCAAACTTCTCCTTCAAGTAAAACAAGCACTTTTTACACTAATTGTTATCAAGATAAAAAGTACGAAGGAAATAATAGAAGTGGTGAGTTCTGTTACCAAAGAAGCATTATTGCCCTCTGCTGCACCCTCTAATCTCAGGACTATTGAAGATGCTTGTGGCGAGAAATCTTTCCAGAACGGATTTTGTTTAAAAAATTTAAACAAAAAAGTATATTAAAGACCAGAGAGCCAATCCAGGTTCCCCAGAAAGTACTGTTTCCACATTAAAACAAATCGTTTTCTAAAAACAATGAAAAAACATCACTTGGAAGAACTCTATACAAAGTCAACATTGATCTTGGTCAAGAGAGGAAATAGTGCAACTTGAGTTGTTAGACTTTGAGTTGCTTTGATACCATGAAGGAAGTTAACGTTCCTCCCAAAAACCAATTGGCAATGAGGGGAGTAGCTAACTCCCTATAAGCCCTTGCTAGTTTCTCAACTTTCCAATGTGGCATATTTCTTCACATTCTCACAAGAACATGAACTTATTTCCGCTTATTGGATGTCTCCATGAATCTAACGTTGGTTTTGGATATTTGTGTCTGTTACTATAGTTCCCAGTGTACGTGAATTTTATGTTTTTCACCATCTCATGCAACCTCCTTCCTGCAGATTTTATCCTTATAACCTCATAGCTTCTTTCCCTACTCATATTGTATCCTTCTAATATAATTCATTCTCCGAGAAAACAATCACAAAACCTTTTTCCTTCTGCCTTCAAATAATGCTAGTACAATCACATAACTCTTCATTTTAGATTAATCATTTAGGTTTGGTTCTTAGGATTGGATTGTATTGGATATATAGCCCACAAGATTCAAGGTATGTTGAAGTAAGAAATGAAGGTATGTGCGTAGAGTTAGAATGATTTTTTCTTTTGTGGGAATTAGAATGGATAAGTTATAATGTGTTGATATTCATCGGAAGGGATAAGTAAGTTCCTTTAAAACTAATCCATATTCTACAATCTGGAAAAATTTGGAATTTTTGCCCCCATTTGTTCATTCAACAAACATTCAATCTTGAGCTATCCAATCTTAGGCCCAAGTTGTGGCATTGCTGTAGTTATGTTGCCCTCAACCCTCCACTGCATAAAGAAATAACTGGTCTAATCGCAAGCCATATGGCTGCCAAAATTTTTTCCTGGAGAAGTTAAAGGACATCATCACATCCTTTTAATCTATTTGGTATTCTTTTATCACGAGTCCATTTTGTCTTTTTTGTAACAAGTGAACTTATTACAACATCTTATATTTCCTCGTCATTTTTCATTTCGGATCCTGAAAAACGTAAATTGCTTTGAGAGTTCCATCTAAACTAAGTCACCAAGAAAGCGTCTGAGCATATGTTCTTACTCTTTTGCCATGATGTAAGGCCAACTTATATATAAACATATATATTTTATCTAAAGATATATAGAGTATCCTACTGTTTCAATGAATCAGAACCCTTTCACCCCTCAATAATAATCTTTTTATGTATCGTCTGGTTTTTATTTAGTGCCAGTTTCTTGTGGCAAGAATGGAGAACTAACTAGTATGACTACTTGTGCTTTCTGTGCGATTCTTTCATGCATGACGTTTCCATATCAACACTTAAATTATGTAAAAAAATTTAAAGTTATCTGGACATGAAAGTCAGTGGAAATGTGATTTTTATGTACTCAGTATTCAAGAACTTTCTTTTGCACTTGTTCAAGTTGGCAATGAATCCTAAGTTTAAAATTTCCCGTAAAACCTACTTCAGACACTAACAACTCAAAATTCAACTTTACAAGTTTACACTGAAATGCAAAACTACTTCAGTATCATCAATGACCAAAACTTATCAAGATATATAATAATCATTCTAGATACTTAAGGATAATCAAAACCTTGCATGCATTTAAAGGAAACAAAAATTTTCAGAGAGATGGCGAAAAAACCTGATGAGGAAAATGCAAAATAGATAAGATAGTTGAGGTGGGAGATGTTAAAGTATAGAGATATTTAGTAATATACCCATTCTTAGCACTAAAACTATAAATAAACCCTACATCATTTCATTTTTATAAACATACCCAAAAAAAACCCAAAAATGACAAATGGTACTATTAAATTTAATTTTAATTATTAAATTACTTTGATACCCTATTGAGTGTTTTGGGTTTTTTTATGAAATTTTGGGTTGGGTTTGTTTTAAGAAATCAATGGCAATTTTGTAATTTAAAAGAAGTTAAAAGCCTTTTTGTTATGTTATAAATGGGCTTTGGGTGTATTTATAAATTCCATTTCATATAGGGTTTTTTTATAATTTGGGCTCCTATATTGGGTATATTAGTGAATCTCCCTAAAGTATAAGTGTGTTAGCTGAGTATTTGTGTCACTTGATTTAATTGTAGTCAATTAATTGTGAACCATTGGATCACAGTCCAATGGACAGCTAAGATGTATTCTTAGTTGTAGTAACAAATTCTGCCAGGTGTAGCTATCTCATAGGATAGTGAAATTGATGGCTAGATTTGGATGATGTAAAAAGGATGTATTTTGCTGCACAGCTTGTGCATAACTAAGTGAGAGAATAGACTCAATTTTCTCATATTCTTCTCCAAGCTCTTTGTGTTTTCTTTTCTTACCTGAGCTCCATCTACCAATAATCCAAATTAATCAGATCATAGTCTGAGTATTCTATAACATGGCATTAGAGCCTAGTTCGATTGTTTAGATGGGCGATTGAATTTGTGAAGAAAGTGAGCTGCAATTTGAAGAACTTTCTTTCTTGAAGATCTATGTCTAACATGGCAGGGTCTGGAGGTGGTGAGCTAAGAGCACCGATCTTCAATGGTGAGAACTATGAGTTCTAGAGCATAAGAATGAAAACCATTTTCAAATCTCATGGGTTATGGGAACTTGTTGAGAAAGGGATAGAGAGCTCAGATTCGAAGGGAGCCGATGAATCTGATGCGAAGAAGAAAGAAAAAGAGGAATCCAGTGGTGCTGGGAAGATGATTCTCACTCAGATCCTGATGAAAGATGCTAAGGCTTTGGGACTGATTCATGGAGCAGTTTCAGATGAGATCTTCACTAGGATTTCCCATGAAGAATCGTCTCAAGGAGCTTGGAATATCCTAAAGCAGGAATTTCATGGTGATAAGTAGGTAAGGAGTGTCAAGTTACAAAGTCTCCGTAGAGAATTTGAATATACTAGAATGAGAGAGGATGAATCATTATCTGCTTATCTTACAAAGTTGTTTGATATGATAAATCAAATGAGAGGCTATGGAGAAGAGTTGTTTGGAGAAAGAATTGTGTAGAAAATGTTAATTAGTCTACTCCTTGTGTATGATCCTATATGTTTTGTAATTGAGCACTAGATGCGATTGAGGTTCAAGAGGTGGTTGTCTCATTGAAGAGCTTTGCACAAAGATTGGAGAGACATCATGAGAACAAGACTGAGAAAGCCTTTGCTAGTTTGAGTGTAGATTCTAAATCAGCTAAAGTCACTGGAAATTAGAATAGCAAGCATCAGAAGAATTGGAAGGATAAGGGAAATAAGTGGGATAACAAACCCACTGATGGAGCTAAAAATTCTTGCAAACATTGTGGGAAATTGCATTTTGGAGAGTGTTGATTCAAGGGCACACCAAAATGCTATAATTGTGACAAGTTTGGTCACATTGCAAAAGACTGTTATAGTAAGAAACTTGTGCAGCAACTCCAGTATGCTACTCAGGTAACCTCTACACCAACTATGTTCTATGTCAATAATGCAGCTGACAAAAGGTCCATGGAAGATGTATGGTATTTGGACAGTGGTTGTAGTAACCATATGACTGGCAAAGAAGATGTCTTGACTGATATTGATAGGAGTATAATTGCAAAAGTTGCAATGGGGACAGGACAGTTGGTAGACGTTATTGGAAAAGGAAGCTTGATGGTTGAAACTAAGATGGGAAAAATATATATTAAGGAGGTGCTGCTTGTATATGGTCTCAAGGAAAACTTACTGAGTGTTGGACAGATGATGGAGCATGGAAATTTCCTGATTTTTGGGGATAACAAGACAGAAATTTATGATGATTGCTCACTCTCTAATCTGGTGGCTAGGATGCAAATGAAAGGAAATAGAAGTTTTCCTTTGAAACTTCAAACAGATTTACATTTTGCATTAAAAGCAAATGTAAGTCAATCAACATTGATTTGGCATAGGAGAATGGGACACTTAAATATGAAAAGCCTGCAACTACTGCAAAATGAGGATATGGTACTTGGTCTGCCAAAAATCAAGAACACAAGTGAAGTGTGTGAGGGGTGTACCTTTGAAAACATTGCAGGAAGTCTTTTCCAAAAGAGGCAACAAGCAGGGTCACAACTCCACTGGAATTGGTACACACTAATGTGTGTGGACCAATGCAAACTATTACAAAAGCAGGAAACAAGTATTTTCTTATCTTCATAGATGACTGTACTCGAATGTGCTGGATGTATTTCTTGAGATACAAATATGAGGTATTCAATGTGTTTAAGAAGGTTATGGCTGCTGTTGAATTGCAAAGTGGATATAAGCTTAATAAATTGAGAAGTGACAGAGGAGGAAAGTATACCTCCAATGAATTTAACAGATTCTGTGATGAAATGGGGATGGAAAGGCAACTTACAGTGGCATATTCACCACAGCAGAATGGTGTGGCTGAGAGAAAGAACAGGACCATAGTGGAGATGGCTAAGTGCATGATGTTTGACAAGAGTATGCCACTTGAGTTTTGGGCAGAAGCTGTCAATACTGCAGTGTACATTCTAAATAGATGTCCAACTGAAGCCTTGGAAAAGAAAACGCCATTTGAAGCCTGTAGTGGAAAAAAATCAGGAATTAAACACTTAAGAGTGTTTGGTACTCTGTGCTATGCACATGTCCCAAACCAACAGAGGCAGAAACTGGACTTGGCAAGCAAAAGGTGTGTGTTTCTAGGATATGGCAGTTGTGAGAAGGGGTATAGACTGTACAATCTTGTCACTGGAAAGGTGATTATCTCAAGAGATGTGGTATTCAATGAAGATGCTAGTTGGGATTGGAATGCACAGCAAGAATGCAGTGTTTCAGTTCCACTCACTGAAATGATGTCTAAAAAGGAGGAAGAAATCAATGACACAACTGTGATGCAAGCTGAAAGCTTAGTTGCAAATGATGTATTATTAGAAGACAATAAAAAAGAATCTGCAGGAATTGACACAGGTGCACATGATATTGATCACACTCCATTGAAATACAAAAGTCTTACAGAGGTATATGAGAGATGCAATATATGTATTATTGAACTAGAAACTTTTGAAGAAGCTATCAAAGATGCATCATGGCAAAAGACCATGGAAACTGAACTTGAGATGATTGAGAAGAATGATACTTGGGAATTGGTAAAAAGGCCGTCTGATAAGCCTATAGTTGGAGTCAAATGGATCTATAAAGTCAAGCTAAATCTTGATGGGTCAGTTCAAAAAAACAAAGCAAGGCTAGTAGCTAAAGGCTACACTCAAAAGCCTGGAATAGACTTCAACGAGACATTTGCACCAGTTGCTCGACTTGATACAGTAAGAACATTAATTGCTTTAGTTGCACAGAAAAGGTGGAAGCTATTCCAGTTAGATGTGAAGTTGGCATTCTTAAATGGAGTGCTACATGAGGGAGTGTATGTGGACCAACCTCCAGGATTTGTGATTAAAAACAAGGATGATAGATTTTATAGACTTAAGAAGGCCTTGTATAGTCTTAAACAAGCTCCAAGAGCTTGGTATGAAGAAATCAACTCATATTTCACAGCAGTAGGATTTCAGAGAAGTCCTAGTGAGGCTGCATTATATGTGAAAACTGCAAAAAGTGGAATTCTCATAGTTTCACTATATGTAGATGATATTATCTACACAGGAAGTTCAGAAGAGTTGGTAATGAGTTTTAAAATTGAAATGATGAAGAAATATGAAATGACTGATCTCGGATTACTGCACCATTTTTTGGGTTTAGGTGTGATACAAACTGAGTCCTCCATCTTCTTGCATAAGAACAAAATACGCAAGAGCACTACTGGACAAGTTTGGTTTCAAATATTGTAAAGCGGTTGCAACTCCACTTGCTATGAATGAGAAATTATCAAAGGAGGATGGAAGTGAATAGGCTGATGACAGGGTGCACAGACAGATAGTTGGAAGCTTATTATATCTGACAGCAACAAGGCCAGATATCATGTTCACTGCAAGTCTCTTAGCTAGATATATGCATGGACCTACAAGGAAGCATATGGGGACTGTCAAGAGAGTACTTAGATACATTCAAGGCACTCTTGACTATGGCATAGCATATGAGAAGGGAAAAGAAGTAATGCTTGTTGGATATTGTGATACTGATTGGTCAGGATGTGAAGATGATATGAGAAGTACTTCTGGCTATGCTTTTCATCTTGGATCAGGTGTTTTCTCTTGGGCATCAGTCAAGCAAAGCAGTGTAGCTCTATCCACTGTAGAGGCAGAATATCTTAGTGCAGCATAAGCTACTGCACAAGCAGTCTGGCTGAGGTTTGTTATATTTGTTGGTGAGGAATAAGTTGAATCTACTCCAATTTTCTGTGATAACACTTTAGCAATAGCAATAACAAAGAATCTAGTACATCATCACAAGACAAGACATATAAACAGAAGATTTCATTTCATCCGAGATGTTTTGCAAAATGGTGAGATTGATTTGTTATACTGTAGAACTGGAGAGCAGAATGCAGATTCTTTACGCTTGGAGTCATTTCCAGCTAAACACTTAGAAGGGAGTGTTAAAGTATAAGTGTGTTAGCTGAGTATTTGTGTTACTTGATTTAATTGTAGTGAATTAATTGTGAACCATTGGATCACAGTCCAATGGACAGCTAAGATGTATTGTTAGTTGTAGTAACAAATTTTGCTAGGAGTAGCTATCTCATAGGATAGTGAAATTGATGGCCTAGATTTGGATGATGTAAAAGGGAAATATTCTATTCCCAACGGATGTATTTTGTTGCATAGCTTGTGCGTTACTAAGTGAGAGAATAGACTCAATTTTCTCATCTTTTTCCCCAAGCTCTCTGTGTTTTCTTTTCTAACTTGAGCTCCATCTACCAATAATCCAAATTAATCATATCACAGTCTGAGTATTCTAACAGGAGAAAGACATGGTTTGTATGATCAGAATAATGCACAATGTACTTGACAGCTTTGCAACTCCAGAAAGGCGAGAGAGAGAGAGAGAGAGAGAGAGAGAGAGAGAGAGAGAGAGAGAGAGAACGAGATAAATTAATCAATAGATGTAGCGAATTGGAGCCATGGGGATAAATTAAGTTGACACAACAGACCATATGGGTAGGGCCAAAAGAGGAAGCATCAACGACTACAGAAAACATACAACAGAAAAGATGCTAATAATATGAGCCGGCTCTATTCAAACCATTATTTAATATGAGTTTGTACATTTGATGAATTATAATGTTTAAAATGTTTAATTACATACAAGTATTCTCTATTTCACATGACATGGAGCACGTGTGGCCCAACACCTTATAAGCCCTTGTAAGTTTTTCTAACTTTCCAATGTGAGACATTTTTCACTTCACATTCTCACAATTATCTGCTAGGATCTGCTTGGATATTCCAAAGGTTAAAAGTAAGTCATTCAACATCCACTATATTAATAGGGAGAAAATAAAAGAAAAACTTTTTGCCAAACAAACGGAAGCAAAACGTTTAGGGGGCGTTTGGTCTCAAAAACTTTGATTTTTCTTAAAAACAAGGAGTTCTTAAATCTATTTTTAAGATTCAAAAACTTGTTTGGTATGCAGCTTGAAAACTATTTTCGAATCTTAAAAATTTGAGAACTTGTGGGTTGTTAGAAAAAACACTAAAAAAACAGATTTTTTTTTATTTCTAAATAATTGGGGTGTTTTTTAGTTGTTTTTGAGTTTGAGTTTGAGTTTTTAAAAATAGGGTTACCAAACAGATTTTCTTTGTTTTGGACTCAAATTCTGTTTTTGAGTTTAAAAAGTTGGATATTCAAGTTGAATACCAAACATGCCCTTAACTTCTTCATCAATCAAAACCCACCAAACCCTGCCCATTATTATTTTTTATTTGATCGTTTTTGTTTCTCCTCTCACACACAAGCTTTTTTTTCAAGATTGATTAATTGGTTATTATTATTATTATTATTGTTGTTGTTGTTGTTGTTGAAAGGTTTTGAATATTCTCAATGCTTTTTATTGAACAATCGTATGATAATTATATATAGAGCTTTGCTTGGTACCTACACAAAGGATATCCTATTCTAGTTAAGAATCAAGTCCTTGAGAGATAAGGAATCTATACAGCAAATTCAAGAAATAAATATAAATAAACAGGAAACTAAATCCTTTAGGGATTACATCTCATTACACCCCGCAAGCTAACGGGGCGGGGGAGCACAGGCAGCTTGGAATGAAGTAAAGAAAACCAAGCAGGAGATAGACCCTTAGTGAAGATATCAACAATCTGATCATCGGTAGAACAATAAGAAACGAGCAACTCATTGCGCACCACCTTTTCACGAACAAAATGATAATCAACCTTGACATGGCGAGTGCGAGTGTGAAACACCGGATTAGAGACAAGAGAGAGAGAGAGCACTAATATTATCACACCAAAGGCCTTTCACAAACCACGCCATCAGCATATGTCTTCCAAACTTGTTCATCCTGCGACGCTCAGTTTGCACACACGGTGGTATTAAGGCAACTTTCCTAGCACACACATAAGTCAACCTCAAAATCTCCTCCTAGCAATTAGCTTTCTTGCTGTAAATCGGATTGTATTTATGTCTATATTATTTTTTACCTTAAGTAAACTTCTTGTACTTGTATAAATAGGGACTTTGTGTAATTTGTTTAATACAAGGAAATATATTATCTACAAGAATCATATGACATGATTGTTGACGCAAGGTTATAGGGGGCCTCGACGCAAAGGTAACATGATGAGTTTTCATCATCTCTTTGTCATACTCAGCTGATGAAATAACTATGCATGGTTGAAACTTCTCCAAACCTCTGGTGCATAAGGGGTCCATATGTCTTGGTAAGTCTCTTAGTTTATGATGGGGTAGAGAGCAAATGAGCTAATGTATGTTTCCTGTAGGTAGCTTCCATGGCCCTGGTGGTAGATTTGAAACGGAGTCTTTGGTTTTGCCTCTGTTCCCTATTTTCAGTACCAAAAAGATAAAGAGCATTAACATCTATGCATATATAACATAGGATGTTGCTATGTTTTTTTCTGATGCAAAGATTCTGCAAACTTGGTTGGTATCTATTTCCTTTCATAATAATTACTATTGTTATTCTTCATGTGCGTCGTTTCAGTTCTGTTTACTAGTAAGTCCAAGCCCACTAGAAATGAAGGGCTCCGGCAAGTGTGTTATTAGTCCAACAGATAGTACACAGAAGGAATATAGAATTCAACAATTGGCCAATCCGAGGTATTAAAATTTAATCGAGGATGCTGCCATGTGTTTTTCCTGGTGCTTAGATTCTCTCAACTCTCTATATACAACAAATCTAGAAAATAAATACAAATAAATCGGAAAATAAATCCTTTAGGGATTATGTCTCATTACACCCCCACAAGCTGACGGGGCGGGGGTGCACAGGCAGCTTGGACCGAAGTAAAGAAAACCGAGCATGAGATAGACCCTTAGTGAAGATATTAGCAATCTGAGCAACGAGCAACTCATTGTGCACCACCTTTTCACGAACAAAATGATAATCAACCTCAACGTGGCGAGTGCGAGTGTGAAACACCGGATTAGAGGCAAGAGAGAGAGAGCACTAATATTATTGCACCAAAGATTAGGACATGGAACTGGAAGATGAAGATCAAGAAACAAAGCATGTAACCAAGATAGAGTGGCGACAGTGTAGGCAAGGTGGCTGTACTCGGACTCAATACTGGAGCGGGAGACACCGCGTTGTTTTTTTGAGCTCCAAGAAATTAAGTTAGTACCAAAATAAATGCAATAGTCACCAATGAAGCCACAATCGTCGGGATCCCCAGCATAATCAGCATCAGAATCGGCATTGAGATGAAGAGTGCTTGGCGAATAGAGTAACCCAAGAGTAAGCGTGCCATTGAGATAACGAAGAATGCGCTTAATAGCGAGCCAATGAACAACAGTAGGTTGATACATAAATTGACAAACTTGATTAACAGCAAAGGCAATGTTTAGTACTGAAGAGCACCACCAATACTATGGTACTCAGTGGGGTCAGAGAGAAGATCTCTGTTAGAGATGCTAAGACGATGACCACTAACAACCGGTGTAGGCACGGGTTTGGCTTCGTGCATGTTAACACGCTTGAGGAGATCCAAAACATATTTGGTCAGAGTAAGAGATAGAATTGACTAAGTACGATAAGCTTTATGCCCAAGATATAATGAGAGGGTCTAAGATCCTTCATAGAAAATTGACAACCCAAATTAGAAATAAGTGCGGTGATGCGAGAGGGATTGGAACTAGTGACAAGGATATCATCGACATAAATCAACAGATAAATGCAAACAAAACCATGAATGGAGATAAAGAGAGAAGAATCGTACTTAAATGCAGTGAATCCCAACTGAAGACGATGAGAATAGAAACATTGAAACCAAGTGCGAGGAGCCTGCTTGAGACCACAATGACATCGAAGTAAACGACATACATGATCAGGATTGGCGGGATCCACAAAGCCAACGGGCTGGCACATACACCTCTTCATTTAGGTAACCGTGCAAGAAGGCATTCTGACATCCAATTGACGAACTATCCAACATAACTTCACACAGACCAAGATAAGACGAATTGTAGAATTATTAACAATGGGACTAACTGTTTCACCATAGTCCAGCCTCGATTGTTGATGAAAATCATTGGCCACTAAGAAGGCCTTATAACGCTGAATAAAGCCATCAGAATTCTGCTTGACACAAAAACCCCACTTATTCGACAACACATTTATAGTGAAGTACGAGGGACCAGATTCCAAGTCCTAGGATGAAAAAGAGCATTAAACTTATCCACCATAGCAAGACACCATTCCTTATGCTTATGAGCCAGTGAAAAAGATGTGGGGTCAACCGTACCATTAGTAGAAGATAAAACCAACACATGACTAGTATATTTAGGATTAGGTTTGTGGATACCAATTTTAGCATGAATAACCATCGAATGAGCAGGGGAAGCACTTAGAGACGTATCAAAAATAAGGGGAGAAGATGTACTAGATGAAATAGGGGTTGGAGGAGGCTGAGAATCGAGAAGCTGAAGGCGTGAGGGGACTAACTGGGTGGATGAGAAGGGCATCAGGAATCAGTTGGCTACACGACTAGGGAGTTGGGCGCAAGAGCAGATGCATCATGGGTGATGGCAGATACGAATGGGGCAGGGCTAGAAGCACATGTTACTGTGGGCGGAAGGGTCAGGCTTTGGAGAAGGGTGATTGGACAAAGGCTATGACGCTGGAAGGTGTAGGTTACAGGAAGAGAAACACGGGCTAGAAAGGATGAGAGGCGGGTCTGACAACAGAGAATGGTCTGGAGCAGGAGCAGACTGGGCCTTGTTAAATGGAAAAGAAAATTCATCAAATAACACATGATGTGATAATAAAAAAAACACGATTAGAAACAAGATCTAAGCATCGATAACCCTAATGGTTCAAAGAATAACCAAGAAACATAGATTTGGAAGACCAAAATTTTAATTTATTATTATTATATGGCTGTAAATAAGGAACACATGCGCACCCAAAAGTTTTTAAAAATCAATAATTAGGTTCTTCGTGAAACAAAATTTCATAAGGTGATTTGTCCTAAACAACTTAGAAGGAATACTGTTAATTAAATAAACAACTGTATGTATTGCCTAGTCCCAATATGGAGGAGGCATGGAGGCATGGGCTAAAAGAGTGAGCCTGGCGTCAACAATGTGACGATACTTACGTTTGGTTAAGCTATTTTGCTCAGCATGATGTGGACAAGAAATACGATGATGAATGCCATGATGAGATAAAAAAATCCTTAAATTGATGACTAGCGTATTCCACACCCCCATCGGATTGAAGGGCCTTAATCAAAGTAGAAAACAGATTTTCAACCAAAGCTTTAAATTTAACAAAGGGAGAGAAAACATTTGATTTCAATTTCATCGGAAAAATCCAAGAATAACGAGAAAAATTCTCAACAAATAAAACATAATAATTAAAACCAACAATAGATTTATTTGAAGAACTCCACACATCGAAGTGAATAAGTTTCAGTGGAGAATAAGAGACAGAAAAAGATGGACTAAAGGGTAATTTAACACTTTTACCTAACAGACATGATTGACAAAAAGAACTAAACCTAGAGCCAGAAGATGGCAGTTTATTATGTGATAACAAAAATTGTAAAGTAGATGTAGCAGGATGACCAAGGCGAGAGTGCTACAAGAGCGATCAACACGGACACATAGTAAAGCAACACTATTAGCAAAACTTGAAAAGACTCATTCAGTGTAAAAGAACATGGATATAGGCCATTGCTACTCTTGCCCAAAAAAAGCGTCTTCCACATCGCCAAATCCTAGATAAAATAACAATCAAGAAAAAATTTGAAGAAACAATGGTTATCAGTAGCAAATTTATGAACAAATAAATGAGGAAGAGAGGCATCGGGAAAGTGTAGAACATCATTAAGGTGGAAAGAAGAATTAAGGTGAGAGAAACAAGAGTGACCAATATTTTTAATAGGCAAACCTGTTCCACCAGCACACCTCCAACATTGTAGAAACCATGATAATCTCTAGAAAGGGATAAGTGTCTCAAGTCGTTGGTAATATGAGTGTTAGCACTGGTATTAACAACCCATTGTTGATGGCCACTATGCGAAGGATGTTGAGCAAAGGCACCGAAGAAGCCTTGGAGGGACAGACAGTAGCAATGTGGCCAAAACCATGACAATTGAAACATTGAATAGGCCCACGAGTAGAAGGAGGCCCAAAAGAGAAGGAGTAAAGCCAAATGGCGGTGGCCCAATAGGACCAGGCCCAAAAGTATTGCCAAGATGCTGCTGATGTGGACCTGTTAGGTGTGCCAGAAAAACTACGACCTAAGAAAAATTCAGAGCATGAGGGTGAGAAAGAACCATGATCGCCAAAAACGCGACCACCGCAACTAGCAACTCTGCTATAATCGCCATAACCACGACCACTGCAACCGCCACGGGAAGCCACCATGGTTGACGCACCAGAAGAAATAGCAAGAGAAGAAGAAGCCTGAAGTAGACGTTTCGTAGAGAGAAAGAGGGCTTCAAGAGAAGATATATGATAACTCATATATTTATACATTTATACCATCCATTTCTAGTCTATTTGTGAAGTTTTTGAGTTAAACTTGTTACGTTTTACCCTATTTTGTGTTAGTATACAGTTGCATCTACTTTAGGATTAAGTTGAAGGCAAAAGAAATGAAAACATGCCATTTTTGGAGTTGACCCTTATTGAAACGTGGAAACAAATTTCGTGACCTGTTTTGAAGTCCAAATAAAGAATCCAAAGCGAACCTGGCTCGTTTGAAGACTAAGAGCAAAATGGGAAAGCAATGAGGATTTCTAGCCTGATTTGGAGGTGCCAAATAAGGCAAAAACGTGCAAAATAAAGGCTGATTTGTTAGTATATCTTTGGAATATATGGCAGCCTCTTTTACCCCATAAAAACTTGCCTTTTAGCCACTTTTATAGACCCTATTTATTTTGGACGAATTTCACAACCCTGGACACTACTTTTTGGTTATTCTCTCCTTTCATGCACACTAAAACCCTAGCCGTCCATATATTTCCACCATCAGGACTTATCGGAGGAGGCTGTTCTTGGAGAAGTTCAACATCAGAATTGGTTCAAGGGTTTCCTCTCTTGAATTTATTTTCACTCATGTTGTTTATTTTTGTTTTAATCTCTGTGAACATGATGTGTAACTAAATTCATAGCTAGGGATTTCGATGTAGCCTTGCAACATTGATCCATGTTTCTAAGTTAAAGTATTCAGTTCATCAATCTGCTTCTTGTTTCATTCACTGAATCTATGGTTAAATTTGTTTGTCTATTTTAATGTTTGATCAGAATTAGGGTTGCCTACAGATTATCTGGACAAGGTTATAGTAAACATCGTGCTTAATCTTGGTAGACATGTGAATGAATGAAGAGAATGCTATGCAAATATTATGCTATGTATTTTCTTTGGTTCTTTAACGTTTTCTTGCATGCTAATGACTCTTAACTTGGAACCAAAGTTGAAAATCCCAATTAGGTTGCATATTAGGAGAATTTGATCAAAACCACACATCATATGGCTGATCATATATATGAAAAACGAATTTTAGAAACAGGTTGGTAGTTGAAAACGGTATAACTTTATAACCATGGAATTGGTTTTGCAAAGGTGAATTCGAAATCCCTGGTCTCATCCTTATTCTATCTATATCAATATATCATTCACTACTACATTCTTCTTGCATTTTAAGTTAGTATTCATTTACAACATAAAAACTACTTTCACTTTGTCACTATTTTTAGTTAGGGTTCTTTTAAAACTAGTAATTTATAGAGGTCCAATCGGTCCCTGTGTTTCGACACCCTTGCTTCTACCACTATACTAACCATATATTGGCACTTGGAAAGAACACAACAATATATTGATGGGTGTCACACGAGCTTGAGCAGTGACAATAGTGTTTTCATAAAGGGGGCCAACATTGTTCATAACCACAACAAGGAGATCAGAATCAGAAACGGGAGCACCAATCAAAGCCAAGTTATAGAAAATAGAGGTAATGTGATCAAGAAAATCGATGATGGAAGAATCACCACGGGTCGTGCGAAGCAAATCACTGCGTAGTTAAATAAGACTATTTTGATTCGGAGAAGCGAAATCTCAAGCACCACCAAGTGTCATGGCCAGTTGTTTTGGTAGCAACGGTGGTGAGGACCTTATGGTGAAGAGAACCATTGATGAGAGTGAGAACAAGCTGATCTTTCTAGATCCAGTCATCATATTTGGGTTTGGGGATGAGAGATGGAAGAGAAGAATCATCGTTCTTAGCCTTGGGATCGAGAATGGTCAGAGGAGGAGACTGGCAGCTACCATCAACAAAGCAAAGCAAGCGACGGCAGCGAAGAAGAGGAACAATCTGAGCTAGCCATGTTGGATAATTATCACGCTTGAGACGAACATAGATAATGTGATTGATACTCGTGATGTCAAGAACTAGAGAAGAAGAAGTCATGGCTCTGATACCATGAAAGGTTTGGAATATTCTCAATGCTTTTCATTGAACAATCGTATGATAATTATATACAGAGCTTTGCTTGGTATCTACACAAAGGATTTCCTATTCTAGGTAAGAATCAAGTCCTTGGGAGACAAGGAATATATATAGCAAATCTAGGAAAGAAATACAAATAAACAGGAAAAGCTGATTGAGTTCTTCCACCTCCGCCTACGTGGGGTAGAGGTTCGAAATTGCCAGGCACCCAATGAATATAAACCCCTCCCCGAATCGGTTGTACTAAAACAAATTAAAAATTAAAAATGCATGCAATTCCACTGGGAAGCCACTATAATCCAACTCTCCTGTATTTTTCCATGGACCTTCAATGGCCTTCCTTCCAAGTCATGGTTGCCTTCTTGCTAAACCCTATAATCATGGTCCAGAAAATAGGAAGAGAGGCAAAACCAAGTGCTGGTACTCTGCTTCAAACCTATCCCCAAAGCCATGGAAGCTCTCCCTTATAGGGAATGACTAAAACGTATTGACTTCCCCTGCGCTTAGTAAAATGTAAAAGAAATAATTGATTCAATTCAAATTCTTAACTCCCCTGTTATTAAGTTATACTCTTGGCAGAGCCCTTTGAAAATAAAGATTTATATGTCCTCGAGATTCCAAGTTATCCTTTAAAAATAAAGAAAATAGAACATGTAAAACGATCACACCTTTGTTAATCAGATTTTTATTTTATTTTTTGTCAAAACCAATCAGATCTGACCAAAGCATTGACATTTTGTTTTCTGTACTATTTATTTCAAGTAAATTGATTGCTCCAAAGCTACCTCTGATAAAATATTTTTTTCAAGCAATAATACTAGACCTTAAGACAACCATCAAAGAACAACCATCCTCAGACAAAACAGCTCTTAAATATTATTACTTACATGAAAGAGATATTAATCAGTTGAGAAGTAATCTTTGTTTAAGAAGGTTGCTGCATCATTTCTTATATATAGATGTAAAATGCATGAAGGTTCACCAAAAGCCACTATAATCCAAAGTAACCTTTGTTTTCCTGATGGAGATTCAGTGCCCTTCCTTCCAAATCCTGTTAGCCTTCTTGCTCTTTATGATCATGGCACTGAAAATACGGAAGATCAGAAGCAAAACCAAATACTCAGCCTCAAATCTACCGCCAGGGCCATGGAAGCAACCCGTTATAGGAAACCTGCACCAGCTCGCTGGCTCTCTACCACATCAAAGACTAAGAGACTTGGCCAAGAAATATGGACCGCTTATGCACCTAAAGCTTGGAGAAGTTTCCACCGTAGTAGTTTCATCAGCAGAGTTTGCCAAAGAGGTGATGAAAACCCATGATCTTATCTTTGCATCCAGGCCCCAAGTCCTTGCCACAAGGATCTTGTCGTACGGTTCTACAAACATTGCCTTTGCACCATATGGTGAATACTGGAAACTACTACGAAAAATTTGCACTTTAGAGCTTTTAAGTGCAAAACGTGTTCGATCTTACCGACCTATTAGGGAAGAAGAGGTACAGAATCTCATTAAATCGATTGCCTTAAGAGCAGGATCACCAATCAATCTTACACAGGCTCGACATTTACCATCACTTCGCAAGCAGCGTTTGATAAAAAGATCAAGAAAATTCATATACATTGTGAAGGAAGCTATAAAGGCAGCATCTGGCTTCGCTCTTGCAGATGTTTTTCCTTCTATCAGGTTGCTTCATCTCTTAAGTGGAATGAGGCCTAAACTTGAGAGGCTGCATAAAGAAGCTGACAGGATAATGGGAAACATCATCAAAGAACATCAAGGGGATATGGTCACTACAAAAAGTGGCGAGGGTCATATACATTGTGAAGGAAGCTATAAAGGCAGCATCTGGCTTCGCTCTTGCAGATGTTTTTCCTTCTATCAGTTTGCTTCATCTCTTAAGTGGAATGAGGCCTAAACTTGAGAGGCTGCATAAAGAAGCTGACAGGATAATGGGAAACATCATCAAAGAACATCAAGGGGATATGGTCACTACAAAAGTGGCGAGGGTCATATACATTGTGAAGGAAGCTATAAAGGCAGCATCTGGCTTCGCTCTTGCAGATGTTCTTCCTTCTATCAGTTTGCTTCATCTCTTAAGTGGAATGAGGCCTAAACTTGAGAGGCTGCATAAAGAAGCTGACAGGATAATGGGAAACATCATCAAAAAACATCAAGGGGATATGGTCACTACAAAAAGTGGCAAGGGTGAAGCAGAGGAAGACCTATTAGACGTTCTCCTTAAATTTCATGAGCATGGAAATGAGCTTGAGTTTTCCCTAACTACTGAGAACATCAAAGCAGTTATCTTGGTAAGTACACACACTTATTTCCTTCTGGTTCTTGATGACCACAAAAGTACCATTTATTTCCTTCAACATTCATCCTTAGAAGAGTAACCATAGCACAAACCGCGTTGTAGACATACTACAAGTAGTGTAGTCACCAAAGATTCAAACAATGTTGGCAAGCACGCCAAAAAAAATATGGCTGGTCTTTCTCATCGACTTACCTCTACAGACACCAAAAAATTGAGCTATAATCTAGTTAAGCAAATTCAGCCAATCCCTTACATCATTCCCTGCAGCCGTCCAAAGCTTCTACAGCTAGTTCTTCAAGTATAATATGTTTTGTAAGGGACAACATTGTGCTGTCTATATATCTTTTATTCGAAAACATATGACAACTGATCTACTTGAAAAAGCTGGTTAAAGATCTTCCTGCATTCTAATCATACATTATCTTAAACCGTTGATTGAAACTCCAATGTGCAGCATTTTCATGATGAGTGATTTACTGATGAGAGTGTTTTACTGTCACATGTGTCTATTGTTCTCCATAATCATTACTGATATTTAAGACACTCTTATGTGTTGATGTGTAACCCTTGAGTTGAAATCCTTGGAGCCAAAGGTTTTTTTGTTTGAACTTTCCTTTTATATGTTTTAAACTCTGTTTGTAATATGAGCCATTGGATCATAGTCCAAGTGGTCTCTTATCTAGCCTAGGATATAATCTGTCAGATTGTGACAAGTGTACTAATCTCATAGGATGATAGGATCAAAGGCTAGGATTAAATCCTTGTGTAAATCAGTTAGAGAAGAATCTCACTTCTCTCTTCTCATATATGAAAATAGATGAATAGTGCAATAGTATGAACAGTAACTTTCAGCTTTCTTCTCCAAAGCAACGTTCTCTTATTCATCTGTTTGCTGTGATCTTTTCCTTTCTCCCAAACATCCAAAACACTGAAAAACAATGAATTCTAACATGGCCTCAGAGCCAGGTTCGATTTTTGAGCTTGGCGTGAATCTATGAATAGGGAGTCGGAATCGATTTGAGCTGGGTTTGAGCTCCTTCGACGATTGCAGCTGTAATTTCTTAAATCCAATGTCTAATATGGCAGGATCGGGAACAGCTGAGCTTCGCACAACAGTTTTCAATGGAGAAAACTATGAGTTTTGGAGCATTAGGATGAAAACCATTCTGAAATCTCATGTATTGTGGGATCTGGTCGAGAATGGGTTCAATGATTCAGATCTGAAGAAGGAGAAAGAGGAGGCTACGGATACTGAGAAGTCCACGATGGCCCAAATTCTGATGAAGGATGCTCGCGCACTTGGATTGATTCAAAGTGCTATCTCAGATCAGCTATTCCCCAGAATTTGAACGAGGAGACCTCAAAGGGTGCCTGGGATATTCTGAAGCTGGAGTTCAGAGGCGATAAACAAGTAAGGAATGTTAAGTTGCAAGAGTTGCGTAGAGAATTTGAATATACTCGTATGAAGGATAGTGAATCTCTATCTGTATATCTTGTTAGATTGTTTGATATGTTGAATCAAATGAAGAGTTATGGTGAGGAATTACCTAGAGAGAGAGTTGTGCAGAAATTGTTGTTTAGTCTGCCGAAATCATATGATTCCATTTGCTCTGTGATTGAACACTCTAAGGATCTTGAAACTCTAGAAGTTCAAGAGGTGGTTGCCTCTTTGAAGAGCTTTGAGCTCAGGTTGGATCGCCATACTGAGAATTCTATAGAAAGGGCTTTTACCAGTCTGAATATTGAGGAAAAGAAGTCTAAAAGTGGGAGTTTTTCTGGAGATCAAATTCTCAGAAAAATTGGAAGTCTAATGATGGTAACAAAACAGCTTGTGAACACTGTGATAAGCTACATTATGGCAAATGTTGGTTTGAGGGGAAGCCTAAATGCCATGGGTGTGGGAAATTTGGGCATATGATCAAAGATTGCAATGGGAATAAAAATGCACATAAGGTGAATTATGCAAATCAAGTTGAGGAAAACTGGTACTTTGTTCTATGTGTGCAATGCTGCAACAAATGTGAAAGTGAACCATTCATGGTATATTGACAGTGGTTGTAGTAACCACATGACAGGAGATGAGGGACTTTTAGTCAACATTCAAAGGAACTTGACCTCTAAAGTGAAGATGGGAATTGGAGAAGTAGTTCCAGTTGCAGGAAAAGGACTCTTGTGAGTTGGGTAAGAAGCACATTCAAGAAGTAATGCTTGTACCTGTCTTGAAGAAAATCTGCTAACCGTTGGGAAAATGATGGAACATGGGTACTATCTTGTGTTTGGAGGGAATATGGTGAATATTTATGATGATCAGTCATTGAGAAATCTGATTGTGAGGGTTTAAATGACAAACAACAGATGTTTTCCACTTACAATGATGCCTGCAAGTGATTTGGCCTTAAAGGCAAGTGTTACACACTGTTTGCAGACATGGCATAAGAGATTGGGGCACTTAAACGAAAGAAGTATAAAATTGCTTGAGAATCAAGGCATGGTTCATGGCTTACCTCATTTGGAGCAGATTTCAGTAGTATGTGAAGGCTACATGCTAGGAAAGCAACACAGAGATTCTTTCCCCTTGGAGTCCACTTGGAGAGCTACAAGTCCTTTGGAATTGGTTCACACAGATATTTGTGGACCAATGAAGACTGAATCCATTTATGGAAATAGGTATTTCTTGCTATTTACAGATGATTGTACTAGAATGTCATGGGTGTATTTCATCAGAAACAAGTCAAGTGCATTTGAATGTTTTAGAAAGTTCAAGGCTATGACTGAGCTGCAAAGTGGATATAAGATAAAAGGCTTGAGGAGTGACAGGGGTGGAGAGTTTTTATCAGGTGAATTTAACAAGTTTTGTGATGAATTCGGAATTCAAAGGCAGCTAACTGTAGCATACTCTCCTCAGCAAGACGGAGTAGCCAGGAGAAAGAATAGAACAGTGGTGGAAATGGCAAAATCCATGTTGCATGAGAAGGGTATTCCTTATGAATTTTGGGCAGATGCTGTGAATACTGCAGTCTATTTACTAAATAGATGTCCCACCAAATCTCTCAAGAAGGTAACACCATTTGAAGCTTATACTGGCAGAAAACTAGGAATTGAACACTTAAAGATTTTTGGATCTCCTTGTCATGTGCTCATCCCTTCAGCATTAAGGCATAAACTGGAAGAAAATAGCCACAAGTGTATCTTTGTGGGTTATAGACTCTGTGAAAAAGGGTACAGGCTATTTGATCCAAGAACTAGAAAGGTTATTCTGTCCAGAGATGTGCAGTTTGATGAAAATGGCTCATGGAAGTGGGAGAATACAAGTGCAGGAGAGATGACAGTCCCTGTGCCTACTGAAAATCAAGACTGTAATCCAAGTCAGGACTTGGATACACAAACTCAAATAGATGAAGGAATCACACTACAAAATGAACCAAGTCAAAGCTTGGATACACAAACTCAAATAGATGAAGGTACTACTCTGCAAGATGAAGGAATAAGTGAAAGTTCTCAAGCTATTGATCACACACCAAAGAAATGGAGAAGTGTTAATGAAATCATGGCTCAATGCAATATGTACATTGTGGAACCTGAAAGTTTTGAAGAAGCTAATCTTGATGAGTCATGGAAAAATGCAATGAAGGCTGAGCTGGAAATGATTGAGAAAAATAATACATGGACACTAGGGGACAGACCTTTTGGCAAGCCAATTATTGGTGTCAACTGGGTCTACAAAACGAAGCTAAATCTGGATGGATCTGTGCAGAAAAACAAGGCCAGACTTGTGGCAAAAGGCTACTCTCAGAAGCCTAGAATAGACTATAATGAGACGTTTGCTCCAGTAGCAAGATTGGATACTATTAGAACCTTGATAGCTCTTGCTGCACAGAAGGAATGGAATCTATATCAACTGGATGTCAAATCTGCTTTTCTGAATGGAGTTTTAAAGGAAGAGGTTTATGTGGAGTAGCCACAGGGTTTTGTGAAGGAAAATGAAGAAATCAGAGTGTATAAGTTGAACAAGGCCTTGTATGGACTAAAGCAAGCCCCAAGAGCCTAGTATGATGAGATAGACTCTTACTTCAACAAGGTAGGATTCAAGAAAAGTCCTAGTGAAGCAACACTCTATGTGAAAACTAGTGAAGATTAGGTATCTTATTGTCTCACTCTATGTGGATGATATTGTCTATACTGGAAGTTGTCCAAAATTACTTGAAGAGTTCAAAAATGATATGATGCAACATTATGAAATGATTGATCTTGGACTACTTTATCATTTTCTTGGCATGGGAGTAGTACAAACAAATAAACATATCTTTCTTCATCAGAAGAAATATGCATTGAAGGTGATTGAAAAGTTTGGATTGAAGGATTGCAAGTCTGTGGTAACTCCACTAGTTGTAAATGAAAGGCTGTGCAAGGAAGATGGTAGTGAGGCAGCAAATGAGAGTGAATATGGACAGATTGTAGGTAGTCTGCTCTATCTGACAGCTACAAGACTAGACATAACGTTTGCCTCTAGCTTGCTTGCTAGATTCATGTATAATCCTACTAGAAAACACATGGGAACAGCCAAGAGGGTATTGAGATACATTCAGGGCACACTTGACTTTGGAATTGAATTTATAAAAGGGAAGACAGCTACCTTAATGGTATTGTGACAGTGACTAGGCAGGAAGTGAAGATAATAGAAGGAGTACCTCAGGATATGCATTCACACTAGGATCTGGTATGTTCTCACGGGCATCAATTAAACAAAACACAGTAGCCTTGTCTACTGCAGAGGCAGAATACGTTAGTGTTGCTGAAGCAACAACACAAGCTAAATGGTTAAGGTTTGTACTTGAAGATTTTGGAGAGGAGCAAGTGGAAGGCACACCAATTCTGTGTGATAACACCTCTGCCATAGCAATGGCAAACAATCTGGTTTTCCACCAGAAAACCAGACATATTAGCCGAAAGTTTCATTTCATTAGAGAAGCTATTCAAGCAAAGGAGATTGAACTAATCTACTGCAAAACAGAAGATCAGATCGCAAACATTCTAACCAAGGCTTTGTCCAAGGATCGTTTTGTGTATCTCAGAAATCTACTTGGTGTGAAATTAGCCAAAGGGTTAGAAGGGAGTGTTGATGTGTAACCCTTGAGCTGAAATCCTTGGAGCCAAAGGTTTTTTTGTTTGAACTTTATTTCATTTTATATGTTTCAAACTCTGTTTGTAATATGAGCCATTGGATCATAGTCCAAGTGGTCTCTTATCTAGCCTAGGATATAATCTGTCAGATTGTGACAAGTGTAATCATCTCATAGGATGATAGGATCAAAGGCTAGGATTAAATCCCTGTGTAAATCAGTTAGAGAAGAATCTCACTTCTCTCTTCTCATATACGAAAATAGATGAATAGTGCAATAGTATGAACAGTAACTTTCAGCTTTCTTCTCCAGAGCAACGTTCTCTTATTCATCTATTTGCTGTGATCTTTTCCTTTCTCCCAAACATCCAAAACACTGAAAACAATGAATTCTAACATTACGAGTCAACATTTATAACTTGTGAACGAGCTTACTTGGGTACATGAATAATGGTTTCTTCTTTTAAGATTATTTATGATATTTTTCTATTTACTTAGAATTGTTTGCAATTCATAGAGGAAACTAGTTTTTTATCATTTAATAAATTAAGTACTTTCAGGATATTTTTGCTGCTGGGAGTGAGACATCATCTACAGTCGTAGATTGGGCAATAGCAGAAATGATAAAAAATCCAAGAGTAATGAACATGGCACAGAATGAGGTGAGGGAAGTGTTTAGAAAAGGGCAGGTAGATGAAACATGCATTAGAGAGATGAAATATTTAAACTTAGTTATAAAGGAGACACTGAGGTTACCCCCCCCCGGGTCCCCTGTTACTTCCAAGGGAATGCGGAGAGAAATGTGAGATTGATGGATATGAAATACCTGTAAAATCCAAGGTAATTGTGAATGCATGGGCAATTGGTAGAGATCCCAATTACTGGAATGAGCCTGAGAGCTTTAATCCCGACAGGTTCCTCGATAGCTCGATTGACTACAAGGGTACAAATGTTGAATATATCCCATTTGGTGCTGGAAGGAGAATGTGCCCTGGCGTGTCATTTGGTCTGGCCAACGTTGAGCTCCCACTTGCATTGTTGTTATACCATTTTGATTGGAAACTCCCCAATGGGATGAAGCATGAGGACCTGGACATGACTGAGGCCTTTGGCACTGCAGTCAAAAGAAAAGACGATCTGCACTTGATTCCCATTCCTTATCATCCTCCGCCTACTGAAAAATCCCAAGTATAAGATGCTTAACTGTTTGTATTTATCTGAGAGTAATCATCGTTGTTTGTTTATGTTATCCCATGTTGTAAGAACTACAAGGCCTAGTGTCAGTATTTAATTAAGAACCATGCATATTAACGCATTTTCTATCATCATGAGCAAATTAGCAGAAACACAAACACCAAAACTGCATAATGAGATGAGAGGTTTCCCAAATCTCCATTTCGTAAATTTGCATGCCTAATCAGTGCTGGGTTTGGATAATTTAGGGTTCGTCTCGTCTTGTTCTGCTTTTGCTGCTGTTTTTGGTATATTAGGACTACTCTTTTTTTCTTCTTTTTTTTTGTTTTGGGTGTCTGGTTGATATCCTGATCTTAACCCCAAAAAAAAAGAACACAAAGAACAATATTATAGTCACTCTAACCAAGGTCTAAAATATTGATGGTTTTGGAAATATTGGTAGTCCAAAAACATGGAAATTTCTATGGAAATATTGGGATATTATCGATATCGATAAAAATTGAATATAAAACCCCGAAATTGTAAGAAAAACTTGGAAATTTTTCTTTAAACTTAGGAGGATGTTTAATTCGTCAATTATCTATTACTTTATCACAAAAAATTGGAAGGAAATGCATTGCATGATGGGTTTACCTAATTTAAGTTGATTATATAGAGAGTTGACAAACACTTCGAGTGTAGAAAATATGTAGTAATTAATGAAAGAAGATTAAACACACTTTATAATAATCTTTATACATTGCATGGTAAGATACATGAGTAACTTAGTACCACATAGAGTATCCTACTGTTTCAATTAATGAATCAAAACCCTTTCACCCCTCAATAATAATCCTTTTATGTATAGTATTTAGTGCCAGTTTCTTGTGGCAAGAATGGAGAACTAACTAGTATGACTACTTATGCTTACTGTGCGATTCTTACATGCATGTTTCCATATCAACACATAAATTATGTCAAAACATTCAAAGTTATCTAGACATGAAAGTCAGTGAAAATGTGACTTTTATGTACTCGGTATTCAAGAACTTTCTTTGCACTTGTTCAAGTTGGCAATGAATCCTAGGTATAAAATTTCTCATAAAACCTACTTCAGACACTAACAACTCAAAATTCAAATTTACAAGTTTACACCGAAATACAAAACTACTTCAGTATCATCAATGACCAAATCATATCAAGATATATAATAATCATTAAAGATACTTATGTTAATGTATGGTTTTTACTATTTTCTTTTGGCTTCCCTTGACAACTTTGTAATAGGATGTGTAATGTAATTTATCAAGCTCAAGTCTAGATTAGGGAAAACTTTTATTGGCGCTCTTCTCTAATCTCTGCTCTGTGGTGGCTCAAGCAAGTTGACAAAGGTATTGAGCATTGCATATCATTACATTAAACAGTCTTCATAAAATGATGACTAGTCATCCGTTTCTCATATGACTAGTCATCCTTGCTTCCAGCTGGATAACAAACTGTTTTGTCCTATTCTTCTTTCTCTCTCTCTGCTGCCAAGTGGGTTTCTGACCTAAGGAATTTGTTGGTCTGTAAAGGCCACGATTTTTCTCATTTGGCAGTTGTCTCTTTTGGGGAGGAAGTTTTGGAAAGATTGGCTTACGATCTTTCTCTTCTTCTTCCTCAAGAGAGAACCAAATATTTCATCTATGAGTTTTTCCAATTGATATCTTTTTGAAAAACTGCTTTTGAAACCCGAATCTGCATCTAGCTACTTAAATCATCTCTCATTTATATCTAGGTCAGATTCAAGATTGATTTCTTCAAGAGTATGGTTTCTTGAAGAAATTGGTCATTCTCCTTTGAATCCAAATATTGGTTTCGGTCTGTGTTGGAGCTTGCAAGCTAGTGCCATGGGATGAACGAGCTGGAGAAGGAGCTGCCATTGCCATGAAGAACTGAGCTTCAAGTTTTGCTAAGTTGGAGAAGAAGATTGCACAAAGGAGGTATTGCTCATATTCCTAAATAGACCTAGGTGCTTCTTGAGCTTGGTTGTGTTTCCTTTGTAAGAATCTTTTTCTACTTAGTGGAGTGCCTGGTCGGTTGATGACTCCCAGTTTTTCCCAATGGTGGGTTTTCTGGGTGAACAAAATCTGTTTTGCATATCTGTAATTTTTCTGGGTTTGTGTTCTTGGTGGTTGACTAGTCATCTTTATCTGCTGTTTGATGTTTACATGATAATGATGATTTCACACACTTTCACCATAGTTGTTGCTAGCACAGGGGATGCCTAGATTGACGGGTCCTTCTGAGTGCCTAGGTTGTCACTAGTAATCTTCTAGGATTGCAGGTACATTGTGGCATGCTCTGTGTATTCTCTTGGTTGTGATTGTTTCATGACTAGTAGTTGACTAGTCATATGTGTATTTGGTCAAGGTTTAAAGTGTGTGAAGATTGCTGTGTTGTTGTGTCTTGTTTGTGTGATTAAATTTACCCCTCGTCACCTAAGTACCATTTTCAATTGGTATCAGAGCGTCAGCTCTTAACACAAATAGAGAGATCCTAGGATTTGTTTTGGTGTTTGGGTGTGCTCACTATGGAAAGGGATCGAGTTGCTGGATCTTGCAACTCCCCTCCCTATTTGACGGCAATAACTACGCTGCATGGAGAAAAAATTTGAGATATTCCTTGATGCTCTTGATGAGTATGCAAGTGGGTATCTCACAAAAGAGTGGGTTGCTCCGGTCAAGACTGTTGAGGGTGAGGTTGTGCCCAAGCCTAGGTCAGAATGGACTGAAGCTGAGGTGTTTGCTGCATATTCAAACAAGAAGGCCAGAAATGCCTTAGTTACAGCTTTGTCTAGCACACAATTTGCACATATACAACACATCCCTAATGCTAAACAAGCTTGGGATAAACTAAGGGTGGTTCATGAAGGGGATGACCAAGTTAGAACCCTAAAACTTTCAGATGGTGCTTGCACAATTTGAAGAACTTAGGATGTCCGAAACTGAGTCTATTTCTGAGTTCTATGAGAGAGTTGAGATGATCACAAATGAAGCCATGAGTCTAGGTCAACCCATTGAAGAGCTTCTTGTTGTTCAGAAAATTCTTCGTGTTCTACCATCTAGGTTTAGAGCAAAGAAAACCGCAATCATGGAGGTCCAAAATTTAAATGAAATTAAGCTTGGCAAGCTTGTAGGAAAATTGAAAACCTATGAGATGGAATTGAATATGGAAGAAAATGACTCCAAAAAATCAAAAAATGTTGCACTTCAAGGAGTGCATGTTTCCTCTCTGAAAGGTGGTGAAAATCCTCAGGTTTTGAGGATGAGATGGCCTTGTTTGTCAAAAAATTTAGGAGAATTCTTAAGGATAAGGGAAAGTTTGCTAGAGAGGGCAGCTCTGGTAGTGAGAAACAGTTTAGACCATCAACTGATCGGTTTAATGAGAGGAATAAGGATGTCAAACCTTTCACGAAAGATTTTAGAAAATCTGTCAAGTGCTTCACATGTGGAGGCATTGGACACTATGCTGCTGACTGTGCAAACAATCAGAAAAAATACTCCAAAGGAAAGGACAAGGCCATGAAAGTGAGCTGGAGTGAGAGTGAAAGTGAAGGGTCTCAAGAGGATTCATCTTCCTCTGATGATGATGACCAACATGTTGCCTTTGTTGCCTCTGTGCAGCCCATGTCTGATGAATCTGATTCTGAGTCAGATGACCTGTCATACGAGTCATTAGGAAGAAAATATGATTGTTTGTTTAAAGAGACCTTGTCCTTGAAAGAAGAGAGCCTCAAACTTGAGGCAAATAAACCAAGATCTTCAACATGAAATTCTCATCTTAAAAGAAACCAAAAAGGAGTTGAGTGACAAATTTGAGTCTCTAGAAAAAGAAATTGATGCTCTTGTGTCAATTAGGAGTAACCTCGAGAACCAAGTTAATGTGCTCAAGGAAAGTAACATTGGTTTCCAGAACTCAAACAAACAGCTCCTAGGTGAATTGAATGAAGCAAATAGGAAGATTATATCTATGACCATTGGTGCTTCAAAAATTGACAAAATGTTGAATATGGGAAAACTTCATGGGGACAAAGGTGGTCTTGGATTTAATCACTTTGGGTTCTAGTTTGTCTAGTTCTACCACTAAGTTTGTCAAATCAGAAAATCCAGTCACGATTCCTCTTGATGTTCAGCAGGTTGTCAAGAAACCTAAGTTTGTTCCAACTTGTCACAGGTGTGGGTTGACTGGTCATATTCGACCAGTCTGTCATATGTATAGCAAAGATAAGACCAGAAAATTGTCTCCAAAATCTAAAAGGAATCCCAGATCTTTGCAAGATCAAGTTGATCATTTGCTGAATGAAGTCACTAAGATAGCCAAACTTGTCTCCCTCAAAATGAGTTCTCCTATTGTGCCTAAGTCTACTTGGATTGCAAGAGGTCATACCAAATCTCTTGTTGTGCTAAATGCTTTTGCTGCTTCAAATATCAACTCTTGGTATTTTGATAGTGGCTGTTCCAAACATATGTCTGGGGATAAAAATGTTTTCTCATCTCTCAGCCCCTTTGATGGAGGCACTGTGACTTTTGGTGGAGGTCATAGGTCTCAAGTTGTTGGAAAAGGTACTGTTTGTATCCCTGGTCTGCCCGAGCTTAAGAATGTTAGATTTGTTGAGGGTCTCACATCCAATCTCATTAGTGTGAGTCAGCTGTGTGATGATGGAATAGTAGAAGTTAGATTCTCCAAGCATGGCTGCAAAATCATTGGAAAAGGTGGCAATGAGATTGTGAGCGTGGCAAGGTCTAGGGACAATTGCTTTTGCATTGATGGTGTCAATGATGCAAAAGAAGTAGTTTGCAACAAGGTTGTAAATGAAACAAGTATTTTGTGGCATCAAAGGCTTGGACATGTTAATTTTAGAGACTTGCATAAATTGTCCAAGAGAGAGTTAGTAAGTGGTTTACCAAAGCTGGAAAAATCTGATGAGCATGTTTGTGAAGGATGTCAATTAGGCAAACAAGTCAGAGTGTCACACAAAAAGGTCAAACACATTCAAACAAATGTAATTCTAGAACTTGTTCACATGGACCTTGTTGGTCCTATCCAAACCGTGTCCCTTGGTGGAAAGAAATATATTCTTGTCATGGTTGATGATTTCTCTAGGTTTACTTGGGTCTCATTCCTACGTGAGAAATCTGAAACTTTTCAAAGGTTTAAGTCTGTTTGTCACCTTTTGCAAAAAGAGAAGATGACCAGTCATCTGCCTCTTGTTAGAATTAGAACAGACCATGGCTCTGAATTTGAGAATTCTCAGTTTCTGAAATTTTTGCGAAGAGATGGGAATTAAACATGAGTTCTCTGCACCTATTACACCTCAGCAAAATGGTGTTGTGGAGAGAAAGAATAGAGTGCTTGTAGAGATGGCAAGGGTGATGCTAAATAGCAAAAATCTTGCTAAACACTTTTGGGCTGAAGCTGTCAATACAGCTTGTTACATCTCAAACAGGGTATTTGTGAGGTCTGGTACCAAACAAACTCCCTATGAGATTTGGAAAGGAAAGAAGCCTAATGTGTCATATTTTAAGGTCTTTGGTAGCACATGCTATATTTTGAGAGATAGGGAGCATCTTGCTAAGTTTGATTCTAAGTGTGATAAGGGAATATTTCTAGGGTATTCCACCTCAAGCCGAGCCTATAGAGTGTACAACTGTAGGTCCAGAACCATCATTGAATCCATAAATGTCACTATTGATGATTTTGCTGCCTCTATAGAGATGGCATTAGATGAGGATGGTCTTTTTCCTCCTCCTCCACTTGAGCAAGAATCTCCATGTCTGGATCTTGTGGTTGACCTGTCAACTTTTGGAAATTCTGTCCCGGTTGACCTGTCAACCCCTTCAACTTCTAGTTCCATCTTCTCTGTCTAGGCTGCCAGCTCTCATACTGATCATAGTCCTCTCACTCCATCTGAGAGTGTCATTATTGGCCCTCTTAATCAGGGAGTGAGAACTAGGAACAACTTACTCAAGAAATTAGCCATGTGTGTTATGTTTCCAAGGAAGAGCCTAGAAATGTGAAAGAAGCCTTGCACCATGGTGAATGGTTTCTTGCAATGCAGGAAGAATTAAATCAATTTGTGAGAAATGACGTTTGGTACCTTGTTCCTAGACTAGTCCACACAAATGTCTGATCCAGGTGGATCTTTTCAAGATAATTAAATAATAAATATTATTTAAATTAAATAATTTATCAACCATTCGACTCGAATGGTTTAAGAAGAAATGGTTCTGAACCATTTAAAAATTAATGGTTTGAATTACCTAAAGAATTTAAACCATTTAACATTTGTGGTTTAAATTCATTTATTATTTTTAGTTTTCTATTCTAGGCATTCAGGCTTGTATATAAACCATTGTAGTTGAATGAATTAAAACAGGCAGAACTCAAAGCAGTTCCTTAGCTTCTTCCTTTTGTTTCTCTAAATTGTCTTAAAATTCCTCTCGTTCCCTTATTCCTATAAACTAGGAATTCATAGTTCTATCGACTAGAAGTTTTGGATCAAGTGGTATCAGAGCACCAGATCCGAGAGGGTGACGGTGGGTTTATGGTCTCAACTCGCAACCAACGCAAAGCTTCTGGAGAAGAACTTTTAGGTCCTTTGCTCGTACACCGAAAGCCAAGGTCCAAGAGAGACAATATGACTGGAGAAAACAAACAGGATACATCTAGTGATGGCGATCGCATCACTAAACTTGAGCAACAAGTTGAAAACTTGTCTGCATCAATCCTTAAACTCGTGGAGAGTTTGAAGACTGGAAAATCTTCACGTCCATCAACTTCATCTGAGCCTGATCAAAAGCTCAAGAAAAAGGTTGTTGAGGATAGCGAAGATGAAGACGACATACAAGCTGATCCAACGAAAAAGGAAGCTGAATCAGGTGACAATAAAAATTCTATTGATACCTTAAAGATTGATTTTAAGGTTGACATCCCTATTTATAAAGGAGATATTGATCCTGAAAAGCTAGATAACTGGATAGACACATTAGAAACTTATTTCACAGTTTATAAGTATTCTAATGTGCAAAAAATAAAATATGCGAGTTTGAAACTTTCAAGCCATGCCCTTACATGGTGGAAGTCCTATCAGAGACGGTATGATGTCTCAGAATTGACTTGGAAGAACTTCAAGAAGCTTTTGAGAAAACAATTTTATCCAGTTGGCTATGAAGATGAAAGATGGTATAAGTGGCAACACTTCAGACAAAGATTTGGGCAGCCTGTACAAGAGTATACAACAGAGTTCCACAACCAAGCTATGGTTCTGGACATTGACGTTGACGACTACGACGTTTTCATGAAGTATACCGGAGGTCTTGCCGACTACATACGGAAAGAACTAAAATTGTTCACCGTAGATACTATTGAAGATGCTACTGTGAAGGCCATAGCCATTGAGGCAAAAAATAAAAGAACTGACAAGAAGGATGACAGATCAAAACCTGTCAACAAAACTGACTGGCAGAAAAAGGGGAAGCAGAGCAAGGAAGGTCAGACACAGAATGTCTACTGTGATCACTGTCAAACCAGCAGACATGCCAAAGACAAGTGCTGGATACTCCATCCAGAGTTACGGCCAAAGCGCGAGAAAAACAACCAGGGGAGAAATGACAGAAAAGCCACATTAACTGCACAACGGGCAGAAGAGCTTCCAGAGTTGAAGCAACCTGATGTTACACTTACCCTTATGACAAGACCAGCAGATACTGAAGACACGTACAACCGTGAAGAGCTGTTTCATGTGAATATCCAGGTGAAGCAAAGTGTTGTACAAGCTATTATTGACCCTGGAAGTCAGAAAAACCTGATTTCAGAGGCTTTAGTAAGAACAGTGGGTTTAAACACCACACCACATCCTAAGCCGTACCCGTTAGGATGGATTCAGAAGGATGTTGACTTACAGATCACGAAGCAATGTACCTTCAAATTTGCTATCACCAATCGATATATCGATGAGGTGACATGTGAGGTGGTTCCTTTGGATGTTTGCCAAGTCATATTAGGTAGTCCATATTTATGGGACCGAGATGCCATCCATTATCGAAGGCTTCGCAAGTATCGACTTGTGAAAGATGGGAAGGAGTTCCACATCAACGCTTGCAAGCCTCAAGCTACAAATAATTTGCTTACAGATAATTTGCTGACAGCTAACCAAGCCAAGAGGTTAGTCAATTCATGTGGGCGATTCGTTTTGTTGATGATTCGACCGCAAGATCAGAGTTCTAGAGCTGTGACATTGTCTACATTGTCTTTATCTCCTGCACAATGCTCAGACATAGGGAAATTACAGGAGAAGTTCAAGGACTTATTTCATGATGTGCAGGGTTTGCCACCACGGAGAGCTGTGGAGCATGAGATCCAGTTGGTAGGAGATTCACCTCTACCAAACTTGGGTTTGTATCGTACTTCTGTGACGGAATCTGACGAGATCAAGAAGCAAATTCAAGGACTTCTTGAACAAGGAGTCATCAAACCCAGCTGCTCACCATGTGGTTCGCCAGTGTTACTTGTGCCTAAGAAAGACGGAGACTGGCGTATGTGTGTAGATTATAGGGCACTCAACAAAATAACCATTAAGAATCGGTATCCATTGCCGAGGATTGATGACCTACTAGATCAACTACATGGTGCACGCTACTTCACTAAGCTTGATCTCAAATCTGGCTATCACCAAGTCCGCATCCATGACGAAGATACTTGGAAAACTGCATTCAAAACAAAGCAGGGACTATTCGAGTGGTTAGTCATGCCATTCGGATTATGCAATGCTCCAGCTACCTTCATGCGATTGATGAATGAGGTACTCCGCCCTTTCATTGACGACTTCGTCATTGTATACTTAGATGACATTCTCATATTTAGTGTCACATGGGAGGAACATCTTCATCATATTGCTCAAGTTTTGGAGGTTCTACGAACAAATCAGTTACAGTTAAATGGTAAGAAGTGTGAATTTGGGAAACAACACCTTGTATACCTGGGATTCATTGTTGGTGCAGGAGAACTGAAAGTGGACCTAGAGAAAGTGCAGGTGATTTCTCAATGGCCTATTCCCCAAACAGTGACTGAAGTTCGGAGCTTTATAGGTGCATGTCAATATTTACGAAAGTTTATTCGGCACTTTTCACAAATTGCAGCACCCTTACATTCTCTAACAAAGGCCAATCAAAAATTTGAATGGTCGAGAAACCATGAGGAATCTTTCCAGTTGTTGAAACGGAAGATTACAGAGGCCCCAGTATTAGCATTACCGAATTTGCAGAGACCATTTGAAGTGGAAGCAGATGCATCGAACTATGCTATGGGAGCCGTATTATTTCAAGATGGGAAACCAGTTGCATACCATTCTGAGATGTTTAGTGGACCGGTATTGAATTATCCGACTTATGACAAGGAGTTGTATGCAATGCATCAAGCAGTGAAGCATTGGAGAGCTTACTTGTTGGGAAAAGAAGTCGTAGTTCACTCAGATCATAAACCTCTTCAGTTTTTAACTACACAGTCTAAGTTACAGCAAGCTCGCCATATGAAATGGATGTCTTACCTACAACAATTCAGTATTGTGATAAAGTACAAGAAGGGAGCAACTAATAAGTTGGCAGATATGTTATCTAGACCACCTACACCAGTTAGTTCCGCATTGCTGGTGGCTATGAAAATCCAACCCATTGTTCCTTCTGAATATGCCAAAGGGTACGACACAGATGCTGATTTCAACTCAGCCTATGCCAAGCTGGAACAAGGAAAGACTAGTGAGTTTCAATTGAAAGATGGACTAATGTATAAGGGAACACAATTGTGCATTCCAGAAGATGGTGACAGATTGCAATGGATTCGTGAGGCTCATACTTCTAAAGTAGCAGGGCATTTTGGAGTTGAGAAGACTTTATTGAATCTTCGTCGCTATGTGTATTGGCCAAAGATGCATCTCGATGTTTCACGATACATTCGAGGTTGTGTTCTATGCAACACATCGAAGCCTTCCAACAGGAAGTTAGGACTGTATCTTCCATTACCAGTACCTACTCGACCTTGGGAGAGTATCTCGATGGATTTCTTAGGTGGCTTGCCTAAAACCAAGTCTGGAAATGACTACTTGTTTGTGGTGGTAGATCGTTTCAGTAAGATGGTGATTCTCATTCCATGCAAGAAGACCGTAACTGGAGAAGGAGCTGCTAAGTTATTTTTCCAATATGTTTGGAAGCATTTTGGCTTACCTACATCAATTATTTCTGACAGAGACAGTCGATTCTTAGGCCATTTCTGGAGGTCGTTATGGGGAATGATGGATACTAGATTGAAAAGAAGCACTGCATTTCATCCACAGACAGATGGGCAAACGGAGGTCGTAAACCGGACTATGGTACACTTGTTGAGGGGTTACAATTCCAAGCATCCGAAGACTTGGGATGAAAGTCTCCCTTACTTACAGTTTGCTTTCAACCGAGCAATTCATGGCTCTACACTCAAATCTCCATTTGAGGTTTGTTTGGGTTATTTACCCCAGAGTCCTTTTGATTTAGCATTCACTATGAGTGACCAACCATTATGTGGGAAAGAAGAAGAAGAACATATTCGAGCCAATAAATTTCTCGAACGAGTCAGAAAGATTCATACTGAAGTGGAGGCACAATTGAAACGTTCTCAGCAACGATATAAAGCTCGCCATGATAAGCATCGTGTGCCATGTAACTTCAAAGAAGGTGACCTAGTATGGTTACACCTTGGAAAGGAGCGGCTAACAGGTGAAGGCAAGAAACTGAAGCCTATTCGTTATGGACCGTTCAAGATCATCAAACAAATTGGTGATAATGCCTTTCAACTTGAATTACCACCATACATGCATATGTACTCGGTCATCAATGCCGAGAATCTTAAGCTTTTTGAGCCATCTCTACTTGATGATGATCCCGACGAAGACATTCGGCTTCCATCAGTTGATGACTTAAAAATTGAACTAGAAGACCCTTTGCTGAAGGATTGTATCTTGGAGCAGAAGGTTCGTGAGACCCGACATGGAAAGTATGAGTATTTTCGTATTGGCAGTAAAGGGCAACTTCCCAGCAAATCGAAATGGTATATTCGAGACAAGGCTACTCAAGAATTTCCACATCTCACCATTTAACTTGAGCAGGAGCTCAAGGTCTTAAATGGGAGAGCCATGATCCAGGTGGATCTTTTCAAGATAATTAAATAATAAATATTATTTAAATTAAATAATTTATCAACCATTCGACTCGAATGGTTTAAGAAGAAATGGTTCTGAACCATTTAAAAATTAATGGTTTGAATTACCTAAAGAATTTAAACCATTTAACATTTGTGGTTTAAATTCATTTATTATTTTTAGTTTTCTATTCTAGGCATTCAGGCTTGTATATAAACCATTGTAGTTGAATGAATTAAAACAGGCAGAACTCAAAGCAGTTCCTTAGCTTCTTCCTTTTGTTTCTCTAAATTGTCTTAAAATTCCTCTCGTTCCCTTATTCCTATAAACTAGGAATTCATAGTTCTATCGACTAGAAGTTTTGGATCAAATGTCATAGGCACTAAGTGGATTTTCAAGAATAAAACCGATGAGCAAGGTAATGTGGTGAGAAATAAGGCTAGATTAGTTGCTCAAGGATACACTCAAATGGAAGGCATTGCTTGATGAAACTTTTGCCCCTGTTGCAAGATTAGAATCAGTTAGATTGCTTCTTGCCATTGCTTGTCATTTGAAATTCAAACTTTATCAAATGGATGTCAAAACTGCCTTCTTGAATGGTGTCCTAAATGAAGAGGTCTATGTTGAGCAGCCAAAGGGTTTTGAAGATCCACATCATCCAAATGATGTGTTTCGGTTTAAAAAAGGCTCTCTATGGTTTGAAACAAGCTCCTAGAGCATGGTATGAGAGGTTATCCTCTCATCTTCTAGGAAATGGGTATGTTAGTCCGTGATAAAACGTTGTTTGTGAAAAGGTTTAAAAAGGATGTCTTGATTGCTCAAGTGTATGTTGATGATATTGTGGTTGGTTCTACCTCTGATTTGCATGTTCAAGATTTTATTCATGTCATGACTAGTGAATTTGAAATGAGTCTTGTAGGTGAGCTTAATTATTTCTTAGGTCTTCAAATCAAACAGAGCCATGATGGGATCTTTGTATCTCAATCTAAATATGCAAAAAATCTTGTGACAAAATTTGGTTTGGAGGGAGCAAAATTTGCAAGAACTCCAATGAGCACTAGTGCTAAAAATTCATAGAGACTTGCATGGCAAAAGTGTGGATCAAACTCTCTATAGAAGCATGATAGGAAGTCTTCTCTACTTGACTGCTAGTAGACCTGACATTTCTTTTAGTGTTGGTGTGTGTGCTAGGTTTCAAAGTGACCCAAAAGAGTCTCACTTGTTTGTTGTTAAGAGAATCATAAAATATGTGAGTGGGACTATTGAGTTTGGGTTGTGGTATACCTATGACACTTGTGCCAATCTTGTTGGGTATAGTGATGCCGATTGGGCAGGTTGTAGTGATGATAGGAAAAGCACTTCCGGGGGGGTCTTCTATGTAGGCAACAACCTTGTTGCTTGGCATAGCAAAAAACAGAATTTGTCTCCTTATCCACTGCTGAAGCAGAGTATGTTGCAGCTGGGAGTTGTTGTACTCAACTTCTTTGGATGAGACAAATGTTGGAAGACTATGGTCTTGCTCAATCATGCTTTCTAATCTATTGTGACAACATGAGTGCCATAGATATTTCAAAAAATCCTGTTCAACACTCTAGGACTAAGCATATAGACATTCGGCACCATTCGGCACCATTTTATTAGAGATCTTGTGGAAGACAAAATTTTATCTTTGGAATTTGTTCCCTCTGAAAAACAGCTAGCAGATATTCTCACCAAGGCCTTGGGACTTTCAGAAACATGGTACACTTAGGCAGTCCATTGGCCTTTGCTCAATTGATTGATTAGCTTGTCTGCTCCTTGTCTTCAGCACACTTCAAAACAGTTGACTACTCATCTTGCTTGTAGTTGCCTAGTCAAGTCCAAAATTTTTTTTTGTGTTTTGATGTTGATATGTCACTGTTCATATCACTCATCTCTGCTGGTGTGCATGTTGAATGTTTTTGTGCTTTGTTTGACTTGTGCATAATCCCTTTTCTTGTTTTTGAGCTGTTAGTTGAGACCAAAATCATGCTATCTTGTCCTCTTGGTGAGCCATGTATCTCGGCTTCATTTTGGACTGTTCTTGTTATTATCTCTTAGCTGGTCTCACTCTCTTAGCCAATCTATTTCAAATTTAAAAAAAAAAGGGAAGTGTGACCAATGTAGTCACGACTCTAGGAAGGTATAAGGTGGTTTGATTGAAGAATCTAGAGCAAAGAGCCGTAAAATTGGGCCATTCAAAGCACTTATGTTCGGATGTGCAAGTACCACAAAATAAATCATCAAATATTTTGTCAATAGAGAGTGCTAATTTTTTGCTGTGAGCCCATACTATGATCATGTCTTAAGAATGCAGTGTATACGTGTCTCTCCAAGAGAGATCAGATATCATCTCTTGTGTCCCTTGGCTCTAAACCTCCTTCTTTCCTAAATATGCCTTGTCTCTGAGCATGAATTGCATCTCATTGTATGTCTCTCAGAGTTGATTGTCTATGTACACTGCATATGGTTTTAAACTATTCTTCTTTTTCATTCTCTTTCCTTCATATGTTGAAGACTTGGTGTAGACCATTGTGCTAATGCAACTTTGATCACTTGATATATGTGCTAGTTCATGCTTATGTTTTTTTTTTGAAACCAAAATCATGTCTTTCACAGGGTCGATATTATTTGGTGTTTGTCATAATGCTGTTTTAGTTGACTAGTCATCTATGCTTATGGTTGCCTAGTCATCTGGGTGTTTTGCTTTGCTGTTCGTTCTAATATTGCCTTCGTTGACTGGTCATCATATTTGTGGTTGCCTAGTCATTCGGTTCTGCCTGTGCCAATTTAGCCTGAGTTGACTAGTCATCTTGCTTGTGGTTGACTAGTCATCCGCTTTGTCTCCTGACCGATGAGTCTTTTTCATTTTTCGTTTTGGCGGTTATTTTTTTATTTTTTTTGTTTTGAGCAGTACCTTTTATTTTAGGGTCGTGTCATTTGAGTTTCTTTTCCTTTTTAGGTTAATTACCCTCTCCTTCGTCAGTATCGTCTGTCTCTTCCTCTCTCTGTTTCTCGTCAGTCTCGATATCCAATCACAGTTTCCTCCCTCTCTTCCATTCCGCTCTATTCTGGTCTCTTCGCCTCCTTCTTCCAGTTGTTTTTCTCTTCCAAATTTCTTCCCGCTACTGGCCATGTCTTCCTCCAAGCCTCTCCACACTTACCACCGTCTCTCCAAATCTAAATCCATTGACAGGGTGGATTTCAATCCTTCAATTCCTAGGGCTCTTAGGACCCGTCCTTCTTCCTCTGTTCCTGTTGGAGATTCCTCTCCTTTTGTGTCTTCTGCGGCTGCCTCCTTCTTTGATGGGGTTGTCTAAAAGAGAAAATTTATTCCTGAGAGGACTTATCAGTTTGATGTTGTTCCTTTGGCGGCTCAGGAATCTGCAAATCAGATTTTGGAGCACTACCACCTTCATGCCCTAAACTCTCTCTCTGGTAAGTTTAATATCTCTGTCGTTCAAGAGTTTTACTCTAACTTTCCTGCTGACCCTAAGGAGTCAAAGTATCAGATTTTTGTTAGGTCAATCCCCATTACTCTGAAACCATCTGTTCTCAATCAGGTCTTAGGTTTTCGATCATGCCCTGGTTTTGATTATGCAAAATTTGCTCTTGCTTTTGCTGAATACTCTGTTGATCTTTTTAAATCCATGGCATACACTGATCAATCTTTGCCTTTGACCTCTAAAGGTCTGCCTATCAAGTCTTACCTGTCACCTTTTTATAAATTTTTGTGGGATTTTATCCGTCATAATGTTCTCCCCACTGGGAACAATTCTAATCTCACTCTTGCTGCCTGCCAACTCATGATTTCCATGGTGAATCATGATAAAATTCCCCTTGGTGATATCCTTTATAATGCCATTCTTGGAAAAACCATTGGTCATGGTACCAAGCACAAGGGGACTCTTGTGTTCCCCTCTCTAATTCAGCGCCTTTGTGAGAAAACGGGGTGGTATTTCATGATTCCGATCAGTGGCATCCTCCTATTGCTCCTTATGGAAAGGCCTCTGTTGCCCTTAGCCAGAAAGTTTCCAGAACCTTTCTCACTTCTGTGTCGTCTTCCTCCGAGAATGCCTCTCTCAGAGCTCAGCTGGTTGCCAAGGAGGAGTATATTCAACATCTTTTGAGCCTCATTCCGTCCACTTCGACTCCTGCACCTGCTGCTGCTGCTACTGATGCAGATACTCAGCCTGCTCCTGCCACTGTTGAGGACTCGGATGACTCTGTGGATTCTGGTGGCTCTTTGGTCTTTTAGCTTGGTGTTGCTCTTGGCTGTGTCCTAGATAGGAAGATTAATTCTGGATAGGTTGTGCATTTTGATAAGGGGAGTTGTTATGTAATCACATTGTGGGTAGTCTGTGCATTTTGCTAGGGGGGATTGTTTTTGTAAACACATTGTGGGTAGTCTATGCATTGTGATAGGGGGAGTTGTTCTGTCCTGTTTTGAACAACTGGTATTTGACTAGTCATAAATCTATGTTCTATGTTGTTTTAAACAACTGTTGTTTGACTAGTCATCCATCTATGATTATGTGCTGTTAACCTTGTTCCTATATGCCTATCACTTTGTGGTTAATCCCTTTTGTATGCTGTTTCTATCTCTCTGCCTTTTTGCACTTTCCTTATCAATAAGGGGGAGAACACTCTCAACCCCACATTGCATATTGTTTTCAAATTTCTGTGATAATATGCTTGTTTTTGTGCCGGGAAGATTGGTTGTTCTTGCAGGTACCTTCACTTCATCATCTCTTTAGTCTCGGTTTTGGGTTGAGTGTTCTTAGAGAGTGTGTTGTCAAGAAAAGCCAAAAGGGGGAGATTGTTAATGTATGGTTTTTACTATTTTCTTTTGGCTTCCCTTGACAACTTTGTAATAGGATGTGTAATGTAATTTATCAAGCTCAAGTCTAGATTAGGAAAACTTTTATTGGTGCTCTTCTCTAATCTCTGCTCTATGGTGGCTCAAGCAAGTTAACAAAGGTATTGAGCATTGCATATCATTACATTAAACAGTCTTCATAAAATGATGACTAGTCATCCATTTCTCATATGACTAGTCATCCTTGCTTCCAGTTGGATAACAAACTGTTTTGTCCTATTCTTCTTTCTCTCTCTGCTGCCAAGTGGGTTTCTGACCTAAGGAATTTGTTGGTCTGTAAAGGCCACGATTTTCTCATTTGGTAGTTGTCTCTTTTGGGGAGGAAGTTTTGGAAAGATTGGCTTACGATCTTTCTCTTCTTCTTCCTCAAGAGAGAACCAAATATTTCATCTATGAGTTTTTCCAATTGATATCTTTTTGAAAAACTGCTTTTGAAACCCGAATCTGCATCTAGCTACTTAAATCATCTCTCATTTATATCTAGGTCAGATTCAAGATTGATTTCTTCAAGAGTATGGTTTCTTGAAGAAATTGGTCATTCTCCTTTGAATCCAAATATTGGTTTCGGTATGTGTTGGAGCTTGCAAGCTAGTGCCATGGGATGAACGAGCTGGAGAAGGAGCTGCCATTGCCATGAAGAACTGAGCTTCAAGTTTTGCTAAGTTGGAGAAGAAGATTGCACAAAGGAGGAATTGCTCATATTCCTAAATAGACCTAGGTGCTTCTTGAGCTTGGTTGTATTTCCTTTGTAAGAATCTTTTTCTACTTAGTGGAGTGCCTGGTCGGTTGATGACTCCCAGTTTTTCCCAATGGTGGGTTTCTTGGTGAACAAAATCCGTTTTGCATATCTGTAATTTTTCTGGGTTTGTGTTCTTGGTGGTTGACTAGTCATCTTTATCTGCTGTTTGATGTTTACATGATAATGATGATTTCACACACTTTCACCATAGTTGTTGCTAGCACAAGGGATACCTAGATTGACGGGTCCTTCTGAGTGCCTAGGTTGTCACTAGTAATCTTCTAGGATTGTAGGTACATTGTGGCATGCTCTGTGTATTCTCTTGGTTGTGATTGTTTCATGACTAGTAGTTGACTAGTCATATGTGTATTTGGTCAAGGTTTAAAGTGTGTGAAGATTGCTGTGTTGTTGTGTCTTGTTTGTGTGATTAAATTACCCCTCGTCACCTAAGTACCATTTTCAACTTAAAGATAATCAAAACCTTGCATACATTTGAAGGAAACGAAATTTTTCAGAGAGGTAGGAAAAAAACCTGATGAGGAAAACGCAATACAGGTAAGATTGTTGAGGTGGGAGAAAGACATGGTTGTATGATCAGAATAATGCACAATATACTTGACAGCTTTGTAACTCCAGAAAGGCGAGAGAGAGAGAGAGAGAGAGAGAGAGAGAGAGAGGGGGATAAATTAGTTAATCAATACATGTACAACTGGCGAATTGGAGCCATGGGGATAAATTAAGTCGACACAACAGACCATACGGGTAGGGCCAAAAGACGAAGCATATGACTACTTCAATTGATATCATGAAGGAAATTGAGGTTTCACTCCAAAACCAATTGGCAATAGGAGAGTAGCCTAAAACCTTATAAGCCCTTTCAAGTTTTTCTAACTTTCCAATGTGTGACATTTTTCACTTCACATTCTCACAATTATCTACTAGGATCTACTTGGATATTACAAAGGTTAAAAGTAAGTCATTCATCATCCACTATATTAATAGGGAGAAAATAAAGAAAAACTTTTTGGGAGCTTCACTAATATACCCAAAATAAGGGCTGAAATTATAAAAAAAACCTCACATGCAATGCACTTTAGAAACACACCCAAAACTCATTTACTATATAAGAAATTAGTGTTTAAGTTCTTATAAATTACATGACTGCCATTAATCAACTTAAAAAAGAAGACCAACAGAAAAAAACTTAAATAGCATCCAAAACAAGCCCAGCCCAATTTTATAAAAAAAAACCCAAAAACCATTTATCATCTAAAAATTGAGTGTTGAAGTTTCTATAAATTACATCTCTGCCATTAATTAACTTAAAACAAGCCCAATAAAAAAACCTCCACAAAAAAAAAAACAAAAAAACAAAATAAGCCCAACAAGCCCGAAGTACATTGTTAATACAATGTCATAGAAGTACAATGTTAATATCATTTCATAGAAAAACATTTTTAATACCATTTCATACAAAAAACTAAAAAAAAAACCCAAAAAAGCCCAGCAAGACATCTGATATCCTTTGCAAAAACCACCTCCAATTAAACATAGTTTCACAAGAAGCTATCGCAAAGGCCCTTTACAAGAAGAAAAAAAAGTACACTTTAATACTATGTCATAGAACTATCTTTCTAGTGAAAATCAATTATGTATATCATAAACTTCAAGTGTACAGCTATATGAGCAAAACATAGAGCATGTTTTGTTACTGAAAATCTGTTAATACTATGTCATAGAAGTACACTGTTAATATTACGTCATAGAAATCAACTCAACTGCAGGGTATGAACAGTATAACAACTGTTCATACCACTTACTGGAAGCTAACAACTACATTTCATTTGCATAATAGGTACGATAAAAATGTACAACCGCAAAACTCCATGTTCATAAACCAACAACCTTGAAAAACATAATGGAAACACAACCCTTTGGAACAAACCTAGGAACCCAGAGCAAAAACCCCATCTTCGTAAACCAGCAACCTTGTAATACAACTGAAATTGAAAGAACAAGTGCTGCAGGTGAAACTGGTTTGGCAACAAGTTGCTACCAAAACTGCCATGACAGAAACAAACACTATAAGCTACAATAGCCAATGCCTTGATTTTCTTTTCATTTTTGACACTGGTAAAAAATATTAAATGTCTTCTTCCTTGCTAACTAATGACAACAAACCTTATATTGAGCAAACCCATTTGCACTTTCCATGGATATGGTAATTAATTAAGATAAGTAAATTTGATGTGACACAAAAGCAAATGGAGATTACACCATGTGAGGTGTAGCCCCACTAAGTTATGGTGTTCAATAATTGGAAGAAAAAAAATGTACATACTGTTATTTGGTTGAAGCTTCGGTTGACAGCAACTTGAACCATTTTTCTCCAAACATCACTGCTAACCATTGCATCAGTTGTTATTACCTGTCCATGTAATTATATTAGTTAATAACTAGTCAAACATCAAGCGAGAAACACTAGAAGACATACTTCAAGCATGGTAGCCATATTGGGGTGGATCATCCTGGAACCTTTTGCCATTCCCCTAATTCTTATATCTGTCCCTCCAACCTGAAAAATTCACCAGTTTTTTTAAAGGACCAGCCTGGTTTCGATTTTACTGCCTATGGGTTTCAAAAACAAAAATATGATATTGCCAAAGTTTTGTACAGCTAATCAAGAATTAACATAATCCAAAAAGTAGCGGATATTGCATTCACTACAAATATAAATACATGAAACTAGATCTTGCACACCTAACACTGAATTGCCACACTCTTGCTAACAGGGTCGGTTGTTGTGTGATTGCCACTGCTGCATCATCTGCCCTGCAGACCAAGGCAAAATGACTTCTCAGGGAGATGATTTAAAAATTTTAAGCCCAAGATTTCACAGAAAAAGAAAAACACGAATTGAAATTCGATGCTGAAAATAAATTAAGTTCAAAACCATTAACATTTACCCCTCAGTTGATGCTGATAGTGAAGTAACCAGTTTTGGAAGAGATTTTAGAAGTGCTTCCTACATATGAAAATTAAAAAATGAATCGTTTGTACAACACTTAGAACAGATCATGTTATAAATCTTCCTAAAAATCATCATGCAACATTTATCAGCTGATCTGTTAATATTTCAAGAAATCCTGTACAAATCAGTATGATTAGAATTGAGCATAACATGGAAACAGGAATATGATGGTTATATAGTACCTTTTTATCCTTTGGCCAATCACACCAGTGGATTCAATCAGCACTTCCGCAGGCTTCATTTGAAGTAGCTGCAGTACAAAGTAGCCCAGATTTGATCGTCGGCCTTGGCTGGTTCTTTTCCGACCGCTCTCACTACTGGCTGTGGCCGGAGCACCAAGATCGCTGGCTTGGTGTCCACGAAGGGAGAGAGACGAGAGAGAGAGAGTGCCTAGAATTAAAAAAAAACTAATTTAATACTAAATGGGTAATAAAGGTATTCATTTAACTAATTAAACTAAAAAATGTAACAGCTGTCAGTTTTGGGTTTATTTTGGGTGTGTTTCTATGTTTTAAATAGTGTATGGGTATATTTATAGTTTCATGTCTAGGAATGGGTGTTTCACTAATTTTGTAAAACTTTTTGCCATAGACAAACGAAAGCAAAATGTCTAACTCCTTCATCAATCAATTCAAAACCCACCAAACTGCCCATTATTTTTATTTGATCGTTTTTGTTTCTCCTCTCACACATAAGCTTTGGAGAGTCTTGGATTGGAGAATGATGTATTTGAAGATAATGCTCTCGGCAAGGAAATGACTTGTAGCATTGAAGCAAGTGACCGGTCACCCATATATGAAGATGAAACTTGTGGTCCCTGTGAAGAAACGACTGATTGGCCTTTGGAACTTGGTCACACTGAAACAAGTGACCAGTCGCCTGTATCTGGATATGAAACAGGTGCTCTCGGTGTCGAAACGACCGATCACACTGAAGCAAGTGACCAGGCGCCTGTATCTGAAAATAATGACAGTGATTCTTGTATGGATGAGTTCGATGCAATACCCCCTGCTCTGCTAGTGCCCCAATCTACTCGTGATAGTGAATCAAGTGAGGTAATTTCTAATGATTTATCTGTGTCAACTTATTAGTTACCCCCACGAACCACTCGTGGGAAACCTAAAGTACAATATTCTCCTGATATACATGCCAAGTCTAAATATCTCATTAGCCATTTTATGTCAACTCATCGTTTGTCTATGTCATATGCATCATATTTATGTCAATTATCTAGTGTATGTGTGCCAACTAAGCTGCATGATGCTTTATCTAACCCAAAATGGATGGATGCCATGAATGTTGAAATGGATGCCTTGAACAAGAATAAAACATGGGATTTAGTTCCTTTGCCACAAGGGAAGAAAGTTGTTGGATGCAGATGGGTGTTTACTTTGAAACATAAAGCTGATGGTTCCATTGACCGTTACAAGGCTAGATTAGTAGCAAAGGGTTATACTCAGACCTATGGAGTGGATTATTTGGAGATCTTTGCTCCAGTGGCAAAGCTCAATACTATGCATGTACTATTGTCCCTGGCTGCTAACCACGACTGGCCTTTATTACAATTCGATGTCAAAAATGCATTTCTACATGGTGACCTCAATGAGGAGATTGACATGGATCTCCCTCCTGGTATTCCTGTAACCTCTAAGAAGGGTGTTGTGTGTAAGTTGCGGAAGTCTTTATATGGATTGAAGCAGTCTCCAAGAGCTTGGTTTGGGAGATTTGTAGCACCTATGAAGAAATTTGGGAATGCGCAGAGTAACTCAGACCATACTTTGTTTCTAAAGCGTCATAAAGGTAAATTGACAGCTTTAATTATTTATGTTGATGATATGATTGTGACTGGAGATGTCAGGCAGAAATGCAAAATTTTTAGAAGTATCTGGCTTCTGAGTTTGAAATGAAGTCATTTGGTGATTTGAAGTACTTTCTTGGGATTGAAGTTGCCAAATCTAAACATGGTAACTTTCTGTCTCAAAGAAAATATATTTTGAATTTACTTGCAGAGACTGGAATGTTAGATTGTAAACCAATTGATACCCCTAGTGAACAGAATCATAAGTTAAGGTTGTATCCTCATCAAGTCCCTACAGATAAAGAGCGTTATCAACGACTTGTGGGGAAATTGATTTATTTATCTCATACACGTCCTGATATTGCATATGCAGTGAGTATAGTGAGTTAGTTATGCATTCTCTTAGTGAAGATCATATGAGTGCTGTGATGCATATCTTGAGGTATCTGAAAGTAACTCCTGGAAAGGGGTTAATGTTTTGCAAGTATGGTCATACAATGTGGAAGGGTATACGGATGCTGATTGGGCTGATTTAGTCACTAATAGACATTCTGCTTCTGGGTATTTCACATTTGTTGGTGGTAATCTTGTTACTTGGAGGAGTAAAAAGCAAAAAGTGGTGTCTAGGTCTAGTGCTGAGGCCGAGTACCGTGGGATGGCTCAAGGTGTGTGCGAGTTACTATGGTTGAGAAGATTGTTGAGGGATCTTGGGTTTGGACCCCAGAAACCCATGGATTTGTATTGTGATAATAAAGCTGCAATTGCAATTGCACATAACCCTGTGCAACATGATCGTACAAAGCACGTGGAGGTTGATCGACATTTTGTTAAAGAGAAGTTAGATGCTGAAATGATTTCTTTTCCATTTATATCATCCGAGTATCAACTGGCAAATGTTCTTACGAAAGTTGTGTCTACTACGGTCTTTCTCAACTCGCTTGAGAAGTGTAACATCTTTGCTCCAACTTGAGGGGGAGTGTTAGCGAGATCCTAGCTTAATCAGAATATTATTTCCTAGTTTATTAGGATTATATTTCTTTCCATTTTGTATAGATATTGTGTAATTAGGTTTTTATCTTGTTTCATAGTTTGACCTTGCTAGAGTTACATCCTTGTGCTATAAATACCTTCTTTTGGAGAATGAAATACAACCTAAAAAATATTCTACCCATATTGTTTGACTCTGATATGGATGCAAATAGGTCTTGCTGTGATTGATTTGTTATATATGTTTGTGAGTATTGTTTGTTGTGGGTTCCAAATTTTAAAAGGGCTATGATTTTGTTATATACATGTGTTTGTTTGGTTTTTGGAAATTTTGAGTTGGCTGCCTTGATTTAGTTTGATTGTGTTGGTTTTCTTTTGGTATGCAAGCATACTTGAAAATCTGTAACCTTTTTAGAAGCCTCCAACTCAGTCTCTGCCAGTGTACCTGAACACTGCGCATAAACCTATAACTAAGCATATATCTTGTAGATGACTACAAAGTCAGAGCCTTTTCTTATTTTTGTGGCATCAGACAGCCTGTGAATGTTTTAGCACTAGAATATCAGATAATTCAATTCAATTGGAAGATTCTATCAGCCTTAAACATTAGTCACTTGTGTTTATTTTTGTACTTTAATATAATTGAAAATCTGGAATTTGTGGGAATTGTTTTTTTTTGTTTTTTTTTTGGTTGCTTGCTAAAACCCCTTACTGTGGTTAAGGCTGTGAGGTGGGCTATGTGTTGGGTCATTCAGGCTGAGTGTGTGGCTATAGTTGCAAGAGCCATATTTTTTTGGTGGAAGAAAGAAGGGTAGGGTTCTAGGAAGAGTAGAAGGATATTTGAGAATGTAAAGGGTGAGGAGATGGATTATCTGTGGTAGATGGTTCGCTTTCGGGCATCTCCATGGACTTCTATCTCTTCAAATTTTTGGGATAATCTTTCTCTGCTATATTTTCATTTTGGATGGCTCTTTGCTCCAATATTATGTCCTTCTATTTGTAATATTTATCTCCTGTCCATTCAGGCTGAGTGTGTGGCTGTAGTTGCAAGAGCCATATTTTTTTGGTGGAAGAAAGAAGGGTAGGGTTCTAGGAAGAGTAGAAGGATATTTAAGAATGTAAAGGGTGAGGAGATGGATTATCTGTGGTAGATGGTTCGCTTTCGGGCATCTCCATGGACTTCTATCTCTTCAAATTTTTGGGATAATCTTTTTCTGCTATATTTTCATTTTGGATGGCTCTTTGCTCCAATATTATGTCCTTTTATTTGTAATATTTATCTCTTGTCCATTCAGGCTGAGTGTGTGGCTGTAGTTGCAAGAGCCATATTTTTTTGGTGGAAGAAAGAAGGGTAGGGTTCTAGGAAGAGTAGAAGGATATTTGTGAATGTATAGGGTGAGGAGATAGATTATCTGTGGTAGATGGTTCACTTTCGGGCATCTCCATGGACTTCTCTCTTCAAATTTTTGGGATAATCTTTCTCTGCCATATTTTCATATTGGATGGTTCTTTGTTCCAATATCTTGTCCATTTTTTATAATATTTATTTCTCTTGAGATATTTGACCATTTGTTTTAATGACAGTTGGACCTAGATTTTTGCCTTATGGAAGATTGTTGTTGTTGAGAACCTTCATCAATTTGGCCTTTTTGTATTTTCACATAATTTTAAAATTTCAGTATGTGGGGTGTGTAGAAACTGTCTTTTACATGAAATCAGAAAAGGAATTAAATTCAAATGAGCCTTCTTTGTATGCTTCAACTTGGTTATGGGTTGGTTATTACTTATTAGGATGCAATCTGATGAGAATGAGCTGTGTAGCTTTTCTTTCTAGTCACAGAATACAGCAAATCGGTCTATCCAGTCTTTCTTGTGCATAATATATGTTTAGAGTTCTAAATTTTTATTATGTTGAACTGGATACTCATCTTCCTTGTTGATGGTTGGCTACTTCCTGAATGTCAATGATCAATGCCTAAGATGTTAGATTTTTTTTTCTTCAGGTTATGACAAACATGCTAAAATATGAAAATTATGAGAGAATATTTGTTTGTGGGAATTTTCTGTGTATTCTTCTCCTTGTAGGAGGTCATATTTATAATACAACGAAACCTGAATGGGCAAGTAAATAATAAATTCCTAAATCTATTTACAATAGGAAATCAAGAATTAAAGTAAATCAATTATAATTATAATAGGAATTCTTGGTGTGTAAGGAAAGTAAGTCAATATCCACAAGTCACGCCAACACTCCCCCTCACGTTGGTGCATAAATGTCGCCAATGCCCAACTGATCCAGTGAATTGTGGAATGCTTTACTGGAAATCGCCTTTGTCAAAATATCCGCCAATTGATCCTCGGATTTCACAAAAGGAAACTGAAACACTTTAGCCTCAAGCTTCTGTTTGATGAAGTGTCGATCCACCTCAACATGTTTAGTACGATCATGCTGAACCGGATTCTGTGCAATGGCTATAGCAGCCTTGTTGTCACAAAAGAGATTCATTGTAGATGTAGGTTTATACCCAAGTTCAGTAAGCAACTTTCTTAACCAAAGAAGTTCACAAATCCCTTTAGTCATGCCTCTGAACTCGGCTTCTGCACTGGATAAAGCTACTACATTCTGTTTCTTGCTCCTCCATGTCACCAAATTACCTCCCACGAATGTGAAGTAACCCGATGTGGATTTTCTATCTGTTACATTACCTGCCCAATCTGCATCTGAATAACCATCAATATTTAGATGACCATGCTTTGAGAACATAAGTCCTTTTCCAGGTGCAAACTTCAAATATCTAAGTATCCGAAGAACTGCATTCATGTGGTCTTCACTTGGAGAGTGCATAAATTGACTGACAACGCTCACTGCATAAGCAATGTCTGGTCGAGTATGTGACAAATAGATCAATCTTCCCACTAACCTTTGGTATCTTTCTTTGTTAGTTGGAACTTGATCCGGATATTCTCCAAGATGATGATTCTAAACAATAGGAGTGTCCGCAGGTTTGCAATCTAGCATTCCTGTGTCTGTCAACAAGTCCAAGACATATTTCCTTTGAGAGAGAAATATGCCTTGCTGCGATCGAGCCACCTCAATTCCCAAGAAATACTTGAGTCCACCTAGATCCTTCATTTCAAACTCTGTAGCCAGATAGTCTTGTAGCTGTGATATTTCCTGTTTATCATTCCCAGTAATAATCATATCATCAACACAAATTATTAATGCTGTTACCTTCCCTTTTCGATGTTTCAAGAACAGAGTATGATCGGAGTTGCACTGTTTGAAACCATTGTTCTTCATTGCCATGGTGAACCGTCCAAACCATGCACGTGGTGACTGTTTCAACCCATACAATGCTTTTCGTAACCTGCAAACTGTTCCAGTCTGAGTAGTATTATAACCAGGAGGAATGTCCATGTACACCTCCTCCGTGAGTTCGCCATGTAGAAAAGCATTCTTTACATCAAACTGGTGTAGTGGCCAATCCAAATTAGCTGCAAGGGACAATAAGACTCTGACGGTGTTTAACTTTGCAACTGGAGCAAAGGTTTCTTCATAGTCTATACCATAGGTCTGTGTGTACCCTTTTGCCACAAGTCTTGCCTTGTATCGCTCGATAGATCCATCTGCATTGTGTTTTATAGTAAACACCCATCTACATCCGATAGTCTTTTTTCCTCGTGGTATAGTCTCCAATGTCCAAGTCTGATTTTTCTCAAAAGCTTTCATCTCCTCTTTTATAGCTTGGACCCACTTAGGATCTTTCAATGCTTCAGAGACCTTGGTTGGAATATGGATAGCAGACAACTGATGCACAAAAGCCTTGAGTGGTTCAGACAGCTTCTCAGTGGATACATGATTTGCAATTAGATACTTGGATGTTTTGCCAATATCAGGTGAATAGCGGTTTGGTGGCTTCCCACGATTTTGCCTGAAAGGTAATTGATATCCAATAGTTTTATCCTCTAAATGCACAAGTCTAGTAGGAGTAGTTACCCCAAGGATATTCTCAGGAGATTGGTCTGTTGGTACTGTTGAGTTAGAGGGGGGGTCTTCATCTTGTTGTTCTGTATTGTCTGTAGGTGTGAGACTCGGATCAGAAATATCTTCGTATGGATCAGGTGGGTCAGGTAATTGATCGCTATGAATGGGCGATTGGTCGCTTTTCGGCATAGAGTAATCTTGTGCTCCAGACTCAGGATGATCAATCATTTCTGTACATAGGAGAATTTCTTCGTTTTCCAAGTTGCTCCAATTCTGCTCTTCACTTCGTATCTCCCCCTGAAGCGTAGAATTGGATGATGGGTCATGGAAGAACAGCTCAGATTCCAGAAAGGTCACATCCAAAGTGACATAGGTACGTCGGGTAGAAGGGTGATAACAACGGTAGCCTTTCTGATGAGTGGCATAACCCACAAAAACACAACGAAGCGCACAGGGATCAAGTTGGCTACGTTGATTTTTGTGGAGATGAACGAAAGCCACACATCCAAAGATTCGGGGTGTGAGTACCAAAACAGAGGGCAGAGGTCTGTGTTGCGCAAGCACCTGTAAGGGAGTTTTAAAGGTCAATACACCAGAAGGCATGCGGTTGATTAGGTGAACTGCAGTGACAATAGCATCATCCCAGTGATGGCGAGGAACATGAGCACCAATCAGAAGTGCTCGAGCGGTTTCATCTGTTTGTGGAAGGACTGAAACCGGGAAAAACACCTCGTTTTTATTCTTCAGCAAATAAAGCCATGTCATCCGTGTACAATCATCTATTAACGTGACAAACCATCGAACACCAGAAGGAGCAGTGATAGGTGAAGGTCCCCAGACATCAGAGTGAATTAACGTAAATGGAGTAGTACACTTGTTCGTACTCAACGGTAGGGCACACGGTGACTCTTGGCCAAAATACAAGTATCACATGTGAAGTCGGAGTCCTTGAAACCTGAGAATAAATCTGGTATAAGATGCTTCATATAACTAAAAGACGGATGTCCCAATCGACGGTGCCACAACCAGATTTGCTTTTGTTTGCTATCAAAGGGATGCGTCACACTGTTAGCCATGCCAGGACTGAAGTCATCGACATAATATAGCCCCCCTCTCTTAGTACCACGACCAAGAATCTCCTTAGTGTGAATATCCTGAAGCAAACAAAAACTCGGGTAAATGAGTACACAACAATTCAATTGTTCAGTAAGCTGACTAACGGACAACAATTTAGTGGATAAAGATGGAACAAGTAAAGTATTAGACAGTGTGAGAGAGGATGAGAGTGCAACAGTGACAGCCCCTGTCACAGGATAAGTAACACCATTGGCATTTGCAATACAGGTTCGTTGAGGTTGTGTAGTATTCAGAAAATCATCAGGATCAAACGTCATATGATCAGTTGCACCAGAATCAATTATCCAACTCCTGGAATCAATCTTAGCGGAAGTATGGAATCCATAACCAGTACCATTACTGGTCGTATTGCGTTGTCCTCTATCTTTAAGAGTAGCCCACCAATCGGGATAGCCATGCAATTTAAAACAAGTCTCACGAGTGTGTCTTGGATCACCACAATATTCGCAATCTGGTCCATGTGTCGGGGTCGTTAGTCGAGAAGTCATAATCTGTGCCGCGGAAGATGTATAGGATACAGGTTTAGTAGGAATTCGGATCGGGATCTAAGCCTGAGTCGGGGTCGGAGTCGGAGTCGAAGTCGGGATCGGGGTCTGAATCAAAGACAAATTCGGGGTCGGGGTTGGAGTCATCATCGGAGTGGGGGTCGAGGTCGTTGTCGGAGTCGGAGTCAGAGTCGAGGTCGTCATCGTCGTCATAGTCGGGGTCAGGGTCGGGGTCGTCAAAAGAGGATCTTGATTCAGGATTAGATTCGGGGCCAAAGTCTGCATCTGTAGGAGCTGAGCCATCTGGGCACTCAACTCGGCTATGGTTGGTTGAGAAGGAGAGAAGGAGTCGGTGGTGCTACCTCCATGAGGGATGAAAAAATCACCAACCCCCATAGCGGTGGCGGGGGTGTGAAACTAGAGTCAACAATTCCAAGATCGCCGCTCTGATACCATGCTAAAATATGAAAACTATGAGAGAATATTTGTTTGTGGGAATTTTCTGTGTATTCTTCTCCTTGTAGGAGGTCATATTTATAATACAACGAAACCTGAATGGGCAAGTAAATAATAAATTCCTAAATCTATTTACAATAGGAAATCAAGCATTAAAGTAAATCAATTATAATTATAATAGGAATTCTTGGTGTGTAAGAAAGTAAGTCAATATCCACAAGTCACGCCAACAAAACATAGTTGTTGGTATTTTTTATTGGACTTGGATTATACTTAGCAATTTACTGCTGTAGGGAGATAGATGTGAAGTTTAACCAGGTTCTGCAGATGGTGTTGATTGCGAATGAAGCTGACTCAGTTCCAACAACGATATTGGTTTTTGTTTTGAAATTGATTTCAGTTGTGATTGAATGTTATGTTTTTGTTTCCCTTGTGATTGCATGATTTGCTTCTAACATGCATTTTTGATCCGTTTTATACAGATGGAAGAATGTCTTGTTTCAAGTTGCGGCGTTCTTTTGGGGAAGAAAAGCATAAATTTGGTTGTAAGAGGAGATGTCCTGAAATTTTGCTAATAGATATAAAATGTGTTAAAACCAAGAGGAGATATAAATTTTTGGTTTTTTGCCACTTACTTCTGTATATCTTAAGATGTAATGAGATAATATTGTTAGTTCATCAATTTATGAAAGTCAAGTTAAAAGGAAATTTGTCAACCTCTAGTTTTCATAGTTTCATCGTTTCCCCTTACAAAGAAGAAAAAAAATACAAATGTAACCAAATTAGTGATTTCATTGTACACACTTGCGAATACATAAAAAGAACATATTCAAGTAAATTGAAAACAATTTCATTGAATGATGGCTAAAATATATAGTTCCTCAATTACATTTATTTTTCCTTATAATTACAATATACTTCATGTAACTAAAAGGAATGTTCTCCCACGTCAAATTGATGATGGTTCTCAATGACAACAATCTTCCAGAAGCCAAAAATCTAGGCCAAAATGTCATGATAACAAAAAAAAAAAAAAAAAAAAAAAAAAAAAAAAAAATAAACAAGTCAGCCCTGCAAAAGAGATAGCAAAACAAGAAACCAGCAAAACAGAGAAACAAATACCAAAAAAAATAAAAAATAAAAAAATAATTGAAACTTAGATAGGAGAACCGCAATCAAAAACTAAAAGACCGAAGAAACTCAGACTAATTGGCAAAGAGCTTCCTAACCTAGAACACCAACAAGAGAAAATCGCAAAAAGTGGAACACATAAAGCACAAAGAAACTGTCAAACAAAATAAGAGGCACAGAACCAAACATCAAAACACCTCAAAGGGTGAACTTAATCAATATAACCAAACAACATCCATAACAGCCATACAAAACCAGATACAGCTACAACATCCATTACAGTAATACACAGAACAATGAAACTAAAAAAACAATTGCATTTCCAATTCGATAAGATTGAAGAAAAGTAACTATCATTGTACAAAGTGATATTACCGGAACATGATTAGGAACAAAAAAGAACCATTAAAAAAATCATCAGATAGTGGTTTGGCCAAAAAATGGGGCAATGTGGAACTGTCTGACTCAAGAAGCTCCACATGTAATTTATAAGCTTCCTAAAGAAGGCAATAGTGAACAGAACACCCAAAATTTTCTAAAGCAGTACATATCAGGGGAGGTCTATTTAATGCTCTTGCAATACTTCAAATTTTGGTCAAGCATCTCATGAAGATGCCTATTTTCAGCTTTCCCATGTTCTGATAAATTATAAAATCAATCACAACAAGACCTATTTGCATCCATATTAGGTTTCGATAAGGCAAATGCAAAAATTTCGAATTCAAAATTCATACACTTCATATAAAGAATTTCAGGAGAAAACATATCCGAAAGCATATTAAGAATCACTATATCAATACTCAACAAAAACCCACATGATACGAACTGAAAAATACAAAAGACTAGCATACCTCAACCATTAGAGAAAACCACAATTTCACATCTCAAAACACTAGCATACTTCAACCATTAGCAACACTAAACAAACCCCACCAAAAACTCCAACAGCTCGTTAGTCAGAAAAATAAAATTAACTCCCTTTCGCAAAGCCCAAAACACTATTAACGAAATTCATATTTTGTCACACTCAAAATCCTATATCAGCACCACTCAAATTCCCATTTAGAAACACCACAATTAAGAAAATAAAGCATAACACTCCATACGCATGTATGCATACATATATATATATATATATATATATAGAGAGAGAGAGAGAGAGAGAGAGAGAGAGAGAGAGAGAGAGAGAGAGAAAGAGAGGAGTCTCCGGCAAAATGAGAACGCAGACAGCAGGGCCATTGGAGGAGGTGGGGAGGGTTTGAAGAATTAGGGTTAGGGTTAAGGTTTGGATTGGTAACGAGCTCAGTGTCCGGGTCAGACTTTGGAGAATCCACCGACGTCGTCGCCGTGGCTGTTACTCTCTCTGTTTTCTATGAAGTCATGGTTGAGCAAGATTCGGGAGAGTGCGAGAGAGGAGAGGAGTTGGAAGAAATTGGGTTTCAGAAAATGAATTTTTGAGGGGATAAAGGGTCAATACATATGTATTTATATAGAGGGCAATTGGGTACTTTCATGCTACAAAGTGAGTATTTCTGATTGAAATTTATGAAGTGAGTATATTTGATTATGGTTTATCTTTTGTGATTATCCAAATCAATTTCCCAAAAAAAGAGAAAAAATAAACTGAAAATTGCTACGACTCCTTACGACAACGCTTTTTGTATTAGAAGGCCAAAATCAGTATTTCATATATTTATATTTATGGCTACCAATGAATCACAAACCTTAGGTTTATGTTATGAAAGTATAAGTACTATTGTGCTTTGTCTACAAACAATTTTGACTTTTGTTGTCATTTGTAATTTTTATAACTAAAATTACATTTTTCAAAGCTTTAAAGGGAAGATAATCTCTCAATGAGTACATAGTAGTTGTCGGTTTATTTTCAAGATTTTTTTTTGAATTTATTATGAATATTAGAAATGAAAAACAATTTTAAAAAAATCTTATTAATGGGAAATGACACGTGCCAGGTGCTCATAGGCTTACTCCCCCATTTCTAACACATGTTGTGACAAGAGATTCAAAGAGTGAGATGGTTGCACGCGATATTGAGAGATAACTGATGTTGTATGCCTTTACAACACCATTATTTGTCTACCTATCGTCGTCCTAGTTCCTTTAGACGTCTTTAACTAGGTGAGAACCGACTTTTATAAATTACAACATCACTTGTTATGCATTTACTGTCATCTTACTTCAGTAAACCTTCTATAAGAGGGTAAGTACTGACGTTGTGTGACACCCCGACCCAATTTTAACCATATATTTAATCCGGTAGGATTTGGGGAATTGAATGGTATCGTTGCGTAGAGCTTGTCGATACAAGTTCGTAGACATGTAGTGGGCCCAAATCGGAGTTTTAACGAAGAAGTTATGGTCAACGAAAGTGTAGTAGCACAACCAAACTGCACACAGACAACCAGGATAAAACGAATAGTAGAATGATTAACAATGGGACTAACGGTTTCACCATAGTCCAGGCCCGATTGTTGATGAAAATCATTGGCCACTAAGCGGGCCTTATAACGCTGAATAAAGCCATCAGAATTCAACTCGTGTTACTGAGGGCGAGAGGGTCAAGCTCTAGAGAAGGGTGACTGGACAGAGGCTATGACACTGGAAGGCGTGGGTTACAGGAAGAGAACATGGGCTAGAGAGGATGAGAGGCGGGTCTGACAACAAAGAATGGTCTGGAGCAGGAGTAGACTGGGCCTTGTTAAATGGAAAAGAAAATTCATCAAATAACACATGACGCGATTAAAAAAAACACAATTAGAAACAAGATCTAAGCATCGATAACCCTAATGGTTCCAAGAATAACCAAGAAACATAGATTTGGAAGACCGAAATTTTAATTTATTATTATTATATGGCCTTAAATAAGGAACACACACTACAAGAAAACTAAGTATTTACTGTGCGCTATTTACAACGTGCATGTGTTGCGCGCTGTAAAAGGTTAGTTTTTATGGCTTGCAATGCATGCCATAAATGAATCTTTGCCTTCGTTTATTACGGTGTGCTTTAGATGCATGCCATGCTTTTTGGTTAATAATGCTTTATTACCATTAACGACGTACTTTGTTTGTACGCCTTGAAATCCACTTTCCCCCAATCTTTTTTTTGGCGTGCCGCTCTTTCTTTTCACCAAATTTAAGTTCGGTGCGTGTTATTCCTTCCAAACCCTCATATACTCCCCTCTAATCTCTTCTTAGACTTCGTCTCTCTCTCTCTCTCTCTCTCTCACCCCAAATCCCACAGTAACCATCTCTGTTCTGACTTTCTTTTCATTTTAATTTCGTCTCTTAAATCCAGTTCATAAAAGTTTTAATGTTTTAATTTGAGAAAATAGAAAAGGAAGAAGAAGACATGAACTTTTTTTGTTTTGTTTTGAGTGGGTGAAAACATACACTACAAATTTTTTTGATTGATTGAAGAAAGCTTGTTTTTTTGACATGTTTCCTTTTTTTGTTTTTTGGTATGTTTTTTTGCTTTTTTTTCCCTGTTGTTAACAATAAAAAAAGAAGAGTAGAAATATTAAAATACAACTACTGAATGATACAATATGGACTCGAACCCGACTTTGTTTTATTTAGAACATCAATTGCAAACTAATCTATATGACACTTAGTACTAAATGGGCTGACAAACAAAGGGTCAATACAGTACAAATAGTGTAGTCGTATTCTGAGTAAAGCCCATGACTACAAATGACCCAAAACAAACCCAATTACTAATTCTTAAAAACCAAAAAGCAAAGACATGACTTGTGGAGACCTTATTCTTTATAGAAAAGACAAGAAGACCAAATTTGATTTTAGGCCTATATGGGAACAGGGTTGACAAACAGAGACACCAGAAGATCCTTAAGCACAACTCCAGCGTGAGTAAAGCCATCTTCATGCTTGTACAGAAGTTCATTGGTACGTGCAAAATTCAGAATTCTCAATCGTAGTGGCATAGGGATGGTGGTGAGGTTGATCCACTCTTCATTTATGTCCTTCCATGCCTTATTTACTTGTTTTCCGAGTTCGATTACCGTTTCTTCTTCTGTGGTACCATACTCTTTCATGTAGCATTCCACAGCTGAGGCAATATGTCCTCTCTTTTGTTCAAACTACGTAAATATAGACATGAATTTTAAGGTTAATAGGGGTATGGGGAAATAAACAAAAAGGAAAAGGTTGCATTTATATTAATACGTACCTTATGGGACTTCATGTCACCCATGAGTCTGCCAAGTATTAATAAAGAGTTCACAATCTTAGGGTCATTGAGAACCCAATCCAAGGACTCTTTTGTCACAATATCTCCCATTCCAATAAAGGACGCGGTTAATGGCATCTTGTAGGATGTAGTAAGTGCCACTGCCATATATTCATCCATTGTTGGTGTGTATTTCTGGTGGAGCCATTTGGCTTCATCAAAGTAACCTCTAACATGACATTTCACCTACGAAATCAAGATACGATCACTTTCTATGCAATAGCATCATGAGAACTTATATGTTATTAGAATTAAATGCATCCAACCCAAAAAGTTAGAAAGAGAACAAAAACAAAAAAAAACCTTATATTCCCTGGCCTTTAAAAATAATAATAATAATAATTAAATTTGGATTGGACCAAGTTAGGCACACACTCAGACCTGTCTAGATAGGGCTGAAGCCCGACCCAAAGAAATGTAAGATATCAACTACGATTTGTGCATATATAAACTTGCAACTCTGTAATCTGAAAAATATTAATGAGGCTTACTGCTTCTCTCGCATAGTGGATGCGATATAAATGTCCCTCTTTTCTAAGCTTTTCTTCGATTTCAGTGTATACATCCAACATTCCTCCATAACAGACTTTCATATACTCTGGCAGTTGGTCCATAGCTGAAATGTCCCACCTGATGATTAAAATAAGTTAATAATAAGATATAGACTAGTGATGATTTAATCAGTAATTAGAGAAGGATAATTGACTACTGGATATAATATTCATTCCTTCTTCTTTGAACTCTTTTTTTTTTTTTTTTTTTTTTTTTTTTTTTTTTTTTTTTTTTTTTAGTATTTTTAACTTTTATTTCAAATTTAAAACATTAAAAAGTTTATGAATTTTGAATTTGTATTTGTTATTACATGCTAATTGATGATGAATTTTAGTTATAAATTAAAAAATAGTTATGTTATGGAAATTTTTTATTTTTTATTTTAGTATTTTCATATTAGATTATGTGAGAACTTAAGTTTCGCACAGGGCCTTCAAAATCTTAAGACCACCCCTGGATTGGATATAGTGAGATGACTTAATTAGTATTTAGAGGAGGATAAATGACTAATCTAAACAACTTATAAATTAATTGGGTTTCGATTTCAATAAACCTTTCAACAGCTTCAGTAAAGAGCTCTAGCTCCTCTTGTGTGCCATGCACATCATAAATGTCATCAATAGCGGTTATCATAGCAATAACTTTGCTTAATGATGTCCTAGCAAAGCAATATTCGGGCTCAAAGTAGGTTCCCAGAGCCCAAAAGTAGCACTCAACTACTCTGTCTCTTGCAAAAGGAAGCTTGTTTACAAAGTCCAAATCCTTCCACCACCTGAATTTGTCATTTAATTACATAATAATAACTTAATTAGTATATTGATGAAGACTAATACATTCAATATATATATATATGTATGTATGTATGTATTAACCTTGAAATTTCACTTAGTTCTTTCTGATGGACTTGCTGCACTAGGTTGAAATCCAACTTTGCCAAAGTTAGGAGAGTTTCATTTGCCGGATGAGGTTCCTCCTCAAAGATAGCCAAGTAACGCCTTGCTTCTGGCCTTTGGCAGCCCTTCCAGAATGGTTGATGCAAGGCATGGGTTACTTGTTTTGCAAGCAAGGGGCTTAAACGGTGCGCTTCCACTGACTCGAGATGAGTTGTGGTGAAGGTGAGCGCCTCATCCAGTAAATCCTCTCCATGCATCCTAAGATGTGTGGCTTCGTACAAGCTCAACAGTCCTACTACATCATCCACAAGTGTTTCCTTAAATTTCCCGTCCTTGTCCTTGAACTTGTTGAACGTGTCTGCTAGCCGCATGAAACAAAACATATAAGAGAGAGAGAGAGAGAGAGAGAGAGAGAGAAAGAGAGAGAGAGAGAGAGAGAGGACTGACCGCATGAAACCTTGTAACCTTGCTGTCTAAGCAACCGGAAACGGAGAGAAGTTGTGAAAAGGTCAAAATCATTTTCTTCATCACCGCCGTAAGAGTTCTTGTGAATTTGCTGCAAAACTTCCTCAACTTCATTTTCGAAATGGCGGGAGACACCAAACCGCTGAATCTCATCAATTAACTCCAATTTTTTTGATGGATTTTTAAGCATTGGAGCCATTATCATCCCCTTCACTTTGTCCTTCAGTTCTTGGACATCTTGCTCTGCTTTGATATCTGTTTTCTACACAAACAAATTGAAAAGGATATTAAGAAAAGTATGACCTTCATTCATTGTGCATGGAAGTTAGAACTATTAATCAAAATTATTTTATAATAATAAAATATTCAAAATATACGACGCAGCTATAGCACATGATGAGTATTATTAGCCCATAAATAATTTTTAGGACTAATTAATTTCCTACCACAGAAGCATATGATAGAAAATAATCGCCCCAAGTGCTGGGAGAGAAATTAGCTAAACGTCGCTTAACATGATCATGAGTCGCATTCGGGCTTTGAGCTTGGGATGCACCTAAAACTTGAGCAGACATTTTATTCCTAAGTGCGAGGAAATGACTAATGTGCTCTTAATTGAATGTATCAAGGGCTGCTATGAGTTGAAGAGGTGTTGTATTGTGCTATTTATAGTGGAAAATCTATTAATGGGCTGCTGTTTTTTTGTTTAATCTTTTTTTTTTAATGTATCAAGAGCTGCTATGAATCCATAATTTTATTTTATGTATAAAAATTGAATAAAATGACATTTTTAAATAAATAAATATATATATATATAATAAGCAATAGTCTAAAGTACTCTAGATTAATTTAAATTACAGAAGAAGAATTCGAACTTAAGTGTAAAGGGACAGATTCACTGTCAATTGGTCTAACCACGTTTGTTGACGTGGTATTTTTATTTGTTAATCTTTATTTTTTAATGTATCAAGGGCTGCTATATATGAGTTGATGAGGTGTCGTAAGTATAAAATAGTAGAATAAAATAACATTTGATGGGTTGATTGGCTTAAATATTTCCTCTCACTTAAATATTTCAAGGTCTGCCCATACTGTTGCTGGTTTTGCTTCTAAGCAAGGGGGTAAACATGTTTGGGATCACCTTGGAACTGATTGGCTTTTTAATATGAGTAATGCTACACTTACCACATTTTTATCCCACATTTCTATACCACATGATGTGGCATGTCCATTTTATATGACACATCAATTAAATAAATGAAGTGCATTTTAATTAAGGTAATTAGAAAAACAAATACTGGAATAAACCATAAAAGAAAAGAAAATATTAAATCATTTTAATTGATGTGGCTGTCCACCTCAGCTGCCACATAAGGTGGTATGAGAATGTGGTAAGAGTAGCATTATTCTTTTAATATTATTGCTTCTGATGTAAACCTTACTATTCGTTATTAATAAAAATTTTCAGCATTTTTGACAAAAAAAAATTAATGAATAAGCAAAAGGCAGATAATGGTAAAACATTCAAAATGCCAAAAAATGTCCTTAGTTAATTCAAACATTAAGAATTGAAATTATTAATTAAATTAGGATAATATGGTAAATTCACATTTTTTTTAAATTAAAAAAAATTAAAATTAAAAACAAATTAAGATAATAAGTCATACTTTTATGGAACATAACTACCCATGTTATCTTTTCTTAATTTTTAAAATGAAAGGGTAAATTTGTCTTTAAAATTTACAAGATTAGATGAATAAGAAAATATGACAAGTGGGTGAAATAGACACTCATGAAAAAAAACAAAAATAATTGTACCTACGTCGCATGCTACAGATAAACCAACACTTCCGTAAAATAACTACAATAGCTTATGTTTTTTATATTTTATGTTCTCCTTATTTTTGGTCTACTTGTAATTTTTTATACATTATCTATTTCTGTATTTGGTCATTATTTATTATGGATCCAAATATTTTCTATGTGAAATATATTTTTTATACATTTTCTATGTTGCAAACTGTCAACTCGATTAAAAAAACAAAGGTCAATGGTTGGATACCGTGAAAAGATGCAAACTCATAGCAGGGATCACAAGGTTGCATACCGTTTGTCGTCTTCAATTATCGCCAATCAAATTTTAGATGCCACTATATATAAACCTACTGGTTTCTCTCATACAGTGTGCGGCCAAAGACAACTTGTAGATAGGTACGTAACCAGTTTAATAGTTGTCATACAACGGTTTGAAAAGGTATTAAATGTTATCGAAATGCAATTTGTGGAGAATTGACTTGAGATAGTGCCATAATAGTATTTTCAGTAAAAAAAAGTTAAAGCTATGTATTTAGACTTCGTTTGGGATTGCTTTTTTTGGCCAAAAACTTGCTTCATTTTAAAGTTGTGCAATTTAAGGTGTTTGGTAAAAATAAAATATCCTGATTATTTTAAAAGCAGTGATCTTTTGACAGCAGTTTTTAAAAGCAAGCTCTGTTGCTTTTCAAAGCTGCTTTCAAAAGAAGCAGAGATGAACATTTAATGAATTTTTTAAATTCCCAAAATACCATCATTCATTTTTAAAAATGACACCAATTCCACTTCCACATCCAACTCCACCACTTGTATCACAACATTCACTACCTCCACAACCACTGTCACCGCCACCACCACCACCACATTCTCCTCCTCCTCATCCTTCACCACCACCTCCTCCACCTCCACCTCTACCACTACCACAACCACGACCTCCTCCAAAACCTCCACATCCACCACCACCTCCACAACTAACACCACCACCACCACCACCCCCATGTTGCCACTACCACTACCACCATCACCTCCACAACTACAATCCCCACCACCACCACTACCACAACCACCAACTCCACTTTCATCACCACCACCACCTCCACCTCCACCTCCACCTCCATCTCCACCACCACCACAACCACCACCTCCTCCAAAACCTCCACATCCACCATCACCTCCACAACCAACACCACCACCACCACCACCACTACCACAACTTAAAATGACCCATATCTAACTTAAAATGATCCATGTGGGTCATCAAATGGGTCAAATCCATTAGGTTCACCATATGGACGTTTTTGCCTTTTTATTGGGCCTTTTGTGGCTTTGTGGTTCTGTAGTTACCTACAACTTATGCTACAAGCCAATGGGCCTTGAACCTAAAATCCAATTTTAGGCCCAATAAAATTCCCAAGTCTTGATTAATGGATGTGCTGCACAAATATGTCAATAACTATATCTCAGTTATTTATATATTAATTTATTTCTTACATTGTAAGAGAGGATAAATTTTTTTTATGTTCTTTTGTGTACACAAGTTGGCTCATGTACCATCTAATACACATGTATTGGAGAATATTTTCACATATCTCATATGTTTTGGATGGTACATGAACCAGTTGATGTACTTGGAACATACAAAAATTACTCGTAAGAAAGATGTTTGGGTTTTAGGCTATGGAGTAAAAAAGTGGATTGGGCTATGCATAACACGTGTATATGGAGGAATTCATGTATTTTGGTCCAGCTCAGAAAAGTTTGTATTGTATGGGCATAGAGCATGGTCGACCTTGAGATTTTGAGGGCCCTGTGTGAAACTTAAACTGGAGCACTCATTTATAAAAACATAAAAGTTTTAATGTTTCAATTTGAGAAAATAGAAAAGGAAGAAGAAGACATGATTTTTGTTTTTTGTTTTTGTTTTTTTTTCTGTTCTGAGTGGATGAAAACATACACTACAAATTTTTTTGATTCTATTGTATATATTCCTCTTCTTTGATGTTCCCTTTCCCTTTTTTTTTTTTTTTTTTTTTTTTTTTTTTTTCGTTTTTTTTTGTTGTTGTTAACTAATAAAAAAAAAAAAAAAGAAATGTAAAAATACAATTACTGAATGACACAATATGGACTCGAAGCTGGCTTTGTTTTATTCAGAACATAAATTGCAAACTAATCTATACGACACATAAAATCTAAAAGTACTAAATGAGCTGACAAACTGACAAACAAAGGGTCAATACAATACAAACAGTGTAGTCTTATTCTCAGTGATGCCCATGATGACAAATGACCCAAAACAAACCAAATTACTATTTCTAAAATCCAAAAAGCAAAGACTTGACTTGTGGTGACCTAATTCTTTATAGCAAAGACAAGAAGACCAAATTTGATTTTAGGCCTATATGGGCACAGGGTTGACAAACAGAGACACCAGAAGATCCTTAAGTACAACTCCAGCATGAGTAAAGCCATCTTCATGTTTGTACATAAGTTCATTGGTACGTGCAAAATTCAGAATTCTCAATGGTAGTGGCATGGGGATGGTGGTGAGATTGATCCACTCTTCATTGATGTCCTTCCGTGCCTTATTTACTTGTTTTCCGAGTTCTATTATCGTTTCTTCTTCTGTGGCACCGTTCTCTTTCATGTAGCATTCCACAGCTGAGGCAATATGTCCTCTCTTTTGTTCAAACTACGTAAATATAGACATGAATTTTAAGGTTAAAAGGGGGTATGGGGAGATAAATAAAAAAGAAAAGGTTGCATTTATATTAATATGTACCTTATGGGACTTCATGTCATCCTCATCCATGAGTCTGCCAAGTATTGATAAAGAGTTCACAATCTTAGGGTCACTGAGAACCTAATCCAAGGACTCTTTTGTGACAATATCTCCCATTCCAATAAAGGACGTGGTTGATAGCATCAAGTAGGATGTACCAAGTGCTACTGCCATAAATTCATCCATTGTTGGAGTGTATTTCTCGTGGAGCCATTTCGCTTCATCAGAGTAACAGAGTAACCTCTAACTTGACATTTCATCTACGAAATCAAGATACGATCTCTAATTACTTTCTATGCAAAGAGGGAAACCGTCTATTTTCTGGATCTTCTGCCTGGAAATCGTGTGGTTGATGAGGAGGGCAAAAACATCGTGAACAATGCTTTAAAAATTTATAATTCCCACATAGGCAGACCAGGCCGTAAAGCACCAATTTGGAACACTCTGCCAGGCACACCAAAGCAACCTAGCAGTGTCGAATGCGGGTATTATGTGATGCGCTTCATGAGGGACATCATCATGGATCCTTCCTTGGAGTTTGAGAAGAAGGTAAGAAGAAAATTTTTAGAAACATTTTATGTGGTTTTTTGTATTATCAACGACGGTCCTTTAAAATTACCGTCGTTGAATCGATATACTACGTCGGTTATGAAAAATAGCATCGTCTGTGACTGAATGTCTTTTTATTTTGTAAAGCTTAATAATCATTGTTTATGGATTGCAGTTTGCCAAGGGAAAAGAGCAAGCGCCATACCCCCAAGCAGCCATTAATGAAGTCCGGAATGAATGGGCAGAGTTTGTTTGCCTTCATATGGAGTAGAGGATTTTTGGAACACTTGATATTTTTATATGTACAAATTTTGTCTATAATATATAATGTACAAATTTTGTCTATAATATACATCCTTTTTTTCCCTGAAAATTTGTTGAGGTTTTCATAATTTGAAAGAAAAAACAAATTGCATAACCGACGTGTAATAACTTTCCAACGACATAATTATGTCAAAAACCGACGTAAAAGGATATTTAGACGACAGATATGACGTGGTAATTAAATTACACGGCGACACCTTTTTTGTTTAAGTTGTGATATACCGTTTGTACTTCCATGGGACGTCGTTTTAGTGAAAATTTCGCCATGGTTTCGCTTTTAAACGACGTCCATTGAACAAGTAAGTCGTTTATTATATAATTTAGAGTTTAGGGTTTAGGTATTTACTTTTTAACGACAGTGATTGAGTCGTGGAATATAGAGTTTACGTCGGATAGTGAAACATCCGCCATGGTTTCTCTTTTACACGACGTCCTTTTTATAGGTGAGTCGTTTATTATTATTTATAACGTCATTAATTAATTAACCCCGATGTGGTTTGTTGTTGATATAAGAATATTTTATTATTTTTAATTCAAAATATTCAAAATAAATCAAAAAAATGCAACGTCAACTCCTATGAAGTCATTGATATATTTTCTTCCCCTAAACCTCAAAAAAATGCAGTTTGAGTAATAAAAGTTTAAAATGACCACCCAAAATAAAATTGTTTTGATGAGTCATAACATCACTTATAGTTTGATGGTTTAGGGTTTAGGGTTTGGGGTTTAGGGTTGTTATTTATTAGGGTTTAGGGTTAAAGTATAATTTTTGGGGTTTAGGGTTTATGTTTGTTATATATTAGGCTGTAAAACCAAACAATTTTATAAAATTATATTTTAAAAATATATAATTTAGAGTTTAGGGTTTAGGTTATTACTTTTAACGACGGTGATTGAGTCGTGGAATATTAAGTTTACGTCGGATGGTGAAACATCCGCCATGGTTTCTCTTTTAAACGACGTTCTTTTTACAAGTGAGTCGTTTATTATTATTTACAACGTCGTTAATTACTTAACCCCGACGTGGTTTGTTGTTGATATAAGAATATTTTATTATTTTAATTCAAAATATTCAAAATAAATTCAAAATAAATCAAAAAAATGCAACGTCAACTCCTATGAAGTCATTGATATATTTTCTTCCCCTAAACCTCAAAAAAATGCAGTTTGAGTAATAAAAGTTTAAAATGACCACCCAAAATAAAATTGTTTTGATGAGTCATAACATCACTTATAGTTTGATGGTTTAGGGTTTAGGGTTTGGGGTTTAGGGTTGTTATTTATTAGGGTTTAGGGTTAAAGTATAATTTTGGGGGTTTAGGGTTTATGTTTGTTATATATTAGGCTGTAAAACCATAAAAAAATTTATAAAATTATATTTTAAAAATATATAATTTAGGGTTTAAAGTTTAGGGTATTACTTTTAACGACTGTGATTGAGTCGTGGAAAATAGAGTTTACGTCGGGATGGTGAAACATCCGCCATGGTTTCTTTTTTAAACGATGTCCTTTTTACAGGTGAGTCGTTTATTATTATTTACAACGTCGTTAATTAATTAACCCCGACGTGGTTTGTTGTTGATATAAGTATATTTTATTATTTTTAATTCAAAATATTCAAAATAAATCCAAAAAATGCAACGTCAACTCCTATTGGTTCAATAGACGACGTGGTTTCTTCAAACTAAACGGCGTTATGTTCATTGTTTGAGTCGTGGAATACTATATTTACGTCGGTTTTGGTAGAACTTTTGCCATGGTTTTTCATAGTTTTGACGACTTCTGTTTGATTTTGCGTCGTACATAGTTTTACCACGACGTCTTTAATGTAATAAGCGTCATGTTTAAAGTGAACTTTTAACGACGGTTGTTTTTTCGGTCGATGTTTTAAAGAGCGCGCTTTCTAAAAATATTCGTGCGACCTAAAATTTTCATATTTGGCTCTTAGTTTTATACTTCTAACCCTGAACCCTAAAATTTTCAGATTTCGCGCAACATAATATTTCGCTCTCTCACTTCATCTCTAATTCAAAGTTGGGCTCTCCAGGCTCTGTCGAATCCAAGTAGGCCATAATCTGTGAATTTTGCCAACCTGTAAGTACAAACCCTCTCTTCCCCTTGTAAAATCATTGAATGATATTACGTTGTTTTGTTAAAAGGTTTTAGATATATGTTTGCGATCTGTTAATAATGTTGTTGGAGGTATGGGTTCATGGATTTTATGTTTAATGTTTTCTTGATCACTCTCTGTTATGTTGAATAGGGAATGGATTTAATTTTGTCGGATCTTTTAATCACTCTCTGTTATGTTGAATTGGGAATGGATTTATTGTTTTCATGCTTAGTATATGTTGGTTTCATGCTTGGTTTCATGTATATGTTGTGTTCTTAATAGGGTTTTGGGATCTTGAAAATAAACTGGGATATCGACGCGTTTTTAGGCATATGACGACGGTTTTTTCATAAACCGTCATTTGTATTACTTATACACGACGGTGTTCTTTAACTACCGTCGTGGTTATAATTAGACAACGTTTGTTGAAAATCCGTCATCTATATATGCCAAATACGTCTGTTTTTGTTTAAAAACCGTCGTCTGTGTTGTATATTACTTGCTATTAGAACTTTATATAATCTGCTATAGTGATGGTCATTGCTTGTCTTTTCACTTTATTATATATAATAGGGTATAGTGTCGGAGATGGATAAGTCATGGATGCACTCAGATAGAAGATCGAAGGCATATGAGTTAGGGGTGGAAGCATTTTTGAACTTTTCTGTAGAAAATCTTCTAACTACAACACATATCCGTTGTCCATGTGTTAAATGTGTTAATTTGAAATTGTTTGGGGTTGGAATTATAAGGGATCACTTATACTTTAATGGAGTTGACCAAAACTATAAGAATTGGACATTTCACGGAGAACCTTGGGAAGCAACTACTAATGCTAGTAGAAATGTTGAAGAAGATGATGACCATAGTAGGTACAGTTTTGTGTCTGAAGAAATAGAGATGGATGATAATGATTTGGTGATTTTGGATCTGATCCTTATGAGTTTGCCAATGTGATTGGGGATGGAGATCAACCATTGTATCCTGGTTGTAGAAAGTACACGAAGTTATCGGCATTAGTGAAGTTGTATAATTTGAAGGCAAAACATGGGATGAGTGATGTCTGTTTTACAGAATTATTGATACTTCAGGGCGATTTGCTTACAGAAGGAAATACAATACCGGCCTTTATGTATGAGGCAAAAAAGACTTTGTGTGCATTGGGGCTGAGTTATGAGAAAATGCACGCGTGCCCCAATGATTGCATCTTGTATAGGAAGGAGTATGAGGATTCAACTAATTGTCCTACTTGTGGTATCTCAAGGTGGAAGGAAGGTAAAGATTCAATCTTGAAAGAGGGTGTGCCAGCGAAGGTGGTGTGGTATTTTCCTCCAATTCCAAGGTTTAAAAGGATGTTTCGATCACATGAGACAGCTAAGAGTTTGACTTGGCATGCTGCTAGAAAATCAATTGACGGTCAGATGTCTCATCCGGCGGATTCCCCGTCTTGGAAACTTCTTGATGATAAATGGCCCGAGTTTGGTAATGAGCCGAGAAACTTGAGATTGGCTCTTTCATCTGATGAATTCAATCCCCACAGTTCTCTAAGTAGCAGATATAGTTACTGGCCAGTTATCTTAGTTACATATAATCTCCCTCCATGGCTGTGCATGAAATGAAAGTTTATGATGTTGACCTTATTGATTTCCGGTCCTAAACAGCCCGGAAATGATATAGACGTCTACTTGGAGCCTTTGATTGATGATTTAAAATCTTTGTGGGATGGAATTGGAGGAGTGTATGATGCACATAATGGAGAATACTTTACACTCAGAGCTGCATTAATGTGGACAATTAATGATTTCCCCCACCTATGGAAACTTATCTGGTTGTGTTGTTAAAGGATATAAAGCTTGTCCAATATGCGGCGATGATACACCTAGTCACAAGTTGAAAAATGGCCACAAAATTTGTTACATTGTGCATAGAAAATGGTTACCAATCAATCATCCATATAGGAGGCAACGTGCAGCTTTTAATGGGAAACCGGAGAAGAAGTGTTGCATATGGTTGAAGATGGTGACAGAGTTTGTTGGAAGAAGAAATCAATATTTTTCGATCTCGAGTATTGGAAATACCTTCCTGTGAGGCATGTGATGTTATGCACATTGAGAAGAATGTTTGCGATAGTATCATTGGTACATTGCTGGAGATCTCTGGAAAAAATAAAGATGGGATTGCTGCTCGATTAGATTTATTGAACATGGGGGTCAAAACTGATTTGCAACCCGAGTATGGAGAAAGACGTACTCGTTTGCCTCCCGGGCCTTGGAATTTGTCAAGAGCAGAGAAGAGAGAGGTTTGCAAATCTTTCTATGGTATGAAGGTCCCTAAAGGTTATTCTTCAAATATAAAAAATCTTGTATCTTTACAAGATTCAAGACTTCTTGGCCTTAAATCACATGATTGTCATACCTTAATGCAACAATTGCTCCCTATGGCAATTCGTTCTGTTTTGGAGAAGCCTGCAAGGTATGCAATAACTCGTTTGTGCTTCTTCTTCAATGCTATATGTGCAAAGACTGTTGATGTTTCCAAGCTAGATAAGTTGGAAGAAGATGTAGTAGTTACTTTGTGTTTGCTTGAGAAGTACTTTCCCCCTTCATTCTTTGATATCATGGTTCATCTAGTAGTACATCTTGTCAGAGAAGTTCGCCTATGTGGGCCAGTATATTTTAGATGGATATATCCGTTTGAAAGATATATGAAAGTGCTAAAGGGGTATGTTCAGAATCATACTTGTCCCGAAGGTTGCATTGCTGAGCGGTATATAGCTGAAGAAGCTGTAGAGTTTTGTATCGAGCATTTATCTGATGTTAGTACAGTTGGAGTGCCTTCAAGCCAAAAGATGGGAGTTTCAAAGCCATTATCAGGTTGCACAGTGAGCGTAGTTGATCAGGACCTGTTGAACCAAGCACATCTATATGTCTTGGAGAATACGGAGGAAGTCCTACCTTATATTGAGTACGTATGAGTTTTATTCTTTAAGTTTCCATTTTAAATTATTTCTTATGTTTATCTTATATGTTTGAGACTGTAATGCTTGAATTTTTTGTGTCATGTAGGCAACATATGATCCACATCAAGACCGCTTATCCAAAATTTAGAAAGAGAACAAAGTGGCTGCACAATAAGCACAATAACACTTTCATTCAATGGCTACGCTTCAAGGTATATGTTATTGAATAACATATTGGACTTTTAATTTTCTTCTTTCTATGTTAGATTGAATTAAGTTATGATTAATTTGCAAGTTCAAAGTGAACTTAATGAGGAAGACAATCATGGCGTATCAGAAAATTTAAGGTGGCTAGCAGCTGGTCCAAACATGGCAGTGCCATATATAGGAGCTATCTTATTAAAGGTATTAAATTCAACATCAAGGCACAAGATGATGTGCGGACAACTCAAAATAGTGGAGTTTATTTACTTGCACATACTATGCAGTTGCTAGTGCCAAGGATAAAAATCCAATTCTCTCAAATATGGTTTTCTATGGTGTCATTCAAGAAATTTGGGACCTTGACTACCAAAAGTTTACAATCCCAGTCTTTAGGTGTGATTGGATAGATAGTACTTCTGGTCTTGTAGTGGACGAACTTGGATTTACCCTTGTAGATTTGAGTAAAATTGAACATAGGAATGACCAATTTGTTTTGGCTTCTCAAGTCAAACAAGTATTTTTTGTTGACGACCTGATGCATCGTGGTTGGTCGGTAGTGTTATCAATGCCTAATAGAGAATATAATGATGTTATTGGTGATGATGTCTTAGGTGATGTGAGAATTGAGTGTGAGCCATTTACTAGAGGGATGTCAAATGTTGACACATTTGATGAAGTGGTGGGTGAGTTAGGGAGTCAAAATATTCGAGATGGGTGTGAAGATATATGGATTGAATGATGCTTTATGTAATTGGCAGTGTATGACATTAATTTTGTAATATATTGTAATGTGATTTCTTCACTTTCATTATACAGGTTTTGGCCACAAAACAATCAGTACAAAAATTACTGGTTCCAGATTACAAACACGACGGTCTAGATAAAAATGTGAAAAACAAACGTCTGTTCTAATAAAAAACGACGTTTTGGAGCATTCAACGACCGCAATATATTTACCAACGTCTTAAAGCAACGTAACAATGAAGAACCACGACGCTATTGTGAAACAGTTGTTCAGGATAACACGTCGGACAAGCATAAAGAACCGCCATGTAATTCAAAATAACATGACTCCAATCCCATAATACCGACGTCTAAAAGACGAGATCTCTAACCTGAACGTTACAAAAGACGACGTCGTCATGAATTTACCACGTCGCATGTTCTTTCATAAATGAAGTGGAAAAGGATGAATTCACGACGGTATTTGAAGTCCATTGGTAAATTTGTCGACGTTAAGATATATGAATTAGACGACGTTAATTTTTTTAATGAAGACGTATAAATTATGAAACACGGCGGCCTTTTCATGGTAACGACGTTGTATATAGACGACAACGTCGTCTTTATAAATTAATGTGTCATAATTAATGACCCCATCATTTTTCCACGTCGTTTATTTTCAGATCCTGTCGTTAAAATTATTTTCAGATCCTGTCGTTAAAATTATTTTACACGGCGGTAGAATGCCGTTTACACAACGATTATATTTCAAAATATGACGTATAAATTCTGTAATACGACTCTCATTTATTTGGAACCGACGTTGTTTATTTATTTCAACGTCGTCTCTGTACATACATGCGTTGTAAGTAATGACCCTGACATCTATTTCCACGTCATCATTCATAGAAAAATCGAAGTGGAAAATTTATTTTACGACGGTTGTTGGAAATGTTGTGACGTAGTAGGTGTCAATAATGTCGTTTATTATGTATTTAAAGACGTCATATTTCTATTTGTCGTTAAAGGTTTATTTAATACAAATTTATAAATAAACCAAATTCTAGACATGTATTTATAAAAAAACCCAAGCACTATTTAAACATAGAAACACACCCAAAATCAACCCCAAAGTCAACTTTTGGGTGTGTTTATAAATGGGTTTTGAGTGTATGTAATGATGGGTTTGGGTGTGTTTATATGTTTAAATAGTGCTTGAGTTTTTTTATAATTTCAACCCCCATTTTGGGTGTTTTAGTGAAACTCCCTTTATTTAATGGCGTTGAGTTTTAGTTCTTGTCGTTGTATGTTTATCTTGCGGCCATGTTCTGTTAATATATGTCATATGTTTCCTTTTTAACGACGTTTTTTTGTTAGAGTTGGTCGTCTATTCTCATCCTCGACTGTTTTTTTATGTCTTTTTGCAGTATACAAAGACGTCGGTTTTTATTTGTTGATGACCTTTTTTGTTTTAACAATGACGGGTATTTACCGTCGTGGTTTTGTTATGGAAAAGATATCGGTGGATTCCACGACCATTTGAAAACTGAATACATGATGGTGAATTCCCGTCGTGTTTTTCCTTTTTTGTAGCAGTGTCCCCTGTGCTTACTAAAATGTAAGAGAAATAATTGATTCAATTCAAATTCTTAACTCCCCTGTTATTAAGTTATACTCTTGGCAGTGTACTATATTTTGGACTAATCAAACACTTGGCAGAGCCCTTTGAAAATAAAGATTTATATATCCTCGAGATTCCAAGTTATCCTTTGAAAATAAAGAAAATAGAAAATGTGAAACGATCTCACCTTTGTTAATCAGATTTTATTTTATTTTTTGTCAAAACCAATCAGATCTGACCAAAGCATTGACATTTTGTTTTCTATACTATTTATTTCAAGTAAATTGATTGCTCCAAAACTCCATTTCGTAAATTTGCTTGCTTAATCAGTGCTTGGTTTGGATAATTTACCGTTCGTTTTGTTCTACTTTTCTGCTATTTTGGTATATTAGGATTTCCTCTTTCTTTTTTTTTTTTTTTTTTTTTTTTGGTTTGGTGATCCTGATCTCAACCATAAAAAAAAAAAAAAAAAAAAACACAAGAAACATTTATAGTCATATTACTGTAGGAAATATGAGTGCTAAATTGCTATAAAATAAATAAATAAACACTACAAACAAAACAAATTTTTACAACAGCAGAATGGAATTAAAATAACCTTAATTGAGTCGAGGCAAGTATTAGACACTCTGACCTTAAGACGAATTGCACCTCACACTGGTGCTTATGGTTCACTAGCATTCGCCTCCCAGGATACAACGACTCCACTCCTTATGAAAGAAGCACTGCAATTCACAAGGAACTTTGAACCAAAATTATGCAGGAACCTCTCTTTATGAAAACTCTAATGCTCTCTATATATGAAAGTATGTATGTAGAGAATTGATCGAATTAATAAAACTACAGGAGGATTGCTCTATTTATAGATGATGAAATACCTTTCTAAAAAGGTATCCCAATCTGAAAAGGCAAACAATGCATCCCTTGGTCTGAAGAGTTGTCATCCCAAACAATGCTTCCCCTGATTTGAAGAGTTGTCACCCCCCAATTGAAGATGTCTTTAACCCAAGGGTCATGTCCATAACTCAATGGATTTTATTAATTTCCATTCAAATAACAAATTAATATTAAATTTCTCACAATTACCAGAACAGAGGGCACGCGGTATAGGACTTACGAACCAGAAAAATCACTCTGCAGCTTCACTCTAACCACATGGGGATCCTCTGGAGGAGGACAGTGGTACCAAACATGCCGGTTTAGATTGTGCCATTTTATGGCAAACTCTAGGCCAAAAGGCATCAAAACTTGTTTGAGCAAGCGGGGGCCCAAAAATGACTTTCTCCCTAATGTCAATGGAGGCTACATATTTGCAACGAGGTCAAGGATATTGTATGGTACTGGAAAAGGTTTAGATTTTTAAAATTTTATCATTAAGATGTTTAAGGATAATAGTTAAGATAACACGAAGTTGGTTCACCTCTCTAAGGTTCATTTGTCAATAATATCAATTACTATTTAAACTTTGATGCTACTATTTATTTTGAATTATTTTCCATCTCATTTTCTTGTTCAAATTCAGAGGCTGCCTCCTTGTAAGCAAAACCCAACGAAGAAGACATCCAAACATTATTGTGCCTTCCGTGGATCTCCCAGGAATTGGTCAATCAAGGTTATTGCTTGGAGTACATAGTCTATATGACTACACATAAAGTAGAAGAAAGGGATGCAACAACGGTGAGCCCCAAACAAGAACCTAGCGTATCGCGATTCAATTGTATTTCTCTTTTATCCAACATATTCAACAAAAAACCTTATCTCCCATATAGTTGTTATCCGGCTAGGTGCCTAGAAGCCGGTATTCTTCGTCTCAAAAGCTCTTCTTCATGCAGAGACTAGATACCAAAAACAGAAAAACTTATACCTTGTAAACTTCTCAAGTTCTCTCCTAAGATCTCTCTATCATGAGTTCTCTAACTAGAGCTCTCCCTCTTAAGAATTAACCTAGCCCCAAAAGTCCTATACACAAAAGTCCTATTTATAGTGTATAGGACTTGAGTTACAAGTTTACTAGAAATAGGAAATTTAAACCCAATTAAATTACTAAGAAACCCAAAAAAACTAGCTTACATGTCAAAAACACCTTGCACACTTTAAAACCTGGAGCTTCTGTCCCGAAAAGACTAGTACCTTGCAAAAGCCAACTAGTCGCCCAAGCCAAAACACACTTCGTCCAAAACTAGGTGCTCCCTGGAAAATTTCGACTGATCGATTGCTCAAGTCGACCAATCGCCTATTGTTGTGTGACTTTTTTTCCTCCATTGCTCCTCTTGCTGCAGCCGCTGCTTGTTTCCTCTTCTTCCTCTCGTATTAGGGTGAGCCAAATCACAACAATATCTACATAATTTTTCATAACTCTTATGTTTTTCCTCTATCTCTCTTTGTGGTTTGTGTGTTTATTCTTCTTGGGGTTTTGTGTGCGCATGTCGTATATCCATTGAAAAACAAGGAATTGGAGTGTTTTCGTACAACAAGTGGTATCAGAGTTGCAGGTGAGCACCAGACTCTTATATTTTTAAGAGTGTTTGCATGTTGGAAATGGTAGGCGACAAGAAGGCTACCACAACTGGCTAGTATGAAGATCGAGTTGAAGTCATTCACCAGCAAGGAGAACTTCACCCTATGGCAAAAAATAATGAAACATACGCTAGAAGAGCAGGTCTAACCGTCATCTTGGTAGGCAAAGAGAACAGGTCAACAACCATGACAACGGAGGAGTAGGACGTGCTCGATGAGTTGCTAAGGGTTCCATCAAGAATTACCTTACAGATGAAGTATAGAGTAATGCAGTTGAAGACACCACAAAGCATACATAGGAGAAGCTCGAACAGATGTTGCGGCGAGATCACTGTCAAACAAACTCTTCTTGAAGAAAGAGCTCCTAAATCGTTGGATGGAAGAAGGTGGAAATGTCATGTAGCATCGTAGCACCTTTAATAGGTGTGTTGCAGACTTGTCGAGGATAGATGAGACTTATAAGATTGAGGATAAGGCAATGATGTTGATGATATCCTTGCCTTAGTCTTATAAGCACTTTCTCATGACGTTGATGTTCTGCAAGAGTACACTGAATTTTGAGGAAGTCGATCAAGACGTGATGTTGCACCATAGAATGGCTCAATGTTCGAAAGAGGGCCCTCAAGATGTGAGTCTAGAGAGGGGTCGTACAAGCAAGTGCGAGGGCAAGGAAGGCAATGGTAGGAATTCTAGATCCAAGGACATGGATGACTACTTCGAGTGTGGGTCTATAGACCATTGAAAGTGGAATTGTCTAGTATGGAAGGAGAAGCGGAACAAGTTGAAGAATGTCAAAAGTGCAAGCGCAGCCAACATGTCTATTGATGACGCTAATGATGAACTTGTGATGGTTACAGATAAAGAGTGTATCGGGGAATTTGTGGTGCAGAAGTTATAGTGTTGGATGACAAGGTCCACAAATATGAAGGCAAGACAAGGAATAATGAGGAGAATGTTGTTGAGTTGGTGGCAATCGAAGAGATGCTTCTTATCTTGAGGTGGAGGCATCATCATTAGCATAGTCCAGGCCCAAGAAACCGTCCCAATGGTTTAAAGGGAAAGAAAAGGTAGATTCAACGACATTTCAGGTTGTTTTTGGGAGCAAGAGGAGGGAAAGTTGGATGGGTGCTTTGATGAAAAGGGAGGATTTTGGTAAAGAATTAGTTCATAAATCCAAGAGCAAAGTTAGCAGCTGCGTGGGGATTTATAGAACAAGGTTTGGTATGTGGTTTGTGGTTTGTGTATCAAGGTATGTCAAGAATTCAAGGTTCTATGAAGGCAAATGTTCACCCGTTTTAGATTTGTTCCTGTGATGGTAGGGTAAAGTTCCCCATTGGCTTGAAAACCATTTGTGGTCAACAAGTCAATTTTCTTTTGTGTATGAGCGTGCCACTGCTCGCAATAAAAATCCTAGCAGACTTCTTAAAATTAGATAACATGCGCCCCAAGTTATTAACTTCTAAACAAACGATTGTGAATTTGGGTGAGGAATATCTCCCAAGTAAGTTCTTTTCTTGCCTCAGACTAGTAAGGACTTCACAATTTTTCACAGTACAAAACTGGTAGTTCTAGCCAGAATGAATGATAAGAAGGTGAACTATTTTTTGGCTAAACTGCCTTTTACAAAGCTAAAAAGGGAAAAGACCAACTCTGAAAGAGATAAAAGAAACATCGGACTTTAGTTTCTACCTGGATAGCTGCTTTTGATCCAGACTGGACTGGATATATTTGTGCTAGATTGGAACATCAACACCTTCAACTGTCAAGTTTCAGTTGTAAATCGATACCAACGTTCAAGTTTGGCAGAGCTTTAATCTATTTAAGCCCTGGAAGGCTTTTTGAATGGGCAGAATTGGAGCCTCTTCAGTTTGAAAGGGGCAGAAGTGGCTGGATTTGATGATTACTGAGCTGGAACTACATTGTAGCACTTGTTATGCTTGATTAGGGCTCTCCATAAATTTGTTGGGGTTTTCATATTTGTAAAAACCCGGACTCTACTTGATTTGGCTTATGCTGAACCAAATTTGTAACGAGAGAAATCTTGCTTTGTATGACTTTTTTTGAACCGAACTAAAATAAGAGATTTTGAATTATAACTAACTTGTTTTTGTGGCTCAATGAGCTTTGGTTGCTTCGGTGTTTGAAGGCTTTTGAGATCAAGTGATCATTTTGTCAATTGTGATCATAAGAGTTTTTGTTTTGATTGATTTTTTGGCTACCTTTTCATCTCCTCTCATATTTATAGAAATGCTGGACTGAGGCTTTTAATCTTTTAATAACAAATCTTTTAAATTTTTTTTGTTTTTTTTTTTTATTTTTTTTGTTATAAGAGAAGAGAAAACTACTATTTTGGTAGAGAAGGGCTATCAACAATTAGCTTTCATGGAGGTCTTTTCCTTGATTTTTCTGGAAGAAAAACCAACTCTTCTTTGTTCCCTGTTTATTCCTTGTAAAGAGAAAGAACACAATTTGCCATGATGGTTAGTTTGCTTTTCTTGTTGAATAACTCCCTCATTCTCTACTCATCTCTTGAAAACGTAGTCTGCTTATCTCTTGGAAAGGTCACCTGTTTTGGTACAGAGCTTCTCTATATATATAAAAAGGGATTCTGATCTTCTTCTTTTGGCTAAAAAAAATAGAGAAGTCTTCCTGTAAGACTTGCCTTCATTAACTTCCTATCAACTTCTCTGTAATAGTTGAAAAGGTTGACTTTTCAAAGCCAAGTAGTCACGTGGGGTTGTTAGAAAAGATCTGCTAGGCTAGTCTCTATTTTTCTTAGTGGATAAAAAGCCCAAATGTTTTGTCTCATGGGCCTTTTCTAAAAAAATGGCCTGGGTGTGTTGAGAATTGGCCCAATTTTAAGCAAAACTTCGGTGGTTGCCCAAAATTGACATGGGTTTTTTGATTTTGGACTGGGCGTGGTAAATTAGGCCCAAACAATGCCCCCTAAGCCTAAAATGTTTTGGAACGGTTTCAGACTTAATGTTTTGGCCATTAATTGTGCACGCCATTTCCTTCCATTGCAATCAGCCCACGTCTGCGACGTCTGCCTATATGAACTAGACTTCGTGGGAAAATGGGTAGTTACTAGCTAGTTATTATCAAGTGGCGTCTTGTCTTCTTCTTCCCATGATCTCGAGCCTTTTTAAGAAATTTAAAAACCTCAGCTCCTGTTCACTCGAAACCTAACTTCTTCAGACCTTGATTCCTCTTAGATTTCTCAGAATCCTTTACCCTTTCCTGTACTCAGCCCTTGATTCCTTTCAATTTGCTTCCTCTGTTCTAGCCACAATCAACCAGAACTGCTCATTTTCTAATTATCTCAAGAAATTCAGCTCAAAGAAGGATAGGGATCAACAACATATGTTGTTCTTTTGTATTGGCTGAACATATTTGTCTTCCCAAATCGCTCCTCAGCAATTCTGCTCGAATACAGGCACCTGGCAGAAGCACTGCATAACCATACTGATGTAGGGCTTGGGCCTACAGTTCTGGCTCATTTGTACAAGAACCTGCACACTGCCACCTTGGAGAATCCTTTGAACCTATCTGCAAGTCTATTTCCCAGAACTAAGGTTCCCATATATAGTTCTGCCTGGAGATCAAGTTCTGGCGGTTCCATTAATGTCAGCAGAAGTGCCCAAGTGTTCAATTGAAGAGTACCTGATGTTCTTCAGGCACTGCACTAAGAGATCTGCAGCTCAATGGCAAGTGGTGGTCAGAAGGACCTATCCTTGGTTGCAGCATGGATTCAAACTGTTTAAGAAGGAACCAAAAGAAGCAGCGGCCAGAATAGACTTTAGGAAGAAGTTCCTGAGCGTGACTTTGCCCCGGGACCTGCCCTTTGGTGGTGGGAAGCCTCAAAACTATCATTTGGGGGCAGAGGTGTACCATCTCAACTTCTGTGCAATGCAACTTGGCTGCGCTCAGCTTATTCCACTCAAATCATACAGAAGCTGTAATCGGACCACTTTCTCGATAGATTCAAATGATCTGGAAGTTCACAAGGACTGCAGGTGCTCTGTGAACAAGATCAACAATAGTGTGGATGCTCATTAACCATCCTGGGAGCCTAATTCCTGTAGTTCTGTCGAGTTCGATGCTTGGTGGAAAGCCAGATTCCAAGATTTGCCTGCCTCAAGTACTGCTACCAAAGTGCTTTTTGATAGTTGGGATTCTTGGACCGTTTTTGCTGGCGAGGAGGCCAAAGGATTCATCGTGCAAACCATTAAGGATGTTAATGCTCAAGTCATTGAAGGTAGGTCCCTAAATTCTGCCATTTTATTTCTTCCTTACTGAATGGCCTTCTAACCCATTCTTCTCTGTGCAATATATGAAGGAGATGCACATGAGACACTGGCAGAACAGACAAGTGTTGAGGCAATTCCTTCTGCCAAAGGGAATAAGAGGAAGAAAACTGCCCAAACAAAACCTTTCAATTGCAAAATATTTTCTTTCTACTTCTGTCAGAGTTCTGCTCATGTAATAGACTGTCATTTGCTTCCCTTCCTTGTTATATTGAACTAATAGACTCCCAATGGATACTTCTGATGCAGAAACATATAACTTGAGTGGTCTGCCTCTCTTTGGCGAGGACAGAACTGGCGGATTTGAGAGGTAGTGCTTGATTTCCTCAAAAGCTTGCTGGTGCTGCTCCTCCCATTTGAATTCCTGTTCTTGTTTTAATCTCAACAAGGAGGAGAATGGCTGGATTTTTCCTGCAGAATTAGATATAAATCTTCTTAGAAAGTTGATCTTTCCTAGGAGACTCTGCAATTCTTTCTTGTTCTGAGGTGGTAAAGTTTCCATGATAGATTTTGCTTTGTTTTTGTCGATTTCTATTCCTCTTTGGTGGACCAAGAAACCTAAGAAATTGCCGGCTTGAACCCCAAAAGCGCACTTCTTGGGATTCATTTTCAGCTTGTGTTGTCTCATCCTTAGGAATTCCTTTTTTAGATTTGATACATGATCTCCCTTTTCTGGGGATTTAATTACCACATCACATCTAGAGAATGACCTATCATGTCATGGAAAACAAAATTCATCGCTCTTTGGTAAGTGGCTCCTACATTTCTCAAGCCAAAAGGCATTACAGTGTATTCAAAAGCACCTATATGCCCTGGACACATGAAGGTTGTCTTGTGGATATCTTCTTATGCCACCATTAATTGATTGTACCCTGCATTGCCATCCATGAATGATAGCATCTGATTGTGGGTAGCTCCGTCTATCATCATATCTACCATGGGCATGGGATACTCGTCTTTGGGAGATGCTTCATTCAAATTTCTGTAGTCCACACATGTTATGATTGCCCCTGTTTTTCTCTTAAGAACTGGTACAATATTGGACAACCAATCAGCATAAATGGCTGCCCTGATAAAACTTGCTTTAACCAGCCTTTTCACTTATTCTTTGACTTTCAGTTTTGTCTCCATGGACATCCTTCTTCTGGCCTGCTTGACTGGCAAGTATCCTTCTTTTATTGGCAATTTGTGCTCCACCAATCCTCTATCCAGTCTAGGCATTTCGTGGTAGTGCCATGCGAAAGTCTTTGAAATCATGCAGAAGTGCAATGATTTCATTCTTTACTGGCTCTTCTAGTAATGTGCTGATGAAAGTAGGTCTGGGATCCTCTTCTGTCCCCAGGTTTATTTCTTGGAAAGGATCCTCTACTTCTGGCAGGGAATTATCCAGTGCTGCTGGTGTGAATTCCAATTCTCTCTCTTGCAGATTTCCATCATGTTCTTCTACACTCTCATGCATGAATTCTGCCATGTTAATGGCTGGACTATACATAGAAAGCCTCATTTCTTCCCAATGTACCAACAATCTATTTGTAATGGATTGGATTGTTGCCGCTCGATCCCTTTCCTGCTGGCTTGAGCTAAACATCAGAACTCTGGAGGTTGAGAATGTAGGGCTTATTCCAGTCCTCTAGAGAACTAGCCAGACCTTCTTCAATGAGTTTATGGGCCGTGACACCGTGGGGACGACTGTCCTGGTTAACTCAAAAGAAAGTGAAAGGACCGAGGTCATCATGATAATACCTGGCCTCAAAACATAATGCAGATGGCAAGAATAGCCATGGGCCGGCCTCCACAATTTCCATAAAACCCTCTTCATGCGAGAGGGCCAACTGTTGGTGTAGAGTGGAAGGAACACACAAACTCTGGTGGATCCAATCTCTGTCAAGCAGTGCATTGTAAGTGGTAGAAGTGGTGTCTACCACAAAAAAGGCAATCTTCAGCTTCTTGGTTCCTACAATGACATCCACATCTAGTATTCCATGAGTCTTAGTGATGCCCCCAGCGAAGTTGGTGACCATTAAGCGTGTTGGAATTAGATCCTTCTCTATTCTGCCCATCTTGATCAGCAACCTGTGAGGTAGAAGATTAATGGTTGCACCTCCATCTACCATTACTTTGGGAATAGGAACACCCCCAAAGTTAGCTGTTATGAACAAAGGTCTGAGATAATTGACCATTTCCTTGGTAGGTTCGGAAAAGCACAGTTGTTCTGCGGCTAATTTCATGGCAGTTCTGCCTGTTTTGGCGGTAGGTATTTGCTGTTCCGGCGCCTCTTCCACTTCTGCCAATTTGAATTCAAAAGTTTCTTGAGAGAGTACATCTCTTTCCAAAGTATTCTTTTGTCCTTCTGCTACCCTGAACTTTTCTGGCAGGATAAACACCATACTAATGCCACTCACCGAAAGCCTTAGTTTCTTCCTCTAGTTCTCCATCGTACTTCATACGTTCTTCTCCATATTCTTCTGTCCAATCTTCTTGCCCATCTGTTTCGAGGAGTCCAGTCTAGTCATCTGCAGATGTTTCGTAATCCAATTGTTCCTCTTCATATTCTTCAATCCAATCCTTTTGTCCTTCTACTGGAACAGATCCGAATTGACCTTGGGATTGTGAAGGTTCTAACTGATTGACTGGGGGTGAGACATGATAAATAGAAGGTTTTCTTGGAGATTCTGTCTTCGTCAACTCTTCTGGTTCATATGTTGTCTGTTCTAACTGAGAATATACTTCTAGATTTTTCCCTTTTTTGGCTTAACTGGTCTCTGGAAGTACCTGTGTGTGATCCTTGTTCTTGAGGAAGGTGCAGTATTGCCTCTGAACTCTCCTCTTCTGTGTTCTGGTTAGCTCCAAAGTTGGTATGCCGCTCTTTCCAACAGAGCACCAAACTTGTAGGATGTGTTTAGTAAACTTTGTTTAACATGTAGGAACTTTCAAATCGGAAATTAGAGGTCGTGGGCCTAGCGGGCACGGTTGACCAATTTCGGGAAGTTTGACCACTTGGTTGACCAAGAGTCCTCCGAGGTTATTCCACCTTTCAAAATGAATAGTTAGACCTAGAAAACTAGGAATTTGTTTTAAAGTTCTCATTAGAAGTGCTTTATTTTAATCTAGTCCTCGTGTTCTTTAATAGTTACTCAGGCTCAGCGTGCTCAACAAGTAGGACCCTCTCAAGATCACGCAGCTTCGGACTTTCTGTGAGTGGACTTTGTTTTAAATAATAATTATATTTTAAAGGTGGAAAACTGTGCATATACATATATATATATATATATTGGGATATTCTTGATTATTGAAACTTTAATATTGTTCTAAATATTGCTTTGTGGCATTTTATAGAATCATCAGTATGTTTTGGAATACTTGAGGGTTGTGAATATTTTGGGGTTGACTTATTGTTATCTTGAGAGCTATTATTCATATTTTGAATATGTATATTTTGGGATTTGTGTTTTGGATACAATTGATGTCCGGCTGTCTGGGGATATGTGTTGGGTACATGGGATTGAATACTTGAGGGTTGTGAATATTTTGGGGTTGACTTATTGTTATCTTGAGAGCTATTATTCATATTTTGAATATGTATATTTTGGGATTTGTGTTTTGGAAACAATTGATGTCCAGTTGTCTAGGGATATGTGTTGGGTACATGGGATTGTTGGAAAGAGGCTATGGAATGGGATTTGGGTTGTGGTTTATGTTAGTCCGGATTGATTTTAGCACTACCCTATGTACCTCCCCGGCACTTAGACACTTGGATTTGATACTTGGAAACATTGGGTACTTGGATATATCGGGACCCGGCCTCCCTTGACGGGGTGTTTCATAGACCCTTAGCGGGGTTGTCTGTACGCGTAGGACTTGCCATAGGCTCACGAGTATTGAGGATTCTGCTGTGCGTTTTGGTGAGCCAGTATCTCGGTTGGACAACTCGTCCCCTAGCCACATAATTAATTGAGGATTCTTCCATGTGGTCTAGTCAAACAATTCCTTGGTTGGATTGTTTTCTCGGTACAAGTTTGGTAGTGGTCATATAGATATATATATATATATATAATACGTATACCTTTACCCTTATTTATTGGTGAGGATCATTCCTCTCTCGCTGTGCCAACCGGCACACGTTCTGGGTGAGATGGTTTGGAAAAAAGGGAAAAGTTTTGAGTGGGTTTGGGTATTAGTGTACCATTACGGGATATTAGTTATACCTTGGTTTAATTTAACTATATTTATATATATCGGATTTGAATACATGTTTTAGAATCGTTCTCCAAACGGTGCGGTTAGTATGTTGTTAACTATGTGAAACTTTATTTTTGTCCACTCACAATTTTCTGTTTAGTACCCCCCGAGGCTGTAGCTTGATATGAGCTCAGCGGTTGAGCCGAGCAGCTGAGGCGGGACTTGAGTTTTCTAGCCCCGAACTTCTGTAGGGCAAAGTTTATTGTTTCTATTTCCGTTGAACTTTGTTCCATTCGTGAACTGAATTCCTTTATATTGCTCTGTTATCGCTCATGTTAGGATTGGATGTAAGGCCAGAGGTCTATTATGTAAACTGTGTGCTATTGTATTGTGCATGCTATTGGTTGGGTTTATAATTGTGTTTTGATAGGTAGAAATTTTTGGGAAAAGTCCGTTTTTCAGAAAAGGACCCTCTTCTCCTTTGTTTTTTGGAGAAGAGGATGATGTTTGTAAGTGGGCCTAGCATTGGGTGGATGTTGGAAAATCACAAGGTTCGTCACAGTTTCTAAGGAATTCGGGGTGGATCCTGTCACACTTCGAACTTCACACTTCTTGTGAATTCTTGAAACTAATGGCTTCCTTGTTTTCCTTCTTATAGCACCATGCCTCCTCGACGTGGTAGGCCGAGGACTCGTTTTCCTAAGGCTGGGGAGCCTATTCTACCTCTACTACCACCTCCACCTATCGGTGAGGAAGGGGTGAGAATGAGCTAGACCAACATCATGTGCTTTACCAATTCACTTGAACAATCACTGCAGCCCTGCAAGGGAGACGTAACACTAAAGCTTCAGATATTAAAAGAGTCCAAAAATTAGAGGCTCATGACTTCTTTGGCAGTGCAAACCCAGCAGAAGTTGAAAATTGGCTCACCGACCTGGAGAGAGTGTTTGAAGTTATGAGGTGCCCCAATGAAGATTGAGTTCAGTTGGCTGCCTTCTTCCTGAAAAGGAATGTCTACCATTGGTGGAAGACTATTTGTAGGGATTATGCTGATCCTACTGCCATCACTTGGGTGGAGTTTCAACTTATCTTCGATGAGCAATTCTACCCACGCTCATACCGATATGCGAAGAAAAACCGAGTTCTTGAATTTGAAACAGGGGTCAATGTCTGTATTGGAGTATGAGCACAAGTTTAATGACTTATCTAGGTTTGCTCCAAAGTTGATTCCAAATGAAGAGGGGTCAATGTCTGTAGATGATTTGAGGAAGGTCTGTGGCTTGACATTCAGGCAATAGTCACTGCAAACACTTATCCTTTTATGAGAATGCTGGCTTAAGCAGCGGACTGTGTATTGAAGGAGATCAGTGCTAGTTTAGCACGTTGGAGGGACATGTCTAGCTTTGGTGGACCGAGTCAAGGTCCATCAAAGAGATACGGATCCAGTTCCAATTCTACTGGTAGTGGTTGGTCCGGTGGACGTGGATCCAGTTCAGGAAGTGGAAGATCTGGGCCTATGCCAACTTGGAGTCAGAATTCCGATCAACAATCAGTGGTTATTACGTCAAGAGATTCTTCATGGCAGACTAGTTCAGCTTGTCACAACTGTGGACAAATTGGACGCTTTATGAGGGATTGTCCACATCTTATGCAAAGCAGTGGTCCAAGTCAAAGGGGTAGCACAAGCTGTTTCTACTGCGATTAGGTCAAAGTCAGAATGGTGCCTCTTCATCAGCTGTTTAAAAGTGAGTGTCCTCTTCTCTCTCAAGGTGGTACTGCAAGGCAGGGAAATGTGGCCCAATAGGGGCAAGGTAACCGTGGTCAGAGTCAAAGTCATAATGGTGCCTCTTCATCTGCTGTTGGTTCTTCATCTAGTATTAGGGTTCAATCTACATTCCGTGGGAGAGATGGTAGGCATTGGAGGGGTCAGTCGGGGCGTTCAATGACTTAGGTCCGTGTGTTATCTATGACCCAGCAGGAGGCACAGGCCACACCAAATGTCCTCACTAGTATGCTACCTGTTTTTGGTTTTCTTGCACATGTTTTAATAGATCCTGAGGCCACACACTCGTTTATTGCACATAGTTTTGTACCTTTTGCAAGTATTAGATCTACACCCATTGTCGGGAGTTTTGGTATTTCCTTACCAACGGGAGTTTTCCTTTATGCGAACATGGTAGTTAGAGATAGTTAAATTCAAGTGGGTAATGTGGTGTTGGAAGCCAATTTGATTCCCTTATATTTGGTTGACCTCGATGTTATCTTGGGAATGGATTGGTTGGAGAAGCATTATGCGTTCGTCAATTGTTTCCGAAAGGAAGTTGTGCTTCGAAGTCCGGGACAACCTGAAGTTACTTTTCGTCATGAGCATAAAGTCCTCCAATCTTGTCTAATATAGCTTTAACAGCTAGACGGTTACTCAAGAAGGGATGTGTGGGATACTTAGCCTATATCATCGATACTCGTGATGTCACCGTAAATAGTAAGTCATTCATATGATTTTGGATAGGTATGTACATTCAATTTTAACTCTAAAAGTAGAAAACTTTTCATCAAAGAAAAATCCTTCCTCCGAGGTTGGGGATAAAGATAAATCCTTTTTGGGAAAAATTGTGAAATAAGGATATATATCTATTCATGTTTGCGAAGATGGTGTTTCCGCCCTTTCTAATATTTATACCGGATTAAATCACTCAATTGAAATGAATCCAATCATCGATATTTTTTTTAAGATTGTGTTTAATGGATACCTTTAAACCATGATTCTATTTAATTTACACTATTATTCAATTTTCATAAAAATTATAAAAATCCTTTCCAGTTTTAAATTTTCCAACAACAACTCTTTACTCCAACTTCTTAACCCATAAATTTATTCCAAATTCATGAACCGCCCCGGGATTTTTTTCATCGATTCCAATAAAAAAGAAACAATTTGAGTAAAAGGTCTTCCTTTTTATTTTAATGAATCCGTTTTTTGTTATTTCGTACTGCACAATTCCTTTCTTTGTGGAATCATTTTCTCAAGAAAGGGAATTAAAATAAATTAGAGAATGGATACCACAGGTTACTTGAGTGAACTAGAAGGTTAATCGAGGCTTGTGTGGTTTCCATAAATTTCCATAGAACTTAATGGGTTTCTACTTCTTAGTTCTTCATCTAGGCATAGAGTGGGACGGTTGTAGGAATACTTTTGGTATAGATAGGCATGTCATATTGAATAATTAAGGGAAATTTACCATTAACATGGATAATAATTAGGATTAACTGGCTACAGGAATAGGGTAGAATTGGCTATGGTGAAATCGGAACCCTAGTGCTCATACCATCAGTGTTTGCCGAATTTTATTATTGTTTATGTTAGTTCATTCTTGTTAATCAAAGCCTCACCATTCGAACATCCAGATAAAGTTTAGGATTGATCATAATCAGTACTCAGTTAATTAGTCTTAGTCTCTGCGGAACGATACTCACTTACCACTACACACTATTTTGCTACGATTTTGTGCTCTACAATTTCGTTAACACTGCGTGCCCAGATTCTCGTCAGTCGACCACTGGATATGTGATTACTCTTGGAACTAACCTCATTTCCTGGTGTTCCAAGAAACAACCCACAATCTCACACTCTAGTACAGAATCAGAATATCCTGCCCTCTCTCATGCTTGTGCCGAAACCACTTGGCTCTGCTTCCTTCTTCATGAATTGGGTGTGCGTCTTCGGTTCCTGATCCAACTCTTTTATGACAATCTCAGCACCACGTACATGGCTACCAATCCAGTTTTCCATGCCCACACACGTCACTTTGAATTGGACAATCACTTTGTTCGTGAAAAGGTTGCTCTTGGAAGTCATCAAGTTTGCTTTGTTCCTTCTGTCGACCAACCTGCGGACTTGTTTACCAAAGCCCTTCACAAACCATTCCATCAGCATATGCCTTCCAAACTTGTGGATCCTATGACGTGCAATTTGCTAGGGGGGTGTTAATGCAGCTTTCCTTTCCTAGCACACATGAAAGTCAACTTCACAATCTCCTCCTAGCAATTAGCCTTTCCTGTTGTAAATCGGATTGTATTCATGTCTATATTATTTCCTACCTTAAGTAGATATCATGTATTAGTATAAATAAGGACTTTGTGTAATCTGTTTAATACAAGGAAATATATTTTCTACATTTTCTATTAAACACTTCTCTCACCTCATCCTGAGCCATTTTCATAATTTTTTGGAGTTTTTAATTATCATTTCTGACATTGCCCAATTTGCTAGGGGGGTGTTTAGGCCTCATCTCGCTTATAAGATGAAGCAAATGAGCAGAAGGAAACACATCAGCAAGATCAAAGCCTCCTGCCACATTCATAGCTTTCTTCACAACATATATGAATCCTTCATGATCTTTGGTTGTTTTACCAAAAGCTGCATGTGAAGCAATGCTATATGTCGATGAGTAAAGTTCCTCTGTAAGATTGATGGGTGATCTTGCTCTTAAAGAAACCCATTTAATGAGATTCACTACTTCGTCTTCACGAATTCGTCGGTAATACTGAACATGTTTTGTGTTTAAAAGCTCCAGTGTGCAAATTTTTCGTAGTTATCTCCAGTAATCACCATATGGTGCAAAAGCAATGCTTGTACATTGTACAGAAAGGATATGGGGTCTTCAAGCAAAGATAACATCATGGGTTTTCAGCACCTCTTTAGCAAACTCTGGTAATGAAACTACAACGGTGGAAACTTCTCCAAGCCGTAGGTGCATAAGAGGTCCACATCTCTTGGCCAAGTCTCTCAGTCCATGATGAGGTAGAGAGCCAATAAGCTGTTGTATGTTTCCTATGAATGGTAGCTTCCATGGCCTTGGGGGATAGATTTGAAGCAGAGTAATTGGTTTTGCATCTCTTCCTATTTTCAGCACCAAAATCAGAAAGAGCAAGAAGGTAAACAAGACCTGTAAGGAAGGGAGCCACTGAAGCCCCATGAGGAAAACAAAGTGAATTTTGATTGCAGTGGCTTATCGGTCAAGTAACCTGCAATTTTACATATAACACAGAGGATGTAGCAATGTCATTTTCGTAATGCGAAGATTGTCTTTATTTGATTGGCATCTCTTTCCTGTAATTAATTGGTAAGACCTGTTTGTATAAGAGTGGTTTGTAGCTGTTTTCCAAACTTTTTTTTTTTTAATTAAAAGATTTTGGTCAAGTTTTTGTTTACTATTTATTACTCAATATGTAATGGACATCTCACCTATATTTTTAACTTGTAATGTGCATCTCACTGTCCTTAGTACATCATCCAAATCCTCTGGCAAGTATTTGATTAATTCCAACAGAGAGAAAGTACAAAGCATGCCAGGGCATATTCTCCTTCCAGCACTAAATGAGATATACATTAATAAGTTAGTTCCTTTCTAGAAGAGCTCCTGTGTGGTTTTGTTAGGCTGTATGTGAACTCAATGTTTATTAGGTGCTCTTGTTGTTGTAGTCTATCATACTTTGGTTCTCTTCTCTACCAATTGCCCATGCATTGACTTTAGTACCTCCTCTATCTTTTTTGTTTTCTTTTCAAGGATTTGGAAAGCATCTCCAAGCAATAGGTTACTGCTTAATTTTACTTGTAACTTGCACCTCACTGTCCTTACAACAATTTGTATAATTTCCTATAATAGTTGTTGTATCATGATAATGTTTATTTAGCGGATGCTTAATGTTTTTTATTTTATGCTTTGAAGGTGGTTTCGAAGTGTAACATAAAATCATTAGGTCCTGTTTGGGGAGCTGGACTGGATGGGACTTTTTCAATTAAAATGAACACGAGTACATTCTGTGGTTTGGTGGACTTAACTCCACTGTTATTGATAGGATTTTTAGTACCTGTGCAAACAGGGTTAAAATCACTGAAAATACTTGCAAGAATACAAGGTAATTGTAGTATAAATGCTCATGCAAGGTCGTTGTCCCCAAAGATTGTTTGACTAATCTGTAATTAAACTAACTCTTAATTAATAACTAAAATAGATTTTATCAAAGATTTGAAGTTTATGAATTTGAAAAAATTAAACTAACAGTAAAAGAAATCTGAAAGTTGGGAAATAATAACAGCAAAGAAGAAAAACGATTTCTTTTTAAAGACTAACAATTTAGAGAAAACTAGGGTTTAGCCAACACCGTCGCAATCCTATGCAATTCTATCAATTACTTATGAATTTCCACATATATGCTTTGAAGGTTAGGTTTTCCTAATGCATATTTTCCTTGTGATGTTCAAGCGAAAACGTATATCTAACATGCAATCCGTCTGTGATGTTCAGATCAAATATAAACATGCAAGACTCATTAAGCTTTGTAAAAACCCTTTGAAAAACCATGCAACCCTTAAGAGCGTGATGTTCGCCTTAAGTGAACTTACAATTACTAATCACAAGAAGCCCTCCTCAATTTCAGGGTGATGTTCCAACAGAAATTGCATCAAATTACTTGTCTACATATCCTAATGGTGATCAGTCATTAAAATAGATAGATAGTTTTAAACACAGTGATTAATAATTCAAAGCAAACATGCATCCATTCATAAGCAAATTAATAAAACTACATATTCATGCTAGGCTTACGGCCTCACCCTAGCAAAAGGAATTAGTTACACATAATCATAATTGAAATCCAAGAAAATATCATTCGAATGAGTAAGAATGAAAACACTTGGAAGTAGCGAAAATCCAAAACCTTAGCAATTGCTCCCAAAGCCGAAAAGAAGTTCTAAAAGGAGACCCCTTAAATTCTGTGAAAAGGAGCTTAAATACCTCCTAAAACCTAGCTACCCAATCCCCACAAGGAAACTAAGTTAAAGTAAAATAAGACTAGGAAATAAAGTCCAAATTGGATTAGGAGAATCTGCCCATAATCTGCCCAGCCACGTTTTAGTCTCAAATCTCCCCCAAATCTGGCCCAAGATAGCTCGTTTTAAAGATAAAAATATTCCGAACACTTCTCCAGAAGGCCACGAACCCATCCGAGGTCATCTTGGGCTCCAAAACGCAATAAAAGCCCAAAACGTCACTATTCCAGCATAGCGCACTGCTCCTTCATTTATTCGCCAGGAAATCATCGCTTGGTGGAAAAGTCTGATATTTTGATACGATCAAGCTAAGTGACTCACGTACGTCCTCCAACTGGAATTACTCCAAAATTCGTCCATTTGATTATGTTTTGCTCCAGAGGAAGTTGAAAGTCCTATATTGGAAATATAATTCAAAGTATCAAAATTCTTCCAACATATTAACCAAAATATACTAAGAATGATATTAAATATATAATATAAAATCGACTCATCAGTTATTAAGTTATATTTTGGACTAATCAAACACTTGGCAGAGCTCTTTGAAAATAAAGATTTATATATCCTCAAGATCCAGGTTATCCTTTGAAAATAAAGAAAATAGAAAATGTGGAACGATCTCACCTTTGTTAATTGAGGTTGTTAATTATTAAGTACCGCTGGAAAAGGATTGTCAGAGGTTGCAATCTGACGCAAAGCATTGACATTTTGTTTTTTTATTTCAAGTAAACTGATTTCTCCAAAGCTACCTCTGATAAATATTTATTTGAAGCAATAATACAACTATCAAATCTCCATGTGATAAAATATTTAAAGATTATTAATTAAAAGAAAAAGATACTAATCAGTTGAGAGAATCTTTGCATCAGCAAAAATAATAATAATAACTTAGGAAGAAGGTTGCCCTTCCTTATACATAGATGTCAAATGTTTGAAGGTTCACCAAAAGCCACTATAATCCAAAGTAACCTTTGTTTTCCACATGGAGATTCAGTGCCCTTCCTTCCAAGTCCTGTTAGCCTTCTTGCTCTTTATGATCATGGCACTGAAAATAGGGAAGATCAGAGGCAAAACCAAGTGCTCAGCCTCAAATCTACCGCCAGGGCCATGGAAGCTACCCGTTATAGGAAACCTGCACCAGCTCGGTGGCTCTCTACCACATCAAAGACTAAGAGACTTGGCCAAGAAATACGGACCGCTTATGCACCTAAAGCTTGGAGAAGTTTCCACCGTAGTAGTTTCATCAGCAGAGTTTGCCAAAGAGGTGATGAAAACCCATGATCTTATCTTTGCATCCAGGCCCCAAGCCCTTGCCCCAAGGATCTTGTTTTACAATTTTACAGACATTGTCTTTGCACCGTATGGTGAATACTGGAGACAATTACGAAAAATTTGCACTCTAGAGCTTTTAAATGCAAAACGTGTTCGATCTTACCAACCTATTAGGGAAGAAGAGGTACGGAATCTCATTAAATCGATTGCCTCAAGAGCAGGATCACCTATCAATCTTACACAGGAAATTTACTCATCGACATATACCATCACTTCGAAAGCAGCCTTTGGTAAAAAGAACAGGGATCAAGAAAAATTCATATACATTGTGAAGGAAGTTACAAAGGCAGTATCTGGCTTCGCTCTTGCAGATGTTTTTCCTTCTGTCAGTTTGCTTCATCTCTTAAGTGGAATGAGGCCAAAACTTGAGAGGCTGCATAAAGAAGCTGACAGGATAATGGGAAACATCATCAAAGAACATCAAAGGGATATGGTCACTAAGGGTGAAGCAGAGGAAGACCTGGTAGATGTTCTCCTTAAATTTCATGATCACGGAAATGAGCTTGAGTTTTCCCTAACTAGTGAGAACATCAAAGCAGTTATCTTTGTAAGTACACACACTTTCCCTTGATATCAAGCTTTAATAAGTCAAATCACTTTTTCAAATTTCAATTTTTTTTACTCCAAAAACTATATCAATGTTTTTCTTAATCTATGACATCAATCAACTATTATCTGCTTTGGTATCGAACCCTTTGGAGCCACACACCTTGGGATGGTTTAGTCTCTGGTACAACATGTAATGATCTGCATCCACACATAGTCAAATATTGTCTGGTTTGGACTTAACCCTAAATTAGGCCTCAAACTTTTGGAAATATACATATGACAATTCACTTTTAACTTCACCAGGCATTGTGAGACTGAATAGTTGTGTCACCTCACCATATCTTCCAATCATGTCGACCGCGTCAAGTAACCTTGGCTACCATGGTGAAGGGATCTGGGGTCTCTGATGCAGTTCAACTAGAATTTGCAGAGAATTGGGATTGGAATAACAAGATACAAGCTAAAAGAGAAGCTTTGACAGCTAACTCAATGGTTTTTTTTATTCAAACTTGGAATACAAGAGTTGTCCATACTTATAGGAGATAATCTCAAACAGAAGATTAAAACCATTTTTAATGATTGACAGCAAGTCCTAGGTCCCAGCCCAACAAACGTAGAGTTCCCAAGTTATTGAATATACTCATCTTGATACCTGATAGGTTTCCTAGCATCTGTCTTGGGCCTATTCCTTGCTATGCTAGAATCATTAAGTGATTGGGTATCGGAAGTAGTTTCCCAAGCTGTCTCCACACATGGCCCTCCATCAGTCTCAGCATACTGGTAATATTTTCTGGTTCTTGATGACCACAAAAGTTATTTCCTTCAACATTCATCCTTAGAAGAGTAACCATAGCACAAACCGCATTGTAGACACACTACAAGTAGTGTAGTCACCAAAGATTCAAACAATGTTGGCAAGGACGAAAGAAAAAATGTGGCTGGTCTTTCTCATCGACTTACCTCTACAGACACCAAAAAATTGAGCTATAATCTAGTTAAGCAAATTCAGCCAATCCCTTACATCATTCCCCGCAGCCGTCCAAAGCTTCTACAACTAGTTCTTCAAATACAAGGGACAACATTGTGCTTTTTATTCGAAACCATATAACAACTTATCTACTTGGAAAAGCTGGTTAAGATTCTTCCTGCATTCTAATCATACATTATCTTAAACTGTTGATTGAAACTCCAATGTGCAGCATTTTCATGATGAGTGATTTACTGATGAGAGTGTTTCACATGTGTCTATTGTTCTCCATAATCATTACCTGATATTTAAGACACTCTTACGAGTCAACATTTATAACTTGTGAATGAGCTTACTTGGGTACATGAATAATGGTTTTTTCTTTTAAGATTATTTATAATATTTTTCTATTTACTTAGAATTGTTTGCAATTCATAGAGGAAACTAGTTTTTGATCATTTTATAAATTAATTACTTTCAGGATATTTTTGCTGCTGGGAGTGAGACATCATCTACAGCTGTAGATTGGGCAATAGCAGAAATGATAAAAAATCCAAGAGTAATGAACATGGCACAGAATGAGGTGAGGGAAGTGTTTAATAGAAAAGGACAGGTAGATGAAACATGCATTAGAGAGATGAAATATTTAAATTTAGTTATCAAGGAGACACTGAGGTTACACCCCCCGGGTCCCCTGTTACTTCCAAGAGAATGCGGAGAGAAATGTGAGATTGATGGATATGAAATACCTGTGAAATCCAAGGTAATTGTGAATGCATGGGCAATTGGTAGAGATCCCAATTACTGGAATAAGCCTGAGAGCTTTAATCCCAATAGGTTCCTCGATAGCTCGATTGACTACAAGGGAACAAACTTTGAATATATCCCATTTGGTGCTGGAAGGAGAATGTGCCCTGGCATGTCATTTGGTCTGGCCAACGTTGAGCTCCCACTTGCATTGTTGTTATACCATTTTGATTGGAAACTCCCCAATGGGATGAAGAATGAGGACCTGGACATGACTGAGGCCTTTGGCGCTTCAGTCAAAAGAAAAGACGATCTGCACTTGATTCCCATTCCTTATCATCCTCCGCCTACCGAAAATTCCCAAGTATAAGATGCTTAACTGTTTTTATTTATCTGAGATAATCGTCGTTGTTTGTTAATGTTATCCCATGTTGTAAGAACTACAAGGCCTTGTGTCAGTATTTAATTAAGAACCATGCATATTAATGCATTTTCTATCATCATGAGCAAATTAGCAGAAACACAAACACCATTTCGTATTGAGATGAGAGTTTCCCAAAACTACATTTCGTAAAATTGCATGCCTAATCAGTGCTAGGTTCGGATAATTTAGGGTTCGTTTTGTTCTACTTTTCTGCTATTTTTCGTATATTAGGACTTCTCTTTTTGTTTTTTTTTTGTTGATATCCTTATCTTAACCACAAAAAAAAAAACACAGAACAATTTTATAGTCAATTACCAGAACAGAGGGCACACGGTATAGGATTTCTGAACCACAAAAATCACTCTGCAGCTTCGCTTACCACATGGGGATCCTGGAGGACAGTGGTACCAAACACCCCTCAATTTAGTCAAATGCCGGTGAGCTCTGCATATATGCCGGTTTAGATTGTGCCATTTTGTGGCAAATTCTAAGCCAAAAGGCATCAAAACTTGTTTGAGCAAGCGGGGCCCCAAAAATGACTTTCTCCCTTATGTCAATGGAGGCTACATATTTGCAACAAGGTCAAGGATATTGTATGGTACTGGAAAAGGTTTAGATTTTTAAAATTTTGTCATTAAGATGATTAAGGATAATAGTTAAGATAACACGAAGTTGGTTCACCTCTCTAAGGTTTATTTGTCAATACTATCAATTACTGTTTAAACTTTGATGCTACTATTTATTTTGAATTATTTTTCATCTCATTTTATTGTTCAAATTCAGAGGCTGCCACCTCTTAAGCAAAACCCATCGAAGAAGACATCCGAACAATATTGTGCCTTCCATGGGACAAGACCACCACTTCTCCTAGGAATTGGTCAAGCAAGGTTATTGTTGTGTGAAAACACTCCAAGACCTTGTTGTTGATGGACTATATGACGGCACATACACAAACCCCAAAGAGAATAGACACACGCACCGCATAGAGTAAACAAACACACAAGAACACATATTTATAGAGGTTCGGCCTCATGCCTACATCCTCTTGGTGATTCACCCAAAAAATTCACTAGTATGTAAGAACAACTTTCATTACAACTTAAACCCCCTTAGCTCTCTCAAGAACCATAGCCATCTTTTTTCTCACCCTTGCTCAAACCTTTTGATACTCTTATAAAGACTCAAGAATTCACCCTTGAATTCTGTCTTGTGTTTCTCCCTTGAAAATTCACTTTTGAATTCTTTTTTCTTCTCAATTAACCTAGCCCTAAAAGTCCTATTTATAAGGCATAGAACTTTTGCTATAAGTTAATTAGGAATAGGAAACTAAAACCCTATTAAAATAGGCTAGAAAACCCCAAAAGAATAGGAAAACCAAGTCAAACATGCCAAAACGCCGAAACAACGCGCGGACTAATTGACACAACGACCGGTCGTTTTGCCAAGCGACCTGTCGCCTAAAGAAGTCGTGACTTCACTGCTTTCGGCAAAAAACAACCAATCGCCTGGCCAACGGTGAATATCAAGAACATTAATCAAATTAAGCATAATATAATGCTCACGAAATTTAATTAAATTAATCTCCATATATAGGTTCCCCAAGAACAAGCACATACCTACTAAGATGCTAACCTGGGCTAAAGCCCAGGCAGTTTGTTTTTTTATAGACTAAATTAATATTCTAGCCTACGTCACCTAAATAAAATATTATTAATTAATCCCATTAGGATTAGGCTAACCACCTAAATAAAATATTATTAACTAATCCTATTAGGACTAGGCTGACCAACAAATAAATAAAAAGAACAAAATTAGCATAAACATACTACTTGATTGATAAATTGATTTGTTTGGTGCTAACTCTTCATGTGTCTACAACAACAGAATGAGCATTTTTATGTATGAGACTTATTAAAAATCGACTTTGGAATAAGATAGGTGATGAGTTTCTTGTTAATTCTATGCTACTTCATATTGAAAGAGAATTTGCTGATAATATAAATAATGAATCAATAATTAGTGATTTTAATGCTGTGAAGACTTGAATGGCACAACTTATATAAGTGTTATTTGAGGGGTAAGATTCATTATGTCTCCCGTGTATTTTTTTGTTATCAATGAAATTTACTCATACCGTTGAGTTTTTACTAGGTTTGTATGTAAGGTAAATTTAGCCCACGTCATTTTGAAATCCTGGGTCCGTCCCTACCCAAGAACCTTCTACCTTGATTCCAAAGCTAACTCTAATTTAAGAAAACACGCAAACTACGCCCTTTATCTCCTCCAAGAATTTCATCACCACTCTCTCTCCAAGAAGTGTCGCTTTGCATGCGCTGCATGCAATCTTTAGTATTACACAAGACTCTTCTAATATTTGTGTTTCAAAAGAAACGATAGAAAGGGACCTATTTATACTAAGGTAAGTCGGCAACAAGCAAAGCTCCCATTGGAGAATATTGTTTGGTGGTGTTGTCAATTTGGCATGTCATTAACAAGGTAACGCTGCCAGCAATTAAATTAGAGCATGAGGTGTCTCATGCTAGGCAAATGCATGATAAATACATTACAACTCAAGGTGATAAATCATACAATGAATGGAGGGCGGCCAGGTAGAAAATCTAATAGCCGCAGGTATTGCAAATGCAATAGGATGAGACACCTTACGTCACTTTTGAACTTAGTGATTTAACATGCATGAAGTGGGGCCCTATCCGACAAAATCAAAGGGGTGGACTTTAGATTTTAGGGGCCCTGTGCGAAACTTAAATCGAGATTCTCACATAATCTAACACAAACTTATATCGTGGCATACAACAATTTTATTTTTTTTAAGTAAAAAATCATCATCAATTAGAATGCAAGTCACAAATCAAATTTATAAAAATTTTGACATTTTAATTTGAGAAACTTAAATACCAGTATGTTCAGTATAAAGACTAGATTTTCCTTTTAGTGCTCGTTAACTATATAAAGACTTGTATATAATATAATTTAGATATATAAAGACTTGTAAACAATCAGCATGATGAGACAAGTCATGTAGATTGAAATTTAGATATATACCTGAATTTAAATTGAGATTTCAATTTGACTATTTAATTTTATTGAGTGCCCTTTATGATTTTTTTTTCTTTTTTCCTTTAGCCCTTTATGAATTTAAGAATTAGTGTTTTTGATTTTTGATATTGAAATCGTTGATATTAGAAAAAATAAAATTAAAGGATTGAAAAAAAAAGAGCCAAAAGATAGATCGATAATGATTATTGCTTAGTAGAAAATAAGAGTGTAAGGAGGAGGAGCCATAAGTAGAAGTTATAGTGCTGCAAAACAAGGCTGCCAAAAACCCGTCCCTGTGTAAATGTCCTATGCGGGTTTTATATATACAATATTTGACATATTAATAACCCTAACATATACGTTAAAAAAAATTGGGGCCTTCAAAAATTGGAGGTCCTGTCAGGTGGCACCACTCGTACACCCTCAATGCCGCCCCTTTCAGATAAGCTCTTAAACATTCTTAATTACAGGAAAGAGACATCAACCAGTTGGAAAAATCTTTGCATCAGAGAAAGTAAAAGAACGAAGATTGCCACATCATTTCTTATACATAGATGTAAAACGCATGCAGTTTCACCACCAAAAGCCAATATAATCCAAAGTAACCTTCCAATTTGCTCATGGAGATTCAATGCCCTTCCTTCCAAGCCCTGTTTCCCTTCGCTTTCTTTGTGATCATGGTACTGAAAATAGGGAACATCAGAGGCAAAACCAATTAGTCTGCTTCAAATCTACCCCCAGGGCCATGGAAGCTACCCTTTATCGGAAACTTACACCAGCTCATCGGCTCTCTACACATCATGGACTAAGAGACTTGGCCAAGAAATATGGACCCCTCATGCACCTCAAGCTCGGAGAAGTTTCCACTGTAGTAGTTTCATCAGCAGAGTTTGCCGAAGAGGTGATGAAAACCCATGATCTTATCTTTGCATCAAGGCCCCCTATTCTTGCTGAAAAGATCTTGTCATACGGCTCTACAAACATTGGCTTTGCACCATATGGTGAATACTGGAGATAACTATGAAAAATTTGCACGCTAGAGCTTTTAAGCACAAAACGTGTTCAATCTTTCCGACCTATTAGAGAAGAAGAGGTAGTGAATCTCATTCAATGGATTGCCTCAAGAGCAGGATCACCTATCAATATTACTCAGGAAATTTACTCATCGACATATAGCGTCACTTCGCGAGTAGCCTTTGGAAAAAAAAACCAGGGATCAAGAAAAGTTCATATACGTTGTGAAGGAAGCTGTAAAGACATCGTCTGGCTTCGCTCTTGCAGATGTTTTTCCTTCTGTCAGTTTGCTTCAGCTCTTAAGTGGAATGAGGCCTAAACTTGAAAGGCTGCATAAAGAAGCTGACAGGATAATGGAAAACATCATCAAAGAACATCAAAGAGATATGGTAACTTCAAAAAGTGTCGATGGTGAAGCAGAGGAAGACCTGGTAGATGATGCTCTCCTTAAATTTCACGAGCATGGCAGTGGGCTTGAGTTTTCCCTAACTACTGACAACATCAAAGCTGTTATCTTCGTAAGTACACACACTTTCTCTTGATATCATGTTTTAATAACACTTGGTAAACCTGCATTTAACCTCACAATCTGGAACCTGGCCCTTTCGAACAAGGCTGTACTCATTTTCTATCATCTGATTTTCTAGCTTAGCTTTACACACATGCACCACTATTTATAATTTGTAAAATAAACTTATATATAATCATCAACAAGAGAGACGGCTAGAGGAGGACTTTCCTGCGATGAGATTCCGTTAGCACGTTTTATATACATAATATTTGTGGCAGTCTAACTTGAAATATTTAAGTCCCTGTAACAAATTCTCTTGTCCAACTCCATGAAACAATACTCACTTTGATCACCCAAAACTTATATGCTAGAATGCTGCGCACCGTGCATCCACAATCTACAATCAGATGTTTTCTGCTGTTGACTTAACCCAGCCCTTAATTGTTTAAAATAGTTCTAACTACTAAAGATCCACATGTATTCCACCAAGCAACGTGGGCGTACTCAACACATAGATGTTTGTGCTCACCTCACCCTATCTAACAATCATCTCAACCATGTTGGCTATACATCTTCGAAGGATCTTGTGTCTCATTATCCACTCCCTTTAGAGCCACATACCTTCGGCTGGTTTAGACTCTGGTACAACCTGTAATGTCCCCACATAGTTGAGTATCGTTTGGTTTGGACTTAACTGAACCTCAGAAACTTAAAAGGCCTCAGACTATGGAAATACATAAACCTCACCATGACACCATATCTTTGAATCACCTCGACCACCTCAAGTAATCTTGGCTACCATGGTGAATGGATCTTGGGTCTCAGCATATTGGTAATTATGCCCCCAATCAATTTATGCATTTTCTCAATAAGCACCTTTTATTTCCTTCAACTGGTGTAGACACACCAATGTTTTCAAAGGCGAGGCGTTTTTAGTAGCGCTATACGAGGCGTAAGCCTTGAAGCGTTGAGGCGTAAGCCTTTTGAACATTAATTTATTTTAATAAGAAAAATTTATGAATAATACAATACGATTAAATTGTACAACTAATTATTATTCAACCATAACAATCTTCTAAATATAATCAAATATAAGTACTAATTGTCATTCAAAGCATAATAATCAATCCCAAAATATAAAATATTTATTCAACATCAAAACATAAAATTATACGGAACTTCAAATTACAGTTTATTACCGTCAAATTATACAAGTATGATGTATGTACGTAAAAAATAAATTTAAAAAAAAACTTACTTGCAATCAAAAGATGAAGAGAATTCTTGAAATTAATGGAGTTATCTGGTAAGGGTAGAAATTAGAGTTGTACACGTACTACACAATATATATATATATATATATATATATATAGTTCATGTGTTAATATATTAATTTAAAGAAAGAAAGAAAAAAAAAAAAAAAAAAAAAAAGAAAACAACAACAACCGGTTGGAGAGAGAAATGGATGGATGGATGGAGAAGAAAAAAAAAAATATATTATTGTTTTAAGTTTATTACAATAAAGGTAAGGAAAAAAACTGAAACTTGCGTGTGTTTTTAAAAAAAAAAACAGATTCCAGGTGAAACGACGTCGTTTCACTTTAACATTGTTGTTAAAACACTGCAATCAAAACGACGTCGTTTCATTACAATAAACCTAAAATAAAAAAGAGGCAAGTCGTCTTCTTCGCGAAGTCATCTTCAACGCAGAAAATTTGCAGAGTCGCAAATTTCTTCCGGTTCAAAAGTTTCCAAATCTGATACGCCTTGCTCCGCCTGGCCACGCCTTGCAACGCCTTCTCACGCCTTCCTAGCGCTAAACGTGCAACTCGCGAAACAGCCGATCGCCTCCGGCGTTTTCCTCCCGCCTCGCGCCGACGCGCGCTCCGACACGCGCGAAGGCATGCCTTTGAAAACACTGAGACACACCACAACTGGTGTAGTCTTTAATAATTCAAACAATGTTGGCAAGGACACCATCAAAATTATGGCTGGTCTTTTTCATCGATTTACCTCTACAAACACCGAAAAATTGGGTTATGACCTAGTTAAGCAAGTTCAGCTAATCCCTTACATAAGTCCCTTCAGCCATTCAACACTTTTTCAACTAGTTCTTTTAGTCGAAACCATATGACACACTATAGAGTTGAAAAAGCTGGTTAAAAGTATTCCTGCATGCTAATTGTTTACACCATAATTAACCAAGCGTGCCTAGCACCAAAGTGACTAACACCAAGGCAGACATGCCTTCTTCCCTGCCAAAGGGAGATGCTCTTCCTAAGGGACAACCACTTGCCGAAGCTCTGAACTGCCAAACCTAAACACAGGAGACACGTGTCATCATCACAGCAACTTGCACAAAGTCCCACATCGGAACTTTGTGCAAACCTCCTACTTTTACTTCCCTATAAATAGGGAACAGTAACCAAGAAAAGGGGTAACTTCTCTCTCACTATTACTGTTACCTTGCAATAGTCACTACCCCTAGCTGACTCAAGCATCGGAGAGCCTTCGGCTGGCACCACACCGGTGTCCGAAGCTTAACGACTGCTTCTCCTGTTTTGTCTTATGCAGGCTAGCCCTTTACTGAAGGCCCAGGCCCTTCTCTTGCTAAAGACAAACCCCTATCTCTAAGTTGACCCTCTCCGAAAAAGAGCATCAACACTAATTGTACATTAAAACTCCAATGTACAGCATTTGCATGATGTGTGATTTACTGATGAGAGTATTTCACGTGTTTGTTATTCTCCATAATCTGTCCCTGATATTTAAGGTACTCTTAACGGTCAACATTTATAACTGGTTTTTTGTCATTTAAGATTATTTATGTTGGGTTTAGGAATGGTTCTTTTTCTCTTTACTTAGAATTCTTTGACAATTCATAGAGAAAAACTAGTTTTTGATCATTTAATAAATTAATCACTTTCAGGATATGTTTTCTGCTGGGAGTGAGACATCAGCTACCGCTGTAGATTGGGCAATAACAGAAATGTTAAAAACTCCAAGAGTAATGAAAACGGCACAGAATGAAGTGAGAGAAGTGTTTAATAGAAAAGGACAGATAGATGAAACATCCATTGGAGAGATGAAATATTTGAACTTGGTTATCAAGGAGGAGACACGGAGGTTACAGCCCCCGGCTCCCCTGTTACTTCTAAGAGAATGCGGAGAGAAATGCGAGATTGATGGATACGAAATACCTGTGAAATCCAATGTAATCGTGAATGCATGGGCAATTGGTAGAGATCCCAATTACTGGAATGAGCCTGAGAGCTTTAATCCCAATAGGTTCCTCGATAGCTCGATTAACTACAAGTGAACAAACTTTGAATATATCCCATTTGGTGCTGGAAGGAGAATGTGAACGGGCGTGTCATTTGGTCTGGCCAACGTTGAGCTCCCACTTGCATTGTTGTTATACCATATTGATTGGAAACTCCCCAGTGGGATGAAGCATGAGGACCTGGACATGACTGAGGCCTTTGGCGCTGCAGTCAAAAGAAAAGACGATCTGCATTTGATTCCCATTCCTTATCATCCTCCGCCTATTGAAAAATCCCTATAAGATGCTGAACTGTTTGTATTTATCTGAGGGTAATCGTCGTTGTTTGTTTATGTTATCCCATGTTGTAAGAACTACAAGGCCTAGTGTCTGTATTTAATTAAGAACCGTGCATATTAACGCATTTTCTATCATCATGAGCAAATTAGCAGAAACACAAATATCAAAACTGCATAATGAGATGAGAGGTTCCCCAAATCTCCATTTCGTAAATTTGCATGCCTAATCAGTGCTGGGTTTGGATAATTTAGGGTTCGTCTTGTTCTACTTTTCTGCTATTTTTGGTATATTAGGACTTCTCTCTTTTTCTTCTTTTTTTTGGTCTGGTTGATATCCCGATCTTAACCAAAAAATAAAAACACAAAGAACAATATTATAGTCAATTACCAGAACAGAGGGCAAGCGGTATAGGACTTCTGAACCAGAATAATCACTCTGCAGCGTCACTCTAACCAAGGTCTAAAATATTGATGGTTTCGGAAATATTAGTAGTCAAAAAACATGGAAATTTCTATGGAAATATCGGGTTATTATCTATATCAAGTTGTTCAAGTTGGCAATGAATCCTAAGTTTAAAATTTCCCATAAAAACTACTTCAGACACTAACAACTCAAAATTCAAATTTACAAGTTTACACTGAAATACAAAACTACTTCAGCATCATCAATGACCAAAACTTATCAATATATATAATAATCGTTAAAGATACTTAAAGATAATCAAAACCTTGCATGCATTTGAGGAAACAAAAATTTTCAGACAGGTAGGGAAAAAAACCAGAAGAGGAAAACGCAAAACAGGTAAGATTGTTGAGGTGGGAGAAAGACATGGTTGTGTGATCAGAAGAATGCACAATGTACTTGACAGCTTTGCAACTCCAGAAAGACGAGAGAGAGAGAGAGAGAGAGAGAGAATGGGATAAATTAATTAATCAATACATGTACAACTGGCGAATTGGAGCCATGGGGATAAATTAAGTTGACACAACAGACCCTACGGGTAGGGCCAAAAGAGGAAGCATCAACGACTACAGAAAACATACAACAGAAAAGATGCTAATAATATGAGCCGGCTCTATTCAAACCATTATTAAATATGAGTTTATACATTTGATGAATTATAATGTTTAGAATGTTTAATTACATGTAAGTATATGGATCCCTTATAACCCCTTGCAAGGTTTTCTAACTTTCCAATGTGGAATATTTTTCACTTCACATTCTCACATGCTCCTGCACGTGTGATGAATTTCAAGCCTAACACGTGAACAACAAATTTTGAGTGACGTGGAGCATGACACGCTTTGATACCATGAACAAAGTTGAGGTTTCATCCCAAAACCAATTGGCAATGGGGGAGTAGCGCCCCATACCTTATAAGCCCTTGCAAGTTTTTCTAACTTTTCAATGTGGGACATTTTTCACTTCACATTCTCACAATTATCTGCTAGGATCTGCTTGGATTTGAAAGGAAGTCTTTGCTTTTGCCTCTGTTCCCTATTTTCAGTACCAAAAAGATAAAGAGTATTTACATCTATGCATATATAACATAGGATGTAGCTATATATGTCTTTTTCTGATGCAAAGATTCTGCAAACTTGGTTGGTATCTATTTCCTTTTATAATAATTACTATTGTTATTCTTCACGTGCATCGTTTCAGTTCTGTTTTTTACTAATAAGTCCAAGCCCACTAGAAATGAAGGGCTCTGGCAAGTGTGTTATTAGTCCAACAGATAGTACACAGAGAAAGAAAATAGAATTCAACAATTGGCCAATCCGATGTATTATTTAATCGAGGATGTGTTGCCATGTGTTTTTCCTGGTGCTAAGATTCTCTCAACTCTCTATATACAACAAATCTAGGAAATAAATACAAATAAACAGGAAAATAAATGTTTAAGGATTACATCTCATTACACCCCCGTAAGTTGACGGGGCGGGGGAGCACAGGCAGCTTGGACTGAAGTAAAGAAAACGGAGTAGGAGATAGACCCTTAGTGAAGATATCAGCAATCTGATCTGCGGTAAAACAATAAGCAACACGCAACTCATTGTCCCCCCACCTTTCCACAAACAAAATGATAATCAACCTCGACATGGAAAGTGCAAGTGTGAAAAACAGAATTAGATTCAAGATAGAGAGAGAGAGAGAGAGAGAGAGAGAGAGAGAGAGAGAGAGAGAGAGATATAACACCAAAGCTTAGGACAAGGAACTGGAAGATCAAGATCAAGAAAGAAGGAGATAGTGTGGCGGCAGTGTAGGCAAGTTGGCAGTACTCGGACTCAGTACAATAGCGGGAGACACCGTGTTGCTTCTTTGAGCTCTAAGAAATTAAGTTAGTACCGAAATAAAAGCAATAGCCACTAGTGGAGCGACGATCATCGAGATCCCCCACATAATCGACATCAGAATCAGCATTGAGATAAAGAGTGCTTGGCGAATAGAGTAACCCATGAGTAAGTGTGCCATTGAGATAACGGAGAATACGCATAATAGCGAGACAATGAACAGTAATGGGTTGATGCATAAACTTACAAACTCGATTAACAGCAAAGGCAATGTCTAGGCGAGTAAGAGTTAAGTACTGAAGAGCACCAACAATACTACGGTACTCAGTGGGATCAGACAGAAGAACACCATCAGAGATGCTAAGACAACAACAACTGACAACCGGTGTAGGCATGGGTTTGGCTTCGTGCATGTTAGCACGCTTGAGGAGATCCACAACATATTTGGTCTGAGTAAGAGATAGAATGGACGAAGTACAAATAAGCTCCATGCCCAAGATATAATGAGCGGGCCCAAGATCCTTCATAGAAAATTGGCAACACAAATTAGAAATAAGTGTGGTGATGTGAAAGGGATTGGAGCTAGTGAGAAGGATATCATCGACATAAATCAACAGATAAATGCGAACAGAACCATGAATGGAGATGAAGAGAGAAGAATTAGACTTAGATGCAGTGAATCCCAACTAAAGAAGATGAGAAGAGAAACACTGAAACCAAGCGCAAGGAGCCTGCTTGAAACCATAAAGAGATCAACGTAAATAACATACATGATCAGGATAGACGGGATGCACAAAGCCAACAGGCTGGCACATATAAACATCTTCATTTAGGTAACCATGCAAGAAGGCATTCTAACATCCAATTAACCAACGATCCAACCAAACTGCACGGAGAGAGCCAAGATAAGATGAATAGTAGAATGATCGGCACTAACGGTTTCACCATATTCGAGGCCCAGTTGTTGATGAAAACCATTAGCCACTAAGCGAGAGTTGGAATGATGAATAAAGCCAACCGAATTTCGCTTAACATGAAAAACCCACTTATTCGGCAACACATTCATAGTGGAGTACAAGGGACTAAATTCCAAGTCCCAGCACGAAGAAGAGCATTAAACTCATCAGTCATAGCAAGACACCATTCCTTATGCTTATTAACCTATGAAAAAAATGTAAGTTCAACAGTACCATCAGTAGAAGATAAAACCAACGCATGATAAGCATATTTAGGATTGGGTTTACAGATACCGATTTTAGCAAGAGTAACCATCGAATGAGTAAGGGAGGCACTTACTAGAGAAGTATCAGAAATATGAGGAGAAGATTTACCAAATGAAACAAGGGCTGCGGTTTGGGTTCCCAGTGTAGGTATGAGAGAATCGAGAAGCTGAAGTTGCAGCGGGACTAATCAACGGGTGAGAAGGGCATGAGGAATCAGTTGGAGGCATGATTGGGGAGTTAAGCAAATGCAGCATGGATGATGGCAGATATGGATGGGGCAGGGCTAGAAGCACGGGTTACTGTGGATGCGGGAAGGTCAGGAGCTAGAGAAGGGTGACTGGGCTAAGGTTGTGATGCTAGAAGGTGTGGGGTGCAGGAAGAGAAACGCAGGGCCAGAGAGGATGAGAGGTGGGTCTGACGACGAAGAATGGTTTGGAGCAGGAGTAGCCTGAGCCTTATTAAACGAAAAAGAAAATTCATCAAATAACAAATGACGCGATAAAAAAACACGATTGGAAACTAGATCGAAGCACCGATAACACTTATGGTTTAAAGAAAAACTAAGAAACACACATTTGAAGGACCGAAATTGGAATTTATTACCATTAATGGCCGTAAATAAGGAACACATGCGCACCCAAAAGTTTTTAAAAACGAATAATTAGGTTCTTTTTGAAACAAAATTTCATAAGGTGATTTGTGCTGAAGCAACTTAGAAGGAAGACAATTAATGAAATAAAAAGCGGTGTGCATTGCCTTGGCCCCATATGGAGGAGGCATAGAGGCATGGGCTAAAAGAGTGAGCCCGACGTCAACAATGTGACAATGCTTATGTTCGGCTAAGCCATGTTGCTAAGGATGATGTGGACAAGAAAGATGATGATGAATGCCATGATGAAATTGAAAAATATCCTGAAATTGATGACTAGCGTATTCCCCACCCCCATCGGATTGAAAGGCCTTAATCATAGTAGAAAACATATTTTCAACTAAAGTTTTAAATTTGACAAAGTGAAAGAAAACCTTTGATTCAATGTCATCAAAAAAATCAAAGAACAACAAGAAAAATCATCAAAAAAATAAAACATAATAATTAAAACCAGCAATAGATTCAACTCCACACATCAGAGTGAATAAGTTTCATTGGAGAATAAGAGATAGAAAAAGATGGACTAAAGGGTAGTTTAACACTTTTACCCAACGAACATGATTGATAAATAGAACTAAACCTATAGCCCGAAGATGGCAGTTTATTATGTGATAACAAAAATTGCAAAGTAGATGAAGCAGGATGACCAAGGCAAGAGTACCACATGGAGCAGTCAACGCGGACACCTAGCAAAGCAACACGATCAAGCAAAACTTGAAAAGACTCATTTGCTATAAAAGAAAATGGATATAGGCCATTGCTACTCTAGCCCCAGAAAGGCATCTTCCTCGTCGCCAAATCCTCAATAAAATAACAATCAATAAAAAAAAGTGAAGAAACAATGGTTGTCAGTATAATATTTATGAACAAATAAAAGAGAAGAAAAAGGACAGTGAAGAACATCATTAAGGTTGAAAGAATAATTGAGGTGAGAGAAACAAGAGTGACCAATATTTTCAATAGGCAAACCTGTTCCACCAAGCACACCGCCAACATTGTCGGAACCATGATACTCTCTAGCAAGGGATAAATATCTCAATTCATTGGTAATATGAGTGTTAGCACCAGTATCAGCAACCCATTGTTGATGGCCATTGTGCGAAGGATGTTGAGCAGTCATGCCTTGAAGACGAGATGGAGGTGAAGGCACAGAAGAAGCCTTGGAGGGACAGACAGCAACGATGTGGCCAAAACCATGACAATTGAAACATTAAATAGGCCCACGAGTTGAAGGAGGCCCAAAAGAGGAACGAGTAAAGCCAGAAGGCGGGGACCCAATAACACCAAGCCCAAAAGCACTGTCGAGGCGCTGCTGATGTGGACCCGAGCAAGGAGCGTTGTTAGGTGCGCCAGAAAAACTACAACCTAAGTAAAAGCCAGAGCGCGATGGGCAAGAAAGAACCACGATTGCTAAAACTGCGACCACCAGGACTAGCAAATCCGCCGTGATCTCCATAACCAAGACCACCACGGGAAGCCACAATGGCTGTCGCACCAGAAGAAATAGCAGCAGAAGAAGAAGCCTGAAGTCGACATTCTACAAAGAGAAGGAAAGCTTCAAAAGACGACATACTAATGGGTGTCTCACAAGCTTGAGCAGTGGCAACAATGTTTTCATGAAGGGGACCAACGTTGTTCATAACCACAGCAAGGAGATCAGAATCAGAAATGGGAGCACCGGCAAAAGCCAAGTTATCGACAATAAAGTTAATGTGATCAAGAAAACCGATGATGAAAGAATCACCACAGGTCGTGCAAAGCAAATCACTACGTAGTTGAATAAGACTATTTTGATTCGGAGAAGCGAAACGAGTCTTAAGTGCGTGGTTTTGGTTGCAATGGTGGTGAGGACCTTATGGTGAAGAGGACCATTGATGAGAGTTAGAAAAGCTGATCTCTCTGGACCCAGTCATCATATTCGGGTTTGGGATGATAGACAGAGGAGAAGAATCATCATTCTTAGCCTTGGGATCGAGAATGGTCAGAGGAGGAGACATCCCTAAACCATCAACAAAGTAGAGCAAGCGATGGTTGCGAAGAACAAGAACAATCTACACTAGCCATGTTGGATGGTTATCATGCTCGAGACGAACAGAGATAACGTGATTGATACTAGTGAGGTCAAGAACCAGAGAAGAAGAAGCCATGGGCTTCCGGATTAAAAAAAAAGGAAGGAACAAGAAAAAAATGAAGGATCTCAAGCTCTAATACCATGAAAGGTTTTGAATATTCTCAATGCTTTTGATTGAACAATCGTATGATAATTATATATAGAGCTTTACTTGGGATCTACACAAAGGATTTCAATTCAAATTCTTAACTCCACTGTTATTAAGTTATAATATTGGCAATGTACTATATTTTGGACTAATCAAACACTTGGCAGAGCCCTTTGAAAATAGAGATTTATATATCCTCGAGATTCCAGGTTATCCTTTGAAAATAAAGAAAATAGAAAATGTGGAACGATCTCACCTTTGTTAATTGAGTTGTTAATTATTAAGTACCGGTGGGAAAGGATACCAATCAGATTTTTTTTGTTTTTTTGGTTTTTGGTTTTGTTTTTTGTCAAAACAAATAGATTTAGAATGCGTGCAATCTGACCAAAGCATTGACATTTTGTTTTGTATACTATTTATTTCAAGTAAATTGATTGCTCCAAAGCTACCTCTAATAAAATATTTATTTCAAGCAATAATACTAGACCTTAAGACAACTATCAAAGAACAACCATCCTCAGACAAATAGCTCTTAATATTATTAATTAAAAGAAAAAGATACTAATCAGTTGAAAGAATCTTTGCATCAGAAAATAATAATAATAATAATTTAGGAAGAAGGTTGCTACATCATTTCTTATACACAGATGTCAAATGCATGAAGGATCACCAAAAGCCACTATAATCCAAAGTAACCTTTGTTTTCCCCATGGAGATTCAGTGCCCTTCCTTCCAAGTCCTGTTAGCCTTCTTGCTCTTTATGATCATGGTACTGAAAATAGGGAAGATCAGAGGCAAAACCAAGTACTCAGCCTCAAATCTACCGCCAGGGACATGGAAGCTACCCGTTATAGGAAACCTGCACCAGCTCGCCGGCTCTCTACCACATCAAAGACTAAGAGACTTGGCCAAGAAATACGGACCGCTTATGCACCTAAAGCTTGGAGAAGTTTCCACCGTAGTAGTTTCTTCAGCAGAGCTTGCCAAAAAGGTGATGAAAACCCATGATGTTATCTTTGCATCCAGGCCCAATGTCCTTGCCCCAAGGATCTTGTCTTACGATTTTACAAGCATTGTCTTTCCACCATATGGTGAATACTGGAGACAATTACGAAAAATTTGCACTCTAGAGCTTTTAAGTGCAAAACGTGTTCGATCTTACCGACCTATTAGGGAAGAAGAGGTACGGTATCTCATTAAATTGATTGCCTCAAGAGCAGGATCACCTATCAATCTTACACAGGAAATTTACTCATCGACATTTACCATCACTTCGCGAGCAGCCTTTGGTAAAAAGAACAGGGATCAAGGAAAATTCATATACATTGTGAAGGAAGTTGCAAAGGCAGCATCTGGCTTCGCTCTTGCAGATGTTTTTCCTTCTGTCAGTTTGCTTCATCTCTTAAGTGGAATGAGGCATAAAATTGAGAGGCTGCATAAAGAAGCTGACAGGATAATGGGAAACATCATCAAAGAACATCAAAGGGATATGGTCACTACAAAAAGCGGCGAGGGTGAAGCAGAGGAAGACCTGGTAGATGTTCTCCTTAAATTTCATGAGCATGGAAATGAGCTTGAGTTTTCCCTAACTACTGAGAACATCAAAGCAGTTATCTTTGTAAGTACACACACTTTCCCTTGATATCAAGCTTTAATAAGTCAAATCACTTTTTCAAATTTCAATTTTTTTACTCCAAAAACTATATCAATGTTTTTCTTAATCTATGACATCAATCAACTATTATCTGCTTTGGTATCGAACCCTTTGGAGCCACACACCTTGGGGATGGTTTAGTCTCTGGTACAACATGTAATGATCTGCATCCACACATAGTCAAATATTGTCTGGTTTGGACTTAACCCAACCTCACAAACTTAAATAGGCCTCAAAATTTTGGAAATATAGATATGACAATTCACTTTTAACTTCACCAGGCATTGTGAGACTGAATAGTTGTGTCACCTCACCATATCTTCCAATCATGTCAACCGCGTCAAGTAACCTTGGCTACCATGGTGAAGGGATCTTGGGTCTCTGATGCAGTTCAACTAGAATTTGCAGAGAATTGGGATTGGAATAACAAGATACAAGCTAAAAGAGAAGCTTTGACAGCTAACTCAATGGTTTTTTTATTCAAACTTGGATTACAAGAGTTGTCCATACAACATACTTATAGGAGATAATCTCAAACAGAAGATTAAAACCATATTTAATGACTGACAGCAAGTCCTAGGTCCCAGCCCAACAAACGTAGAGTTCCCAAGTTATTGAATATACTCATCTTGAAACCTGATAGGTTTCCTAGCATCTGTCTTGGGCTTATTCCTTGCTATGGTAGAATCATTAAGTGGTTGGGCATTGGAAGTAGTTTCCCAAGCTGTCTCCACACATGGCCCTCCATCAGTCTCAGCATACTGGTAATATTTTCTGGTTCTTGATGACCACAAAAGTTATTTCCTTCAACATTCATCCTTAGAAGAGTAACCATAGCACAAACCGCATTGTAGACACACTGCAAGTAGTGTAGTCACCAAAGATTCAAACAATGTTGGCAAGGGCGAAAGAAAAAATATGGGTGGTCTTTCTCATCGACTTACCTCTACAAACACCAAAAAATTGAGCTATAATCTAGTTAAGCAAATTCAGCTAATCCCTTACATCATTCCCCGCAGCCATCCAAAGCTTCTACAACTAGTTCTTCAAGTACAAGGGACAACATTGTGCTCTTTTGTTCAAAACCATATAACAACTTATCTACTTGGAAAAGCTGGTTAAAATTCTTCCTGCATTCTAATCATACATTATCTTAAACTGTGTTGATTGAAACTCCAATGTGCAGAATTTTCATGATGAGTGATTTACTGATGAGAGTGTTTCACATGTGTCTATTGTTCTCCATAATCATTACCTGATATTTAAGACACTCTTACAAGTCAACATTTATAACTTGTGAATGAGCTTACTTGGGTACATGAATAATGGTTTCTTCTTTTAAGATTATTTATAATATTTTTCTATTTACTTAGAATTGTTTGCAATTCATAGAGGAAACTAGTTTTGATCATTTAATAAATTAATTACTTTCAGGATATTTTTGCTGCTGGGAGTGAAACATCATCTACAGCTGTAGATTGGGCAATAGCAGAAATGATAAAAAATCCAAGAGTAATGAACATGGCACAGAATGAGGTGAGGGAAGTGTTTAATAGAAAAGGACAGGTAGATGAAACATGCATTAGAGAGATGAAATATTTAAACTTAGTTATAAAGGAGACACTGAGGTTACACCCCCCGGGTCCCCTGTTAGTTCCAAGAGAATGCGGAGAGAAATGTGAGATTGATGGATATGAAATACCTGTGAAATCCAGGGTAATTGTGAATGCATGGGCAATTGGTAGAGATCCCAATTACTGGAATGAGCCTGAGAGCTTTAATCCCGATAGGTTCCTCGATAGCTCGATTGACTACAAGGGAACAAACTTTGAATATATCCCATTTGGTGCTGGAAGGAGAATGTGCCCTGGCGTGTCATTTGGTCTGGCCAACGTTGAGCTCCCACTTGCATTGTTGTTATACCATTTTGATTGGAAACTCCCCAATGGGATGAAGCATGAGGACCTGGACATGACCGAGGCCTTTGGCGCTGCAGTCAAAAGAAAAGACGATCTGCACTTGATTCCCATTCCTTATCATCCTCCGCCTAATTCCATGAAAGGTTTTGAATATTCTCAATGCTTTTCATTGAACAATCATATGATAACTATATACAAAGCTTTACTTGGTATCTGCACAAAGGATTTCCTATTCTAGGTAAGAATCAAGTCCTTAAGAGACAAGGAATATATACAGCAAATCTAGGAAATAAATACAAATAAATAGGAAACTAAATCCTTTATTATAGCTCATTGAGTTCTTCCACCTCCACCTATGTGGGGTAGAGGTTCGAAATTGCTAGGCACCCAATGACTATTTGTATAAACCACCCTCCCCAAATCGGTTGTAAAAAAAAAAAAAAAAAAAAAAAAATAAAAAAATGAAATTCCACTAGGAAGCCAATATAATCCAACTCTCCTGTATTTTACTCATGGACCTTGAATGGCCTTCCTTCCAAGTCATGTTTGCCTTCTTGCTAAACCTTAAAATCATTGTCCAGAAAACAGGGAAGAGAGGCAAAACCAAGTGCTTTGCTTCAAACCTATCCCCAGGGCCATGGAAGCTACCCCCTATAGGAAATGACTAAAATGTCTGACTTCCCTTGCGCTTAGTAAAATGTAAGAGAAATAATTGATTCAATTCAAATTCTTAACTCTACTGTTAGAGCATCCACAATTGGCTCCCTAAACCACCTTCTTAGCTAAAATTTAGGGAGGAATAGAAAAAACCCACCTCCAACCATACTCCCTATTCGGCTCCTAAAATAGGGAGACCTCTAGAAGCTCCTAAATTTGAGGAGAGAAAAATGACTCCAAGTGACTCCCTATAATTAAATGCTTCTTTATTTAATAGTATTTTAACAATTTTTTTAAAGCAAATTATTTTTTATTGTTGCTTTTGTGTCTACACTTTATTCAAAAATTGAATTAAAAAACATTAAAACATTTATGACTCTTTAAACTAGGGAGTATGGTTGGAGTTGAAATTTTATAAATAGCTCCTCAAATAGCTTTCTAATGTTTTTAGCTAAATTTAACTAAAAAATAGAGAGCATGATTGTGGATGCTCTTATTAAGTTATACTCTTGGCAATGTACTATATTTTGGACTAATCAAACACTTGGCAAAGCCCTTTGAAAATGAAGATTTATATATCCTCGAGATTCCAAGTTATACTTTGAAAATAAAGAAAATAGAAAATGTGGAACGATCTCACCTTTGTTAATTGAGGTTGTTAATTATTAAGTACCGCTGGAAAAGGATACCAATCAGATTTTATTATATTTTTTGTCAAAACCAATCAGATTTAGAACGCGTGCAATCTGACCAAAGCATTGACATTTTGTTTTATTTCAAGTAAATTGATTGCTCCAAAGATACATCTGATAAAATATTTATTTCGTAAATATTATTAATTAAAAGAAAAAGATGCTAATCAGTTGAGAGAATCTTTGCATCAGAAAAAATAATAATAATAATTTAGGAAGAAGGTTGCTACATCATTTCTTATACATAGATGTCAAATGCATGAAGGTTCACCAAAAGCCACTATAATCCAAAGTAACCTTTGTTTTCCTCATGGAGATTCAGTGCCCTTCCTTCCAAGTCCTGTTAGCCTTCTTGCTCTTTATGATCATGGTACTGAAAATAGGGAAGATCAGAGGCAAAACCAAGTACTCAGCCTCAAATCTACCGCCAGGGCCATGGAAGCTACCCGTTATAGGAAACCTGCACCAGCTCGCTGGCTCTGTTCCACATCATAGACTAAGAGACTTGGCCAAGAAATACGGACCGCTTATGCACCTAAAGCTTGGAGAAGTTTCTGTCGTAGTAGTTTCATCAGCAGAGTTTGCCAAAGAGGTGATGAAAACCCATGATCTTATCTTTGCATCAAGGCCCCCTATTCTTGCTGCAAAGATCTTGTCTTACGACTCTACAAACATTGGCTTTGCACCATATGGCGAATACTGGAGACAACTACGAAAAATTTGCACTCTAGAGCTTTTAAGTGCAAAACGTGTTCGATCTTTCCGACCTATTAGAGAAGAAGAGGTAGTGAATCTCATTCAATGGATTGCCTCAAGAGCAGGATCACCTATCAATCTTACTCAGGAAATTTACTCATCGACATTTACCATCACTTCGCTTGCAGCCTTTGGTAAAAAGAACAGGGATCAAGAAAAATTCATATACATTGTGAAGGAATTTGTAAAGGCATTATCTGGCTTCGCTCTTGCAGATGTTTTTCCTTCTGTCAGTTTGCTTCATCTCTTAAGTGGAATGAGGCCTAAACTTGAGAGGCTGCATAAAGAAGCTGACAGGATATTGGGAAACATCATCAAAGAACATCAAAGGAATATGGTCACTACAAAAAGTGGCGAGGGTGAAGCAGAGGAAGACCTGGTAGATGTTCTCCTTAAATTTCATGATCATGGAAATGAGCTTGAGTTTTCCCTAACTACTGAGAACATCAAAGCAGTTGTCTTTGTAAGTACACACACTTTCCTTTGATATCACGCTTTAATAAGTCAAATCACTTTTTCAAATTTCAATTTTTTTTAACTCCAAAAACTATATCAATTTTTTTCTTAATCTATGACATCAGTCAACTATTATCTGCTTTGGTATTGAACCCTTTAGAGCCACATACCTTGGGATGGTTTAGTCTCTGGTAAAACACGTAATGATCTGCATCCACACATAGTCAAATATTGTCTGGTTTGGACTTAACCCAACCTCACAAACTTAAATAGGCCTCAAACTTACGGAAATATAGATACGACACTTCACTTTTAACTTCACCAGGCATTGTGAGACTGAATAGTTGTGTCACCTCACCATATCTTCCAATCATGTCGACTGTGTCAAGTAACCTTGGCTACGATGGTGAAGGGATCTTGGGTCTCTGATGCAGTTCAACAAGAATTTGCAGAGAATTGGGATTGGAATAACAAGATACAAGCTAAAAGAGAAGCTTTGACAGCTAACTCAATGGTTTTTAATTCAAACTTGGATTACAAGAGTTGTCAAAACCATATTTAATGACTGACAGCAAGTCCTAGGTCCCAGCCCAACAAACGTAGAGTTCCCAAGTTATTGAATATACTCATCTTGAAACCTGATAGGTTTCCTAACATCTGTCTTGGGATTATTCCTTGCTATGCTAGAATCATTAAGTGATTGGGCATTGGAAGTAGGTTCCCAAGCTTTCTGGTTCTTGATGACCACAAAAGTACCATTTATTTCCTTCAACATTCATCCTTAGAAGAGTAACCATAGCACAAACCGCATTGTAGACACACTACAAGTAGTGTAGTCACCAAAGATTCAAACAATGTTAGCAAGGACGCCAGGAAAAATATGGCTGGTCTTTCTCATCGATTACCTCTACAGACACCAAAAAATTGAGCTAAAATCTAGTTAAGCAAATTCAGCTAATCCTTACATCATTCCCTTCAGCCGTCCAAAGCTTCTACAACTAGTTCTTCAAGTACAAGGGACAACATTGTGCTCTGTTATTCGAAACCCTATAACAACTTATCTACTTGAAAAGGCTGATAAAAATTCTTCCTGCATTCTAATCATGCATTATCTTAAACTTTTGATTGAAAGTCCAAAGTGCAGCATTTTCATGATGAGTGATTTACTGATGAGAGTGTTTCACATGTGTCTATTGTTCTCCATAACCATTACCCGATATTTAAGACACTCTTACGATTCAACATTTATAACTTGTGAATGAGCTTACTTGGGTACATGAATAATGGTTTCTTCTTTTAAGATTATTTATAATATTTTTCTATTTACTTAGAATTGTTTGCAATTCATAGAGGAAACTAGTTTTTGATCATTTAATAAATTAATTACTTTCAGGATATTTTTGCTGCTGGGAGTGAGACATCATCTACAGCTGTAGATTGGGCAATAGCAGAAATGATAAAAAATCCAAGAGTAATGAACATGGCACAGAATGAGGTGAGGGAAGTGTTTAATAGAAAAGGACAGGTAGATGAAACATGCATTAGAGAGATGAAATATTTAAATTAGTTATCAAGGAGACACTGAGGTTACACCCTCCGGGTCCCCTGTTAGTTCCAAGAGAATGCAGAGAGAAATGTGAGATTGATGGATATGAAATACCTGTGAAATCCAAGGTAATTGTGAATGCATGGGCAATTGGTAGAGATCCCAATTACTGGAATGAGCCTGAGAGCTTTAATCCCGATAGGTTCCTCGATAGCTCGATTGACTACAAGGGAACAAACTTTGAATATATCCCATTTGGTGCTGGAAGGAGAATGTGCCCTGGCGTGTCATTTGGTCTGGCCAACGTTGAGCTCCCACTTGCATTGTTGTTATACCATTTTGATTGGAAACTCCCCAGTGGGATGAAGCATGAGGACCTGGACATGACTGAGGCCTTTGGCGCTGCAGTCAAAAGAAAAGACGATCTGCACTTGATTCCTATTCCTTATCATCCTCCGCCTACTGAAAAATCCCAAGTTTAAGATGCTTAACTGTTTGTATTTATCTGAGAGTAATCGTCGTTGTTTGTTTATGTTATCACATGTTGTAAGAACTACAGGCCTAGTGTCAGTATTTAATTAAGAACCATGCATATTAATGCATTTTCTATCATCATGAGCAAATTAGCAGAAACACAAACACCAAAACTGCATAATGAGAAAACTCCATTTCGTAAAATTGCATGCCTAATCAGTGCTGGGTTCGGATAATTTAGGGTTCGTTTTGTTCTACTTTTCTGCTATTTTTGGTATATTTGGACTTCTCTTTTTTTCTCTTTTTTTTTTTGTTTTTTTTTTGTTTTTTTGTTTTTTTTTGTTTTTTGTTGATAAAAAAAAACAAATAACAATTTTATAGTTAAACACCCCTCAATTTAGTCAAATGCCAGTGAGCTCTGCATATAGCCGGTGTATTTTGTGACAAATTCTAGGCCAAAAGGCACGGTACTGGAAGCTATTGTATGGTACTGGAAAAGGTTAGATTTTTTAAATTTATCATTAAGATGATTAAGGATAATAGTTAAGATAACACGAAGTTGGTTCACCTCTCTAAGGTTTATTTGTCAATACAATCAGTTACTATTTAAACTTACGTCACTTTTGAACTTAGCGATTTAACTTGCATGAAGTGGGGCCCTACAAAACAAAAACCAACCATTTTCAGATAAGCTCTTAAACATTCTTAATTACAGGAAAGAGACATCAATCAGAGAGAAAAAGAAGGAAGATTGCTACATCATTTCTTACACATAGATGTAAAACGCATGCAGTTTCACCAAAAGCCACTATAATCCAAAGTAACCTTCATGTGCTCATGGAGATTCAATGCCCTTCCTTCCAAGCCCTGTTTGCCTTCGCTTTCTTTGTGATCATGGTACTGAAAATAGGGAAGATCAGAGGCAAAACCAATTAGTCTGCTTCAAATCTGCCCCCAGGGCCATGGAAGCTACCCTTTATCGGAAACCTACACCAGCTCATCGGCTCTCTACACATCATGGACTAAGAGACTTGGCCAAGAATTATGGACCCCTTATGCACCTCAAGCTTGGAGAAGTTTCCACTGTAGTAGTTTCAACCGCAGAGTTTGCCGAAGAGGTGATGAAAACCCATGATCTTATCTTTGCATCAAGGCCCCCTATTCTTGCTGCAAAGATCTTGTCTTACGGCTCTACAAACATTGGCTTTCCACCATATGGTGAATACTGGAGATAACTACGAAAAATTTGCACGCTAGAGCTTTTAACCACAAAACATGTTAAATCTTTCCGACCTATTAGAGAAGAAGAGGTAGTGAATCTCATTCAATGGATTGCCTCAAGAGCAGGATCACCTATCAATCTTACTCAGGAAATTTACTCATCGACACATAGCATCACTTCGCGAGTAGCCTTTGGTAAAAAAAACCAGGGATCAAGAAAAGTTCATATACGTTGTGAAGGAAGCTGTAAAGACATCGTCTGGCTTCACTCTTGCAGATGTTTTTCCTTCTGTCAGTTTGCTTCAGCTCTTAAGTGGAATGAGGCCTAATCTTGAAAGGCTGCATAAAGAAGCTGACAGGATAATGGAAAACATCATCAAAGAACATCAAAGTTCAAAGGGATATGATAACTACAAAAAGTGTCGTGGGTGAAGCAGAGGAAGACCTGGTAGATGCTCTCCTTAAATTTCACGAGCATGGCAGTGGGCTTGAGTTTTCCCTAACTACTGACAACATCAAAGCTGTTATCTTCGTAAGTACACACACTTTCTCTTGATATCATGTTTTAATAATAACACGTGGTAAACCTGCATTTAACCTCACAATCTGGAACCTGGCCCTTTCGAACAAGGCTCTACTCATTTTCTATCATTTGATTTTCTAGCTTAGCTTTACACACATACACCACTATTTATAATTTGTAAAATAAACTTATATATAATCATCAACAAGAGAGACGGCTAGAGGAGGCCTTTCCTGCGATGAGATTCCGTTAGCACGTTTTATATACATAATATTTGTGGCAGTCTAACTTGAAATATTTAAGTCCCTGTAACAAATTCTCTTGTCCAACTCCATGAAACAATACTCACTTTGATCACCCAAAACTTATATGCTAGAATGCTGCGCACCGTACATCCACAATCTACAATCAGATGTTTTCTGCTGTTGACTTAACCCAGCCCTTAATTGTTTAAAATAGTTCTAACTATTAAAGATGCTAAGTCCACATGTATTCCACCAAGCAACGTGGGCGCACTCAACACATAGATGTTTGTGCACACCTCACCCTATCTAACAATCATCTCAAACATCTTGGCTATACATCTTCGAAGGATCTTTTGTCTCACTATCCTCTCCCTTTAGAGCCACATACCTTCGGCTGGCTTAGACTCTGTTACAACCTGCAATGTCCCCACATAGTTGAGTATCGTTTGGTTTGGACTTAACTGAACTTCAGAAACTTAAAAGGCCCCAGACTATGGAAATACATAAACCTCACCATGACACCATATCTTCGAATCACCTCGACCACCTCAAGTAATTTTGGCTACCAAGGTGAATGGATCTTGGGTCTCAGCATATTGGTAATTATGCTCCCAATCAATTTATATAAGCACCTTTTATTGCCTTCAACATTCATCCTTAGAAGAGTAACCATAGCAAAAACAGGATAGTAGACACACCACAACTGGTGGTCTTTAATGATTCAAACAATGTTGGCAAGGACACCATCAAAATTATGGCTGGTATTTTTCATCGATTTACCTCTACAAACACCGAAAAATTGGGTTATGACCTAGTTAAGCAAGTTCAGCTAATCCCTTACATAAGTCCCTTCAGCCATTCAACTCTTCTACAACTAGTTCTTTTAGTCGAAACCATATGACACACTATAGAGTTGAAAAAGCTGGTTAAAAGTATTCCTGCATGCTAATTGTACATTAAAACTCCAATGTACAGCATTTGCACGATGTGTGATTTACTGATGAGAGTATTTCACGTGTCCGTTATTCTCCATAATCTGTCCCTCATATTTAAGGTACTCTTAACAGTCAACATTTGTAACTTGTTTTTTTATCACTTAAGATTATTTATGTTGGGTTTAGGAATACAGTTCTTTTTCTCTTTACTTAGAATTCTTTGACAATTCATAGAGAAAAACTAGTTTTTTATCATTTAATAAATTAATCACTTTCAGGATATGTTTTCTGCTGGGAGTGAGACATCAGCTACAGCTGTAGACTGGGCAATAACAGAAATGATAAAAACTCCAAGAGTAATGAAAACGGCACAGAATGAAGTGAGGGAAGTGTTTAATAGAAAAGGACAGATAGATGAAACATGCATTGGAGAGATGAAATATTTGAACATGGTTATCAAGGAGACACTCAGGTTACACCCCCCGGCTCCCCTGTTACTTCCACGAGAATGTGGAGAGAAATGCGAGATTGATGGATACGAAATACCTGTGAAATCCAAGGTAATTGTGAATGCATGGGCAATTGATAGAGATCCCAATTACTGGAATGAGCCTGAGCGCTTTAATCCCAATAGGTTCCTCGATAGCTCGATTGACTACAAGGGAACAAACTTTGAATATATCCCATTTGGTGCTGGAAGGAGAATATGCCCTGGCATATCATATGGTCTTGCCAACATTGAACTTCCACTTGCATTCTTGTTATACCATTTTGATTGGAAACTCCCCAACGGGATGAAGCATGAAGACCTGGACATGACTGAGGACTTCGGCATTGCAGTCCAAAGAAAACAAGATCTGCACTTGATTCCCATTTCGTATCATCCTCCGCCTACTGAAAAATCCTAACTATAAGATAACTGTTTGTATTTATTCCAGAGCAATCGTTGTTGGCTTATGTTATCCAATGTTGTAAGAACTACAACGCCTAGTCAGTGTATAAAATCAAAGACTTGTGCAAATCCAATTGAGTTAAGAACCATGCACATTAATGCGTTTTCTATCATCATGAGCATATCTGAAGAAACACATATACCATACTCATTCGGAGAATTAAAAGAACAGACAGAGCTGAATATTTGCACAAATGGGTAATTCCCAAAACTCAATTTCGTAGGTCTACATGCCTAATCAGTGCTGGGTTTGGATATTTTAGGGTTCTATTTGTTCTATTTTTCTGATTTTTTTGGTATTTTGGTTGATATCCTGATGTTAACCAGAAGAAAAAAAAACAAAAAGAACAATATTATAGTCAATTACCAGAACAGAGGAGGCACACGGCGTAGCTGCTGAACCAGGAAAATCACCCTGCAGCTTCACTCTAACCACATGGGGATTTTGGAGGACAGTGGTTAGTGGGCTTTGCATATTTTCCGGTTTAGAATTTGTACCAATTTGTTGGAAATTCACGGCCAAAGGCTTCAAAACTTGTTTGAGCAAGCGGGTTTTGTTGTGTTACAAAGTTTAGGAATTTTAGTGAAAGTGGTGAGACAATGGGAATTATTTTGTGAATGGACTTGCATTCCAAGGCTTGCTAATTAAATTTTTGGAGTCCAAAACAAGAAGAAAAAAAAATAGGAATATTTTTTTCCTCGATCACATGAGCTAAATGACTCGAGTCGTTAATCAATTAACCACTTAAGTTACTAACTCCTTGTCACCCAATATTATTTCACTGCCATCCAAATGAAGGTTTTTATTGTTTTGGGTTTATTCGGTAACAATTCAAGCTAGCAAGAATATATCTTCAAAGTTGATCCATATATAAATAAAAAAATTTACATTAAAATGTATAACTTTGATCAATCAGAAAATTGGGATTTTGTAAGATATACAAACATGATTTGATGAGGTGATAGCTTTCACTACCTACCTACCATCCAGCATTGTGACTGTTACGTGGTTTACAGTGCAGGATTGGTCTTGCTTGCTAGAGGAAGAATCTGTTTCAAGTGGATTTTTATTCCTTTCTAGGCAAAAACCAGGATTTTTAGGCTGAGGCATTGTTGCAGTTTCACTACTCAACATTAGAACCACAGACGACATTGTAGGCCTATCTTCCGCGCGCTCTTGGACGCATAAAAGTCCAACTTGCATGCATCTCAACACCTCGGAGGGGGAATATGAATCCCCAACGGAGGGATCAATTATTTCCGACCCACTTCCTTCTGTCCATAGCTTCCAAGCCTGCAAAAGTTCCAAGTCATTTTTTCTGTTAGCAGTGAATCTAGTGATGCATAGGCATGAAATGAAATATAAAGTTTTTTTTCTAGATTGTGCCCTTTTTACTTACATGTCCTAGGAGGTTTAGCTCACTGTTTGAGTATAAAATCCCCTGTTCTTTTTACCACTAATGATCTCCAACACTAGAACACCGAAACTAAAGACATCAGACTTGATCGAGAAGAGCCCGTCCATGGCATATTCAGGAGACATATATCCACTGCAGACCAACAATGAAGTGAAATCAGCATACATGGTCAGAAAAATAGAAAGCTTATTGTATATGCAGGGCATTGGTACTTACTATGTTCCCACAACTCTTCTGGTATTGGCTTCTGTCTGATCCCTACCAAATATTCTAGCCATTCCAAAGTCCGAAATCTTCGGGGTCAATTCTCCATCAAGCAAAATATTGCTTGCCTTGAGATCCCGATGAATAATTCTAAATCTAGAATCCTGGTGAAGATAAAGAAGTCCTCGAGCAATCCCACAAATAATCTCGAAACGCTTTTGCCAATCCAGCATAGACCTTTTTGCTTGACCTGTAACAGTTATCAATCATCAACCTTTTTTAGTTCCATCTCAAGCTTGGTTATTAAACTAAGAAGTAGTTGAGCAAGGCACTCACTGAACAAAACAGAATCCAGGCTTTTGTTCTCCATGTATTCATAAATCAGCATCTTTTCATCCATATCAACGCAGCAACCAAGCAGTCGGACAAGATTTCGGTGCTGAAGCCTTGCGATTAACTTCACTTCGTTTTTGAATTCTTCCGTTCCCTGTCCAGAGTTCTTCGAAAGTCTCTTGATAGCAACTACTTCACCTTCTACCAACGTACCCTGCAATTGGATTAACCACGTTACTAAATCTGTCCCAAGTTGCTTCTGCAATTTGTTTAATGTATGTATGATCGGGTGATTGATTTTAAACAAATTGTTCTTACCTTGTAAACACAACCAAAACCACCCTGTCCCAGTTGATTTTCATCAGAAAAGTTATCCGTGGCCACTGCTACAGTGCTAAAATCAAGCAATGGCAACTCTAGCTCATCATTGCCCCTTTCACCTGAGTAGCTCTCCTTCTTACTTGTGATAACAACCCCATTTAGCAGAAAATCCTGGCTTCTTTCATTAGGACCTGTTCATAAGTAAGCAAAAAACTTGTACCTCAACATCTAAGTTTTGAGCTCCATGGTTGAATGGGGAGCGATTGGCTGGTACAGGGTACCAATCTACAATACATGATACATTGTCGATGTTTCGCAAGATATTTGATCGACATTGTCAAATATCAACAAAATATCAACAGTGTACTAAAGACTGTAAATTGGTACCCGTTCCAAATAATCTTTCCGGTTGTTGAGTATATAGAAGTTACTTGGTAGTACCTTTTTGTTCTATTCTTCCTCGGTTCATAATAGCCAATTTCCTCTTCCATACAAAACAGATAGCAAGTCCTGCTAGCAGAATGCCAATACCAACTACAATGCCCACAATCATGATTAATCGTTTCGTTTTCCCATCTCCATCTGAAATGAACATTACTGTACATAGTTAGTGATCATATTTGATGTTCTTACAAAATGTATATTTCTTCACTTTAGTAAGCATCCTATTTGGGTCTAAGGTGGAGATTGGAATGTTCTTAAGATAAGCACGTGGCATAACATTAGAAACGTGCGCATAACAGCACAATTTAAATGTAAAAGAAAACCCTGCTACCAAAATGGATGTGACAAATCATACCTAACCACGGGCAATTTGGCCCACATGTTTGCAACATTAATAGGTGAACAACTAAGAGAATAGGTATTCATAGGTGAACAGCTAAGAACATTTATGAAATGGAAAGATTGATAGACCTTTGACACGAGACAAGTACTAAACCTGAGCTCCTACATATTTTGGACCATAGCACCCACAATTTTGAAAAAAACACAAGCGACATTGAGAGAAAGGAAAATCAAACATGAGACTTCAAGTAAGAGATAAATGATCTTCACTACTTACGCTGCAAGACCCTAGCTACATTCTTTAAGATACTCAAAAAAAGTATCGACTAATAAATTTAGATTAGCACCTTTTCACCATTCCCACTTCAAATTGAATATTTCATATTTATTTATTTTAAAAATTCCTACCTAATTTATGCCACATTGGACTTTTTAATCAAAAGGTCTAATTTACCTTGACAAAATTCTTGAGTGGAACCCACAGAATTATTGTCCCGCCTGAAAAATTCAGGCCATTTTGCCGCGGTATTACCCTAACTACTAATTTCGTAAAGCAAATATTGAAAAGGACCGGTGGCCCAAGAAAACCCAACCAAGTCAAAAATGGCGGCCCACTAGCCCTAAATTTTGGACCAAGAGCTGCCTAAAACATTGTTTAGTATACCAGGTGCCATGTGACCGTCCAAAAAAGCAGTTTAAAAGGAAATAATGACAGCCGCTTGTCCAAGGGTCTTCTTTTAATTTTTCTTGTTCGGGTGGGGCCCGGCTGATTATGGCACCAAAAATTAAAAAGAGATATTTAGTTATTTACCTATTCTTAGCATTAATGATATAGATAAACTATACACAATTTAATTTCTATAAACAAACAAAAAAAACTCAAAAAATGACAGCTAATTCTCTTGAATTTAATTTTAATTATTAAATTACTTTGATGCCCTATTAAGTGTTTTAGATTTTTTATGAGGTTTTGGAGTTAGGCTTGTTTTAAGAAATTAATGGTAGTTTTATAATTTATAAAAAGTTAAAGCCTCTTTGTTATGTTGTAAATAAATTTTGGATATGTTTCTAAAGTTGATTTTATACATATATTTTTATAATTTGAATTCTATATTGGATATAATAATAAATTTCTCAATTAAAAAAGGGTCAAATATAAATTCAAATTGAGGAAAAAGAGTGAAGCTGTCTTCACAAAGAAGAACCACTACTACCAAACAAAATGCATGACACGTGATGCAGACTTAGAGCATGAAAATTGACATATAATAATAGCTAATAGTATATATAGACACCTCATTCACACCTGTGACGCGCATTTCCTCTCTCTCGTTTGTTGGGGTTTGGTCGTTTAATAATATGATATCCTAGCACACTGGAAATAAGCTTTAATTACCCCTAAAAATGATACACAACTACAAAATGATGCATGCATGTTACGAGACTTGTAGCTTAAGTGATTAAGAATAATTATCCTACATCTAAGATTTTGTGAACAAATTTCGCTCTCACAATATCACTTACATAAAACAAAACGATACACGCACAAGGCTTTGTGTTCTTAGAGGTGAGTGCAATTTTAAGGGTTTAAAAAGAGTCTCTTTCTGAAACTGAAAATATGGATTTTATCTAATTAATTATGTCAGTGACCAAAATTAAAATCGGGACAGAACACACGGACTAAAAAGCATAATTTCCTAACAATGATACCGCTATGGAAAATAAAGAAAAAGGGAAAGGTACCTAGTTCAGAAGCGGCCAATCTCACATAGAAATGTTGTCCACCTTCTGCATATTGTCTCATGTCCAAGAGGTCCCCAGTCCACATGACACAGCCTGAGCCTCCTCCAGCTGATATCCGCGCGTCGGAATACGCGGTGCAATTACAACTCTCCAAACACTTTTTCTTACACGCCTCCAGGCTCATGTTCATGTCCACGAAAGCGCCGCCGCTCTCCGCCAGCTTCATGTTCCCCAGAGCCAAAAATTTGTCCTTCGAACACTCCAAATCCGTTTTCCTCACGCACCCATCAGACCCATCCCTCAAATCCCACGTCTGCAAGTTCTTGGGCTCAAAACCCTTCAAGCACTTGCAAACCGGAGAAGCATTTGAGTCACAAATGCCATACGGACCACACTCGCTGTAATCGTCGCATTGGTCTTTTGGGGCGTACCAAAATTTGTTCCACATGTTTCTGCTTTCGATCCACGTCAGGCGTTGAAGCTCCCCATTTGGGTTCACAATCAATCGTGAATAAAACGACTCTGAATTGCTGCGTACCGAAAAAGAGTAGTAGACCTCTTCTGAATTGGCCACGAAATTGAATTGGATACCGTCTGAAGGTGTCATCTCCGGCACACCGCTGAACCTCTCCCCGTTCCAGGGGCCGCTGCGGTACGTTATACTCTGTTTATTTCTCAGGAAAATCTCCGGGAAACCGCGGTAGTCTAGCTTGAAAGAAATATCACCTGTTGATGGGTCTTCTGTGCTTTTCCATGAGGTTATGTACCTGTCCAAGTTTGAGCTTAAGTTCCACCCCAACTTCATATCTGGCAGAAGAGTGTCTGTTGGGTAATCAAAGCTCTGCCAGAGGAACTGGTCTGTCGGGCCGTTTCGGTTTAAATTCCCATCTCTGAGGACCAGATTGCCGGAATCTAAAAGCTGAACAATTGGGCTCGTAGCTTGGGTTTCATTAGAGGACCATGTGATGTTTCCATTTTCACCATCAAGAAGGACAAGGTTGCCATGGTCACCAAGTTTGAGTGTTGCTGAGGATGAATTTGAAATTGGGTTGTCTCTGTTTGCTACCCAAACAACTGTTTTTTCTTGGATATTTTTGTACCAAATTCCCAAGTACCAACCTGAAGTTGCGCCGGGCTTGAACAAGCCCAACTCAAAGACGCCGCCGGCGGAGACAAGGGTTTGGTTGTTTTGGAGGGATTGAGGGGAAGACAAGGTGTCTTTGGAGGTGGCAAGTGGGAAGAAAGTGAGTAAAGTGAGGCAGAGAATGGAGGAGCAGAATTGGTGCTTTGTTGAAGCTCTCATTGTTTCACAAAATGAGGCGGCTTCTGTTGGTGAAGAAAGCATATGAGGATGGCATTTGGTCACTGGGTTTGTTTTTTTTTATTGTGGAAGACATTTGGTGTTCATTGATAGGTGAAGAGAAAGAGAGATGTTGACTTCGGCTTTTATGTATGTTTCTTGGTCTCTTGTTTCTTTGTAGGCCGAAAACAACCAGCTTAAGAGGATATTTCTATTGAGTTACTAGTAGTTTCCCAATTTACCCGGATTGAGTTAATTTTTTCTTTTTTTACCACTCCACTTTTCAGACTCAATCACGATACAAAACAACCAAGCCCTTGCAATAACCTCCTTTCGGAGCTGTGTTCTTACTGTTGTATCTTAAATTTGTGCTCTGTTCTTAGAATGAATTTCTACTATTTAGTCATAAAACACAAAAAATAAATAAATAAATAAACAAACCCTAACATATTATTTCAACTTTTTCACAATACACATTGTGCGGTGAATTAATCCTAACTTACCCTTGCAATTTGCCATTCCACAAAATGGGGTGGAAATGCTCCAAGTAGCCTCGTTGGAGTTGTCTTCATTATTTTCGCTTGCCTTTCGATCTGATTGATGAATAGTGTCTGAAAATTAGGAGCTACGTGTAGATGCAAGTCTCATCTTTTTTTTGGGTCAACCAAGCATTAGATTCCAAGCCAAAAGGCAAAACGTACTATGATGAGGATGAGCCAAAACGTTTACAGTTTCCATTGGTCAAATTTTGAATGTTGATCAGATTTGTTTTACTAATATAATATTGAAAATGCTAGAGGCACCAACTCTTTAATAGAGCGTGAGACCCGGTGTATTGGCGGGCTCCACCTCTATTAGAGAGTTGATGCCCAAGTTGGTGCCTCTAACACTACCCATATAATATAGTTGGCATAAGTTTGCATCAGTGTTGTAATACCAAAAATTCTGTTGACATTCGATAGTGGTGTTTCAGATTTTATTGTTTTTTTTTTTTTTTTTTTTTTATATGATATTCTATTTTAATATCATAATTTAAATTAATTAATATTGAGAATTCGAATTTGGGTACATTCGTTCTAGCCAACTTGGTTAAGCTTATATCTGGAAATTTCGTAGAATTAAAAAGAATTTCAAAATGTAACAAAAGAATTAAAAAGAAAAAATTTCGTAGAAATTGTGAACGTAAATAATCTCATTGATACTGTACAGATTAAAAGGTAGAGGATTTTTCGTACAGGGAGACCCTGGTCGTGGTGCACATGTTCTTTATATTGTGTCTTCTTCCTCTTTGTGGTCAAATTATATTATGTCGTTCAACATCAAATGAATTGTATTTTTGTCATTTTTCATATGGAATATGTTTTAGTTTAGGTACTTATCAGAAGACTCACGCATTTCTTATTTAAATTCAGAAATCATATTTTTGTTTTGTTCATCATAATCAAAATTTAAGGTTTTGGTCATGATCAATGATTTTGAATCTTTCTTTATTCTGTTTTTGACCATCAAAGTCATTGATTTTTATAAAATTTTAGAACCATCTGAATTATGTTTTATTTCAGTATTTGGCATTGACCAACCAAACAATCTTTTGTTTTGTTTGGACAAGGGCGATATATTCTACACTAATCAAGCACATTGCCTTGACTAACTGATGTAACTCAATCTTATTTAAGTTCAAAACTCATGTTTTTCTTAATTATGAGAATCCTAGCTGCTATCATAAATTTGTACTTTCTTCTTCTACTTTCTCCCTCTTTCTTTTATTCTTCTATAATATCTTATGATTATCGAAATCATTCATTTTAAAGGTGATCCTAAAGAATTCAAAAGAAATAAAATCAAGTACCGCTTTGTACAAAAATGTCTCAAACTTTGTATTTAATTTATATTTTCTATATAAACAAATAGAAAAGAAATGAGTTAGTTCTTTTCTTTTCTAATTAAAGAATTATATTGGCTACCAAATATAACGTTTGGGTTTCTGGAATTTGACTCATGGGGAAAAGTTCAGCAACTGTTATATAGGTTATGTCTCAAAATAATTATCTGTTATATGATAAATTAGTAGGGCATATTGCAGCATGAAAGTTTCAGATAAGATTTGAGAAAAATAATGAAGAAACTGGTGAGCCAGCATTTTGATCTTCTACAAATTGAACTTTGACATGCAATTCTTTTCTGAACTATTTTTGTTCCTGTTGTCAGGCGAAAACCATTTGCTACTTATTTGCTTTCTCTTTGTTTAAAAGCTTCATTAAAGTTAATCTATGTGTTTTATAAAGTTTGATGATAAAGGTTCTGTGAAATTCATTTTGCTGTACTCAGTTCGTAGTACCAATTGGGATTGCTGCAACGGAAAACTAATGCGTAAGGAGTTTCGAGTGATGAGCTTATTTGAGAGGTTTAATCTCACTATCAACAAATGTGAAAAAAAAAAATCAATGGACTTAAACATTTTAAATGGTTTGATGATAGGATTGAAACCTTCAAATAAGCTCTTCACTTTAAACTCCTCATTATAGAAGCTCATGTAATTCCCTTCCTGACATGACTTGGGCTCTATGCACGTGAAATAATAAGGGCTTTTCCCATGTAAGCCCATAAGTAGGGCCTAGAATATAGAAAAGCCATACAATTTTTTTTAAAGGACAAAACCATAACTTAAAAGAAAGCCCATTTTGACTTTTCAAATGGACCAAATATACCATACAAGCCTTGAAAAACCTTAAATTACAAAACTACCATCAGAGTTTTCTTTCTTGTAAAAATCATAATGCAAAGATAATAATGATATTTCACACATCATGTCAATTTTGGGTTTTTCCCTTCAATTTATAGCTTTTAGCGTTTATATATAAACTCAAAGTTTCTTGATTTTTCTATGAGGATTTGAACCTGAGATCATTGATCTACAAATCAAAATCCTTTTTTATTGGCCTAGACCTCGTTAGCCAAAAACATTTATAAAAAAAAACATTAAAAATAAATACCGGACATATATGGTAGTATTAATTGAAGTAAAGTACAAAATTTCGATAGAGAAAATTAAAATTATAAGTGCTTTTTAAATGTAAAACAAAGCAAACTACAGGGACTCAATATGTAGACCTATGTCAATTAGGAATCTTTGGGATGGACATGAAGGTGCACCTTCTTATGGATTGCGGAAATTAATTCAGTTAGGAAACTGGTCTATGTCCTTATTGAACACGGAAATTAAATTCAAGTAGGAAAATTTTCTTGTAAAAAGTGCAAAATGTTTACAGAAACACTAGGAAACCTTTCCTAACAAGAAAAAGTTTCCCTCGCCCATAAATATGACAAGTTCACAACACAACCCACCACATTGCTTTTAGCTACTCCGCTCTCTCTGTTTTCTCTCTGCTTCTTTATTTGCATTCTTCGATCTCGCTTCAAAAACCCTCAGACTCTCTCGCTTCGTCTTCTTCGATCTTCTGCTTCCTCGTTACGATGACCAACAAAGCTGATCAATCTTCGGACACTGGGGGTTCAAAGAAGGACTTCACTACGGCAATCCTTGACCGCAAGAAGGCTGTGAATCGCCTTGTTGTGGATGAAGCTATCCATGACGACAACTCTGTCGTCACGCTCCACCCGGAGTCTATGGAGAGGCTCCAGCTATTTCGTGGGGACACAATCTTGATTAAGGGAAAGAAAAGGAAGGACACGGTCTGCATTGTAGTTGCTGATGACAAATGTGAGGAACCAAAGATAAGGATGAACAAGGTTGTCAGGAGCAACCTACGGGTTAGGCTTGGAGATGTCGTTTCTGTTTACCAATGCGCTGATGTCAAGTATGGAAACCGTGTTCACGTACTTCCTGTGGATGACAGTATCCAAGGGGTCACTGGAAATCTGTTTGATACATATTTGAGACCTTATTTTTTCGAGGCCTACCGACCCATGAGGAAGGGTGATCTCTTCCTTGTGAGAGGAGGGATGAGGAGTGTGGAGTTCAAGGTTGTCGAAACTGACCCTCCTGAATACTGCGTGGTGGCGCCCAACACTGAAATCTTCTGTGACGGGGAGCCTGTGAGAAGGGAGGATGAGGAGAGGTCATTAGATGAGGTTGGATATGATGATGTTGGTGGAGTAAGGAAACAGATGGCTCAGATTCGCGAGTCGGTGGAGCTGCCGCTGAGGCATCCTCAGCTGTTTAAGATAATTGGTGTGAAACCACCAAAGGGTATTCTGTTGTATGGACCTCCTGGAACTGGCAAGACTCTAATTGCCCGTGCTGTGGCTAATGAGACTGGGGCATTCTTTTTCTGCATCAATGGACCAGAAATCATGTCGAAACTGGCTGGGGAGAGCGAAAGCAACCTCAGGAAAGCTTTTCAGGAAGCAGAGAAGAATGCACCATCAATCATCTTTATTGATGAGATCGATTCAATTGCTCCCAAGAGAGACAAGACAAATGGAGAAGTTGAGAGGAGGATTGTTTCCCAGCTCTTGACACTCATGGATGGACTAAAATCCCGTGCGCATGTAATTGTTATCGGGGCTACAAATCGTCCAAATAGCATTGATCCAGCTCTCAGAAGGTTTGGAAGATTTGATAGGGAAATAGATATTGGTGTGCCAGATGAAGTTGGGCGTCTTGAGGTTCTGCGTATTCATACCAAGAACGTGAAGCTTGCTGAAGAAGTTAATTTAGAAAAGATAGCTAAGGACACACATGGTTATGTTGGTGCTGATCTAGCTGCTTTGTGTACTGAGGCTGCACTTCAATGCATCAGAGAGAAGATGGACGTGATTGACTTAGAAGATGAGGAAATAGATGCCGAGATACTTAATTCAATGGCAGTTACAAACGAGCACTTGCAGACGGCTCTTGGCACGAGCAACCCATCCGCTCTTCGTGAAACAGTTGTTGAGGTGCCAAATGTTAGTTGGAAAGACATTGGAGGTCTCGAGAATGTAAAGAGGGAACTTCAAGAGACGGTTCAATATCCAGTGGAGCATCCTGAGAAATTTGA